CGGGTGAGGAGGGGTGGGGATGTTTTGGAGAGGGGGGAGAGGAGGAGGGAGAGGGAGACTGGGTTAGGTGAGGAGATTTTGGCGAGGTTGAGGAGGTTGGAGGGGAGGGAGTGGGTGGTGGAGAAGATGGATGGTGAGGGGAAGGGAATAGAGAGGGAGAAGGAGAAGAATGGGAGGAAGGTTAAGGAGAGGGGTGCTGTTGAACCGTGGAATCCACTTGTTTCATTATTTATACATGTATTTCATTATTTGTACTGTTTCCGCATTGGGTTACCACTCCACTCTTTTACCCCTTTTTGTAGATATAAAAGGCTGTACAATAGCTTCTTTTACAATACAATCAATTCTACATGACCTACTTGACCCCATACCTTGGAAATCCAACAGGTGCGGTTGAGGCTCCTGCTGTTGTGGAGACGAGTGGGAAAGTTGAGAGGGATGAAAGGGCCAAGGGGTTGGATGACAGGATTGTGAGGAAGGAGACGAGACGGTGGGAGGATGATGAGAGTGCGGATGATGGTGATATTAGTAGTCTTCCTCCTAGAAGAGAGGTGGATACTAGTGAGGCTGAGGCGAAGAGGAAGGAGAAGTTGGTTGATATTTGAGATGGGTGGTGTTTAATGGGGGTTTTGGGAGGACGGTTAGGATTCGCTTAGGGTTTGGTCCTGGAGTCCCGTCGTTTGGGCGAGTAATTTGTGTATCCGTTGGTAGTTATTGGAGGTCTGAGGATTTAGTTGGAATACTAGTATCGTGGCATCAATTATTCTGTCTAAATTCAGAGAGTGTGAAATAAACGTTTATGGCTCGAATGAGTAAAGAAAAGTTCTTGGGCTTTTATAAGGTTACCGTATCACGCCATAATATCCTCAAAAGATATACCAACACAAGCTACCCAGCAAGCTCAGAAGGGTTACAAGAATCAATAATAACAACAAGACATTAATAATATTGCTTCAAATTACAAACTAGCCTACAATCCAGTCCCCAGCATCCTCCAATTTCATAGAACATTATTTCTTTCATCATGAATCGTGATTCTCATAAATCATCAATCATGCGACATGAAAAGGATTTCAATCCCAATATCCAAATTCGTACAGACAATTTTGAGAGGCTGGTTCTCTCTCTCTCTTTTCCCGGAAACAAAAGAAATATAAGGAGCGGAGAATATAAGAAAGGGGAGTATAGACAGAAGAAATACAGGACAGAAATATAGACAAAAACAAGAAAAACTTATCCAGGAATATTACCACCACCTCCTCTAGCACCTCCACCACCGCCGGCACCGCCAGCAGGTCTAGCAGGTCCAGCAGGTCCAGCAGGTCCAGCAGGTCCAGCAGGTCCAGCAGGTCCAGCTCTGGCTCCACTAGGACCAGGATCGCCATTATCGGAGCCGCTTCCTGAGCCATCATCGAAGCGAAGGCAGTCGACGAATTTTTCTGCTGCTGTTCGATGTCAGAACATATACATAATCTCGTTCAAGAAAACCATCGACAGTCAGGGGATTCAGGAGGGAAGGAAGATTTGGTACCTCTTCCCTCAACAAAACATATCTCAAAGCCTCCATTTTTCTTCATCTGATTTTTCTTCTTGTAATTCCCGCAGAAGACGTATAGTTTTATGTCTTTTAGGATGATTCGACGATGGTTTTTTCGTTCCATCCATTGTGGGGATTGGCATTGGTAGGTTACTGGTGGGTGAGTGTTAGGCCGGGCTAATTTTTGGGAGTCCCGGAGGGAGATTGGAGGGAAGAGATATAATAAAAAATGGGGAAAGAAAACATACTAAAAGCAGTCCAGACAGGACATCTTCTCAACTCGCCATTCCAGACCGCAGCATGTAACCTCAAGCTCCCGGTCTTATCATCTTGGATTACAGAAAGAGAATGTTCGAACCCGTCATCGATGATTTGTCTAATACTTGTCAGCGCCGCACCCTCGACGCGGGACCAAGCTACGACAGCCAAGGAAAGGGGGGAAATAAGTAGATACCCTTTGAACAAAACTATTTCTCCCGACAACTTGTAATCATCAGGATTGATCCGGACGGTGAGTGGACACCTAGCTTTCAAAGCTACAAATGCACTGTGGAATAGCACCATTCCTGTTCATATAATATTAGCCACATCAAACTTCCTTACCCAATACTCCATATACCATAAGCAAATGCTAGACCTAAAGGCTTGATATCACGGCGACAGAAGAAGACGCTACTTCCAGCCTGCTGTATGTTTTGATAAATGAAAGTAAAAATGACTTACGCTCCCAGCTTTTGAAAAAGAGTGCAGCCCAAACTCTCGAGTGTTCACGATATTCGCTCCATCTGCTGAACTGCAAGGCAGCTCCTTTCCGCCAGATGCATAGTTCGTGGACACCATATGAGGAGTACAAGGGATTGAGATATGGATCCATCCATCGACACAGGAGTCGTGTCATACCTGCGCCCTGGGCGTGGAGGTAAAGGGTGACAGAAAGAAGGTTTTTATCGAAAGGTCTACGGAAAGCTCGTTAGCGAGTGTAAAAGGGGATGGACAGTCATCAAAACAAAAGTCAACTGGTATTCTTTCTTTAACGGGCCAACCCGAATACTGACATCGATCATCCTTGGTGAGGTTGAAATCCACCCCATTCAGAATCCCTGCTGTAGTGATGGCTTAAAGGGGGTAAATAAATCCCAGCATGCTGGAGACGAGAAAAAAGACTTACAACTTAAACAGCACTTGCGAACCCGGCGGGATCCCCAGCCTAGAATCCATCATATGAGGTCCAAAGCATTTCGAACTAGGCAAACACACTCATCGTCAGCCACCAGCCAAATCCCATGACCAGCACCACACCCTTTCCTCTCGAGATCTACGCCCGACCATGCCCCCGGAAGTACTTTACTAGTCCATACAAGGCGATCTCAACCCCATCTCTGAAATAAGGCGAAGTTTATAAACAGGGGTTAGGCAAGGCTGGACTCACTTCCGTCGGTGTCTCAAGCTCGTGGTAGAATGCGGCAGGTCGTCAAAAACTTTCTCCGCCCAATGGCGTTTCTTCGCCTACACATGAATACACGTTATACAAATTATGTCCGGGGAACGAGCAACGGCATACCTCAAGTTCAACGGGGCTAGGCTGGGATGGCGGGAGATATGGGAAGATTTGTGTTCTCGGCTCTACAGGAATAAGTGTTTGCTCCACCGATTCCGCAGTTTCCAGTTCCTTGTCCCTCAGAACCCCCATTTCCTTGGTAAAATATAAGGGGAATGTTTTGGTGTTCGTACCTGGAATGCCTTGATGCCTTCTTATGAGCATGAGCCGGATGCGGAGGTTTTGTAGAGTTGTGGGATCGAACAAGGGGGATCTGCTGACATCGTCAGATTGGCCAATCAATGACCATGAGAACTCATGCATGGAAGTAAGAAGGTTGAGAAAGAGAAAAAGCAAAAGAAAGCGTGAGGGTCTCGCACCTGCTCAGTAACCGAATCACCTGGATTATAGCATCACAATACATCCTGAACCTATTCGCCAATTCCGTCTCTGCGTCCCCCAAGTGCTTCTCCATCAAAGTCCATCGTTCCTGCGTTGGCAGCTCATCGTTGTCGATGTAAGATAACATATCCCTCATACTCTTGCTGAGGGAAGGAAGGATGACCGTCAGGTAGTGATGAATGTACGGAATCATCGTTTGATAGATGACAAAGAGGTCGTACAGATCTCGAAGTAGACGACTCGAGGTTTCCACTTCCTTCAGCAACACGGTGATGGACTTGTAACAATCACCCAGCTCCTCTTTGGATCTGAGGTGTAGAAGCCGCGAGGAAACTTTGTCGGCTCGACGTGCCTCCATCCAACACCCATTTATCTCCACCTCCATTCGGAGAGCGGAAACATCTGTCACTGCACCTCGGGTGGAAGCAACGATGTCAGTAATGATGTACATTCGAACGAGGAGTAAGAGGCCGTATCAGCAAGCATAATGAGGAAATATATCTTGATAGAAAGAAAATGCACAATTTTGGATAAATGAAGCGGCTCCGGGAGGGGGTGGACGTGTTGCTCTTAATGGGCAGCAGGAACCACTCTGACGTGTCGAGGGTAAGATAAAGTTTGCAGGAGGTGTGGTATTTTGTATGATCAGTCTCTTTAACCCAATTTCTCCAAATGCGAGCGGTCGCTCTTTTGGCCTCTCATGCACCTCACGGGCTCATGCATATCAACAAAGGTAGATAGTCTCGAATAAAAGGTGCTCGTCTCCTTCATTTGTGCTGATAACCGCCTCCGCCATCCAATCTCCAATTTGAGCGTACGCGGGGGGAAGGGGGGCGAGGACTCGAGGAGATCTTTCTCGAGGACGCAGGCACTGCCAGGACTCTGACGTGTCGAGTGTGAGGTACTGTACTGTCCAATTTGTGGTATTTGGCAGGCTCCGTCTAAAAGAGTCGCTCTTCTGGGCCTTCTCCCGCAGGTCTCATGCATGTAATGGGCAGTGATAATCACTCATTGCGAACCATAGTGCATCTGTCCGCTGTGAACTCCGACTCTTAGGTGCTGCCACGATGCCAGAACATGCTGCTGTGTATGCACTACCGAACGAATAATACAAGAATCTCCTGCTTTGAGGACGGCTGGTGATCATGGGAAAATGATCTGACGATAGCATAGGCCGCTCGATATAAGAAGTGGGTGTGTAGCTTTAGCCAACAACATAGCGACAGCAGAGAGCAAGCAATATCGCGGTCCGAATGGTGTATACAAAACGACAGAAAGCATATTTTCTCGTATTGGGAAACTCTCCAGCGGACCAACATCTGAACCTCGGTTTCTGATGTAGCACTTGCTCTGACGTACCCAAGTACATCTCACGAGATACCAACATTCTCTTCCATTCTGCGCCAAAAGATGTGATGAGATACCCACACACCGCTTGATTACATGCAGAGGACTCGAGGGAGAGAACCAGAGAAATCTCAGAGTTGGATGCTGTGTGAGGGTATGCATAGGGACGGACGAGATGATGATGGGAGTCAGGAGCCGTCTTTTCCCGCCCACTCCTCGGACGAGATGACTTGCATCCCGCGAACCCCCTCCACTCGAGTCTCGAACTCCCGATACATACGAATAGCCGCCCGGATAATGTAAGAATCTCCAATATAAAAGGGCCCCCCCACACATTTCGAAGCATCTCCAAACAAGAAAGTATCAGAACCTTGTATATATCCTGAGAAGGATACATACAAAGGTACCCCCCCTCTTCCCTCCCCCCTCAACTTCGACAAAACTCGCCATGTACTGCAAATGAGCCCAGCCCAGCCCCCACGCACCCCCATCAAGCACAATCCATTGACACGGCTTCAAGAAAAAGGTTACTAATGTAGATATCCGCTTCTTGGCGCCCCGTCAAACGTCGTACAGAGATGTAACGTGCTTCCCCGGACAATGGGTTGGCTGCAGATCACGGTATTTCATCCCGCTTGAAAGATGATGTAGATGTCCGCGACTGCGGGGAAGCTCTACTAGAAATAACGGTCTGCCCAACGTCACATCAACGCAGAAGTCGTGTCGTTCTTGTTGTGACCGAACAGAGCTGAGGTTTCAATTTCAAGCGAGGACATGTCAAAGAATTGAGGCAACCAGGCCAACATATTTGTAGACTAGGAAGTTTGGTTTAGGACTACCTGGGACAGGTCTTGTGGTATGATAATTTGTTGAAAGACATCAAGTACTGGCAACATTCGTCAAGTCAAACGGTATTGGAAGATGTTGATTCGATAGCTAGAATACAGAAGATTTCATTGTGATACGCATAGTATGGGATGTGCTAGACATCAACGTCACTGTCGCACTCCGCATGATCGTCAAAAGCGTATCCTATGATAATCTTGGGAATAAATCACGTCCATTAGGTGACCGAGACCCTCCATAACATCATCGTCGCGAAAAACGTCCCTCCATCCTCGATTTCATAAAGAAAAAAATCAGAAAGAAGCCCAAGTCCTGTGCATAACACCCCGCCCCAGCCCAAAGAAAAGTTACAAAGCGAAGCCAAGTGAAGCCCAAGCCACTGCTGCAGAGAGAGAAACACGGTCACACGGAAAAGCCCAGAATCAAGGTATCCCGAGGTGGTCGAGGTCGGTCGTAAACGTGTGTCAAGGTAGTGAAGATACTTCTTTAAGAAGACTCTTCCTCCTCAGCTTCAGCCTGTGCGGCGTTCTTATTAGTACCTCTGGCAGTACGCTTGCGAACGCCCACAGGCTTCTCGTCATCATCTGGCTCAGCACTTACGATATAGCTTGCCTTCTCATCTTCATAACGCTTCTTGTCCTGTGCGGCCTTTGCCTCATATGGTGCACGTTGCTTGTCGCTGAGTGCCTTCCAGCGCTCACCGAGTTGCTTTCCGACTTGGCCTATGGATGCAAGTTAGATACATGACTGAGGGAATGAATGTTGGCACCACGTACCGAAGCTGATTCCGGGGTTCTCCTCGCGAACGTTCTCACGTTGCTCGTTGGCGAAGAACATGTAGGCAGAAAGACCACGCTTTGGGGCATTAGGATCTAGGGATCGATGTTAGGACAATCACGACCAACGACAGCGAGGTCATTTCGAGTCAAGACATACCCTTCTTCTTCTTCTCGGATCGCTTAGCAGTCGCGCGCTTGGGGGCCTTTTCCTTTGGCATGATGATTGATTTAACTAATTGATTTTTTGAAAGTCAGCAAAGTGGTCGCAAAAGTGAGGCGATCCTAAATCGGACGCGATGAGCGAAATCCAAGGTGGTGGTGGTGGGTGGTGGTGAGTGCGACAAGTGGTGGTGACTAGAACGGTGTAGATGGTGTTGTGTTGATTTGGGTGGTGCGATGCGATGCGGGTGTTGAGCGGTCGCAACGTCGACGACTTGCATCGTGAAGCTCAGAAAGTGAGATGGAAGTTGAAAACAAACAAAACCAACTAACCTGAAGTTGACTTTTTGAGGTCGTGAAAAATTGGTGGGCGGTTGGGTTTCCTGCGCGCGGAGGTTAGAGGGAGCTCAGTGGGAAGAGATCATCAAGAAGGGAAGGTGAAGGTGAAGGTCGCGACGACGCGACGACTCTTTGGAGTGTCATTGCCAGAGGGCGAACGACGATGCAATTGCGTGCAATTGAGCGCGTTTTGTGCAGGGCAACGTTGGGGGGAAATCTGGTGGACTCGATGCTGCGTGTGGGCAAGCGAAGGAGACGTCCAGATAATAGGGGAGAGGATTTGGGTAGGGCCAGTACTTACTGTTGGGGAGTTTTTTGGTGGTGGGAGGTCTTTGGTGGTTGCTCTCAGATTTTGGTAGCAGAAGAGTATGAGGGAGGAAGAGACTGAGAGACCAGCAGGTAAGGTGGGTGCTGCTCAGGTATGGGGGGCATGGCCTTGACCGTGCCTGCCGCAATCACTTGCAAAGCAGGGACGCCCACATTGGATGCGCGCCCAGGCCAGTGCAACCATTGGCCAGGAGCCGTGGCCAGTACGCTAGCCTCAAAACAACCACACCCACGCCCACCACCTCTCGGGTTGCGACCACCGTACGGCGTCTGAGCACGCTCCAAGCCTCCAAAGCCTTCCATAGACTGATAGACTGGTGCACTGCACTGGCGCCGGCGAGGATGATGAAGAGGCGTCCCTTCGACGTCGACGAGTACCGAGTATACGAGTACTGTCATCGACCGCCATTGCTGGCACGCAAAAATCCAAGGTGGGACTATGCTGCTCGATGCTCGATGCTCTACGCGTACGGACTAGACTTTCCACCACCGACGCGAGGATTCAGAGCAAGCGTGTTTCTGCGCCTGCATCATGCTCCATACCGGTACACCTTGTTTAGCAGTGCTCCGTAGCAGCTTAGCAGCCACATCGTTCCTGGCTCCCAGCTGGGAATCCTCCCCTCCCACTCCCACTGCCATCGCCCTTGCCCATGCCCCATTCACATGACACGTAACTCGACACCTGAGAAGAGCGTGAAAGTGAATCATAGAATGGAATTGGAGCGTGAATGGAGAAGGCGGCATTTGGAAGAGTTCCAGAAGAGCAGATGAATCGGATTCCGATCTATAGTCACGTGATATATAATCACTGCCTTGCTCAGCCTGAGGTAGGGACGGAGTACAAGTGCCCGCGGGGCCGCCGGGGCGAAATCGCAGGCTGGAGTAGGAATGGGGACCTCATGGATGGTACTCAGTAATCTTACTGAACAAGAAAAGATCGGTTGTTCCAATGCAATCTTCACAATGTCCTGGAATGTTTGCTGAATCGGCAATTATTTTGAGGATTATCCTGTACCAACGCAGTAGGGGAAACAATCAATAGTCTACAAACTACCTACTCGTACCTAGACTAGACTGACTACCTAGCTACGTACCTGCTAGAGATGTACTATATATCCGATTCTAGAGCTAGAGTAACTCGTAGAGTGACTCGTACAGGGACACACACCTTCAATCCATCCACTACTAGCAACTTGAGGTGACTATCTAACTGTAGAGATTAATAGTAGAAATAGAGTAATCTATTAGGTATAATAAGTATTAAAGAATAGTACCTCCGTAGAAGTTTGGTGCAAGTCAGGTGACTTAAGATATCTCCACTTGCAACCGCCTTCATCGAGTCTCCAGGGCTAGATGGGCAGTTCGGTGCTATATATTATATGCTTTCACACATCCCGACTGTGCCTCCTCAACACCATAAACCCCTCCCCCCTCGGTTCATCATCCTCCCTAAATTCGATGCATCGTCCTCCGCTCACCCACCTCCACCTTCTCAACTGCAACCACCAAGCCTCCTGCAAGCGGTAGCTGTCACCCACCCCACCCTGAGCTCGCATCCACTGCATCGTCTCACATCTTACCTGCTCCTGCACCTGCAGACCGAAATGTGTTGCAGCAGAGGGAAAAAAGTGAGGCGAGGCACGTAGATACCCATTCATACCCAGCCCAGTACACCCGTCCCAAAGGAACTCCTCCAACCCTCATCATCGTCCCAAAAGTGGCCGAGTCTGCTGCCTGGCTGTATGTCGTGTTGCGCTGTCGTTGGGCCTCGAAGCCCGTCTGCACTACCTGCATCTTAGCCTCTTTCTTCCCTACGACCTTCATATACCCTGACAGATACCAATTGCTTCCCTGTCCACCGCCTCACCCTTCTGCGAAAGAAAAACCCATCTTCATATCTCTCATAACCCTCCCATGATGACCCATCCTACTCAAATGCAATGATACGTCAAGGTCTCTACAAGAATACGAGCCTGCCTTTGCTCTCCAAGACTCAAGATACACCAACCTCCCCCGCGGATAGCGGCGTGCTACACAATTTGCATGCAGATAATGTGCCAGCGGCCCCTTCTAATTGCTAACAAACCACGTCTTGCTGCTGGAGCATAACAACCTGAACGAAGAAGTGGCGAAGGCCAATCTACTGCGTATGTTGTAGATACGAGTCCCTCAAGGACGTTGAGAATCCTTGCTAATAACGCTCTGGCGTTCAGTCGCGGGGATCCTTACCACTCCATAATGGCACAGACGAGCAAACCCAGGGCTGCCTCGACAGATCAGAAGACGTCGTGGTCATGGAAGAGGCTCTTTGGCAAGGACGATCAGACCAATGCTCAACCTGCAGTTCTGGCGGACGATTTGCAGAAACCCGGCATTGCTCGACGATTGTCAAGAAAGGCGGTGCCTGGCTTACCTCGCGCAGGCACGTTTAAGAGACAGCAGTCGGAGTTGCGCGATCGATTGGAACCCGTCATACCCAAACCCGATGAACGTCGCACGGTATCAGTCGATCGAAGACGAAACATTTCCGACCGAAGCTCAATTAGTGCCATTGCGAACCCTCTTCCCCGACTCAGTGCCCCTGAGCTCTTGGAGACGCAAGAAAAAAGAGAAACCGTTGATGACCTCTTGAAGGAAGAGAAAATCACTATCGAAACAGCACCCGAGGAAGAAGCTCAGGATTATGTGGATGTCGAAAAGAACGTTGAGAATGGACCCTTGGCTATTGACACGCAGTCCATCTCGACTGCGGCCTTTGATGAGATTATACTGGAAGAGCTCGAGAAGCGATGGATTTTGAATCTGAGCATGCATTTCCGGGACAGGTCGAAGCGAGAAAAGTTCTTTGTCACCTTTGCAGAAACCCCAACGCATTGGAGACGGGTAACAGTATCCTTGGACTACAGAAATGCCCCGCCAGGGTCTCTGGAAGATGAATTGCTTCGCACCAGATTTCAGAGGGACAAGAGTGCTCGGATTTATGAAGCTATCCGCGAATCGCTTGCGGACATTCAATTCTATGAAACGGTCACAAATCTCAAGTTACAGACAGAGAATGAACGTCTACATGTACATGTGGTGGAAGACGTCTCGGAAATAATTCAATACCCTCCAGTCAGAGCCATTAATCACCTTAATTGCAGAAGAGTCCGAGAGGATGAGCTTGTATTTGACTCGCATCTTTCGGGGTTTGTCTACAAGGTGCGGGTCGGCGGGCAAGTCTTTATCAAGAAAGAGATCCCAGGAGCAGATACTGTCGATGGATTTTTATATGAGATCAATGCTCTACATCAACTCGCTGACTCGCGCAGCGTAATCCAATTTGGAGGTGTTGTTCTTGACAATAGAGGCGAGTGTGTCAAAGGGCTTCTAATCAGTTTTGCAGAGCAAGGCGCACTGATTGATGTGATCTATGACGGAGAAGGGAATATCTCTTGGAGAAGGAGAGAAAGATGGGCTAGACAGATTGTTCAAGGTCTCGCGGAAATTCACGAGGCCGGCTTTGTTCAAGGAGACTTCACCCTTTCAAACATTGTCATTGATAACCATGATGAGGCCAAAATCATAGATATTAATAGGCGTGGTTGTCCCGTTGGATGGGAGCCTCCAGAAGTCCGCGATCTCATTGACAGCAACCAGGGGATTTCGATGTACATTGGAGTTAAATCTGATTTGTTCCAACTGGGAATGGTTCTCTTTGCCCTAGCCACCCAGCATGACGAGCCAGAAACCCTACGGCCTTTTGATATGGGTAGCTTTCCCTCGGAGATTCCTGTTTATTTTCGAGAGATTTGCCATCGATGTCTCGATGAGGATCCCAGGCGCCGTTTGCAAGCTTCGACACTGCTAAAATCATTCCCAGAAATGGAAGATTCCTTCCATGATGAGCCTCTACGCGCAGTACCAATTGTGGTTGATGCCCAACATGTAGATGAGAAGGAATTCCCCGGATACCAAGGAAAATCTGGAGTCCATAGCCCCCCGTATACCCCTTCAGGACTGGACCGGACAATCAACGTTCATGACTACGCGGTAACAGATGTTTCAGATGATTTTGACTACTATCCAAGGAGGGGAAGGTCACCTCCGGCACCAAACAGGACGGAGACGGCAGGAACCTCGATGCCCTTTTCTACAGCTAGCAGTCAATATCCCCAGGCTCTTGGCCGTGTCCCGCGTACCAGCGTTCTTTCTCCCGAGAGTATTCCACTTCCAGACCCCAGTAATGCATCGGACTACCTGAATAGCACCCGGGATACCACTGGCTCAACAGGAGTTGACATCATGTCTGCTATGGATTCCAATGGCATCGAAAGCAGTGTTCAGAGTGCTGACGCGACACGCCTCAGTACAGGGTTCGATTTTCTGGATTTTGCAACCAAGCGCCCTTCTGATTCCAAAGCCTCAACGTCACATACGGCGCCCGAATTAATGCAACGAGATACAACTCGAAAGGATTCCAAGTTGAGCGTTTCTAGACCCGAATATATGGACGAGAAATCTTTCCTAAATAGAAGCGATACCATTGAAGTCAACCTCATAGGTTCCCATGGTCCCCATCAAGGATTACAGCACTCAGACCAAGACGATATGGACCAATGGACCACCCCAGAAACAGGAGAATCGCGTTCCACAGTAGCGATTCCCGAAATATCAGAAATATACCCCGCGGAATTGACAGGTGTTGGCGCTCACAATTCGGGCAGCCATTTTCAGATTCCTCCGAATTTAGATGACGATTTTACGACAGAAACGCATTAAAAAATGCACAGGAAAACTTATAACGATAGCGACAGAAATGTTTTGGGGGTTTTGTTTTTTATGATTTTTCATCGTTTTTATATTAAGGGTTTCACCCCTTTCTCTATGAGTGAGCAGCACTCTGGTGAATAATAAGGCATTAGGGAAAGGGTGTTTTCATTTATCATCTTCTTTTCTTCTTTCTCTTCTTCCAGATTTGTGCAGTGTACTAATATAAGTGTGGATATGGTAAGCTCATTTGGCGAAAAGCTGAGATACTATTACGTTGAGATGGAGTGGAATACTACAAACGGGATGGGCTGGGTCTGAACTGTACAGCGGAACCACCACCGTAGTAGTATTCTGGAAATAACATGTAACCTGGGAAACTTGGATAGTTGAATTGTCTCATGCCGTGACTTCTTTCATAGATGAAATGAAAGTTTTGAAGGTGGATGCTGTCGGAACAGCGTGTGTAGTTAGAATGGGAGAAATGATATGTCGACTAGAAATTTTTGGCGTGGATTTGTTTGGGCATATCAAAGTACCGGTAGCTTCATTCGGGGGTTTTCTTTATTCTGACTATATCGAATAATAAAGTCAATTGACCGAAACCCCTGGAAAAATCATATCAGTCGTCCTACAAGATTAGAGGTTAACCAATTAAACTATTTTGAGAAGGAAAGAAAAAAGCAACCAGTTTTGCTACCCTTTCCTCTACCGTGAGAGGCAATGGTTCCCCAGGGGTTGGGCAGAGGGTCGTCAAAAGTACTAGTCCGTTGCTGGTGTTACATTTTTGCTATTGACTCAGCTTACGGTGCTCACCTCTCTTCCACGTCCCTTGGAATCGTGCTTATTCAATTTATAGCAGCATATCCAGGTCGATCAGAGAGACTCTTGGCGTCGTGATGAACTAGAGTAGAAGCGAGTAAGCTACTGTATGTATGCGTACAGTAGCTGGTGGTAGAAGTCTGCCTTGGGTGTTCATGCTTCTGCTTCATGCCTGTTACTGCACAGAACCTTGTGCTACGTACCTGTACCCTCGTACCCTCGTACCGCACCTTCTGCCTTGTCGTGAACCTTGGGCCGAACCCTTGAACTTTTTCCCCGCCTTGGGCTGAGGATGATGAAGCAAAAACTTACAGGTGGTGAAGACTAGACCTCGATGTTTCTGAGCTCAGGATCCTACTATGAACCTTTCCTTTCTTGCCCATAAACAAAATCTTCACCATCCTATCGTGTATTGGAGTCGCATCACCACGCCAAGCCCAGGAATTCCCAAGTGAGGGGGCATCAAGCAAGCAAGCTAACAAGCTCCTCAACAGCTGCGTCTCCATACCTACCCACGGACTCAAATACTGTGTTTTTCCCAGGATACGGATACGGATACTTATTCGATCCCAGAGCTCCGGTAATTCATAATGCCACGCGATCTCCATCTTGAGCAACCGCAACCGCAAAAACAACCATCGCAAGACGACAAACCCGGTTCACCACCCACCCTGAGCGAGTCCCCGAATAGAATGTCGGGCCCCTCCAGTCCCGAACCGGAGAGCTCTGGCTCCAAGAGCTTTTCCATTGTTCCGCATGATCAGCAGTATCGCCCGACGCTGAATTTACATCCGCTTGTGAGGCCGCTTACGATTTCTGATCTGGGGAGTGTGGTTGCGCTTGAGAATGGTGCTTTTGTGGAAGAGAGCGAGAGGGCTACTAGAGAGAAGGTATGCTTTATTCTGTTTTTGTTTGGCTACGTATGCCTGTGTGAGGATTTGGGGAAGGGTTCAGTAACGAGATACTCTTTTTTTCTCTTGGTTGGGAGACCCGGAATCTCGTAACGGGATACATGGGATTTTCAAGAAAGAAGATACGAAAACCCGAAAGTGAAAGACTAACAAGTTTCTCAAGATAGAATACCGACTCTCCAAATGTGGCGAACTCTGTTCTGGCCTCTTTACCACTGTCGTACCCGGTCCTCAACAATCGTTCTCCTCCACCACCCTCTCCTCCGCCTCTCCCGTCGAAACCTCTCGTAAGAATGGCGCTGTTTCGGTACTTCTTGGTCATGTAGTCGCTACGAAAACTACGAGTCCGCTGGCGACGGATGAATCTATGGATTTCCCTAAGGATTGGAAGAGTGCGAGTTCGGCGAAGAATGAGGTTGGTCATATGGAGATGGGAAGGACGATTGTGTTGCATAGCGTGACTGTGACGCCGGAATTTCAGGAAAGAGGGTTGGGAGGGGTCTTGATGAAGGCTTATATTAGTTCGATGGCGGGGAGTGGAGTTGCTGACCGGTTGGTTTTGATTGCTCATGATGTGAGTTTCTTTCTTCTTGGTGTTTTGTTTTACACGGGTTTGCTAATTGGAATAGCATAAGGTTGGTTGGTATGAAAAACTTGGGTTTGTGAGTCAAGGGAAGAGCAAGGTTCAATTCGGTGGTGGTAACTGGATTGACATGGTAAGTAATTCATTCCGTGTGAAAATAACATAGCTAATTGATCGACAGGTTTACGAGTTGAAGAAAACCGAGCCAAGAGCAAGATATGGTTGATAGGATATTATTTTATGATACCCCAGATTTATTATGAGCATAAAGGCATCTTTGGGGCTGGTTTAGCAAGATAAAGAAGTCACTAATGAAATGACGAAGGGACGATTTGGGGCGGTAGGTAGGTAGCAATTCCATAATCAAAGGCTGGGGGTATCATAAATTTAATCAGTAGCCCCAAACTTCTCTCTATACTCCACCATCCTCTTCATATCCTCCTCACCACCCTCCTTCCCACTCAACGCAGCAATGATATCATTCATCGTCAAAATAGCCAACACGGGAAGATCAAACTCCCTTCTAATCTCCCCAATGGCACTTCGTCCACCCTCAGCACCAGGTAGAGTCTCCATCCTATCCAAAGCCACAATAATCCCCACCACAATGCCCCCCTCCTTCCTGATCTTGTCAATGGCCTCCCTCTTTGCCGTCCCCGCCGTCACAACATCATCCACGATCAAAACCCTCTTTCCCTTCAGAGGCGCACCTACAATATTGCCCCCCTCGCCGTGATCCTTAGCCTCCTTCCTATCAAAAGAGTAACTCAATTGAGCGTATTTCTCCGGCTGTAACTCGGCCAGTTTATCGACTGTTGCCGTTGCGAGGGGAATCCCCTTGTATGCGGGCCCGAAGAGGATATCGAATTCTATCGGGGTGGGGGAAGAGGCATTCTCGATGATGAGTTGGGCGTAGGCGGTTGAGATGGCGCGGAGGAGGTCGGCGCGGTGGAAGGAGCCTGCGTTGAAGAAGTAGGGGGATGTGCGCCCGGATTTGAGGGTGAAGGAGCCGAAGGTTAGGATTGAGGCTTCGAGGGAGGTGGTGAGGAAAGAGGCTTTGTAGGGGGCGAGGGGTGGAGAAGACATGGTCTTTTCAGGTGATTGCGGGGTGTTTTTTTCGTTCAGATGGAGGTTGTTGAGGGTTGAGGTTGGGGTTTGGGTGGTTGGCTTTTTCTGGATTTGGTCGGTAGAGGGTGGAGTGAAGGGTTTGAAGGAGTGTTTCGGTTGAAGGGGATTGAGTGAGAATTGAAGGAAATGGATGTGAAAATTATTGTCGCGAGGAGGGGTAGAAATTGTAGATGCCTGCCGGCCTGCCCCACGTTGAATTTTCTCTGGCGAGGTTATCCCGTCTGATAAGATACTGTACTACAGGAGGCGACGGCAAGAAAGTAACCTACACATTTCCACAATTGGTCTTAAGAAAACTGGTATGGAGATATATTGAAATGGCAAATATTCTTATTTGATTGAAAGTCCGGGGAAGAATAATTAAAGTGTCTCTTGGATATTATTAAGTGGAGTTGGAAGTAGTTCGAGGATTCAGTATGTAGTCGAAGGTCTACAGTAGATAATTACGAGTACACTAATGGATTCTGTACCTATTTGTTTGAAATCCGTAATATCACATATAATAGATAGTGTATTTGATTCATTTCGCAAAATCTGGTTTAAACGTTCAACATTTGGCAGAATTCTGGAACGAGTTACTGTATTTGATGAATCCTTCCTCGTAATATAATAACTTATTCTATTCACTTACCCCGTCCCCTTTCACGGTAATCAGGAAAGTGGCACCAAACAGCCTTATTGTTCCAATTCTTTAGAAGAATCGTTCCTTACTCCAGATTTCTGGGGCAAAAGAAACAATTACAATAAGCGAGTTCATGACCATAGTCCCCTTTAGAGCCTCGGGAAAGCCGAGTTGCAATGTAGGACTTCTGCAAACAAGATAGCTGAGCTGAGGGTGTGATGATTGGGAGATATATCCATTGATGTCTTGATTGTCTTAATATCAATCAACTTATATTCTTTCTTTTACAGACATAACCTACGACATTCAAAAATTCCTCGAATGTCACTGTGTGTCGAGCGTGTCTATCATACCTACCTAACTATGTAGAGTCGCGAGCTAACTGAACCTATTATCGGAGCTTGATGAACGATCGATAAGGTTGGTCCGTGCACGTGGAGGGACTATCTTAGCGCATTTTGTGTCTTGGCACAGGAAATTTTGCCCGCCAGTATTTTTTGCGAAATATCTTATCGCACCCCAACTTCAATACACCACAAAACGTCGCCCAACATGAAGCTCACCTGGAAAGACATTCAGCCGGTACCTACGAGCCAGGAATTTCTGGACATTGGTGCGTGACTCTCCGCCTGACTCGAATTCATGCGAAAATCCCAGATCCAAGCAAAATCGCCTCAATTTCATTCATATCGCCCGGACTATGCTAATTTTTGGTATCTAGTGCTCAGCAGAACGCAGCGAAGACTCCCAACCCAAATTCGCGCAGGCTTTCAGATCTCCAGAATCAGAAGTAACGATACAGAGCTCTCCGATATTAATCTGTGCTCGTGCTGATGTTACTACCAGATTTCTATACCCGAAAAGTCAAATTCACCGCAGAGACCTTCAGCGAGAAGCTTTCCCTTATCCTGGACGGTTTCCCAAGACTTCAAGATATCCATCCATTCCATAAAGATTTGCTAAATACACTTTACGATGCCGATCATTTTCGAATTGCGCTGGGGCAGTTGTCGACCGCGAAGCATTTGATCGAAATTGTGTCAAGAGATTACGTTCGCCTCCTCAAATACGCACAATCACTGTTTCAATGTAAACAGCTTAAACGGGCAGCTTTGGGGCGAATGGCTACCATCTGCCGAAGACTTAAAGACCCTCTTCTATACCTCGATCAAGTTCGTCAGCATTTGGGCCGTCTGCCAAGTATCGACCCTAACACCAGAACATTACTTATCTGCGGATACCCCAATGTGGGAAAATCGAGTTTCTTAAAGAGTGTTACAAGAGCGGATGTTGATGTTCAGCCATATGCTTTCACAACGAAGAGTTTGTTTGTGGGACATTTCGACTATAAATACTTGAGATTTCAAGCAATCGACACCCCAGGTATATTGGATCATCCTTTGGAAGAGATGAACACCATTGAAATGCAATCGATTACCGCAATTGCGCATTTGAGATCGGCAATCCTGTATTTCATGGATCTTTCCGAACAGTGTGGATATACGGTTCAAGCTCAGATGCAACTTTTCCAGAGTATCAAGCCTCTGTTTGCTAACAAGCTTGTTTTTATCGTTATCAATAAGATTGATGTTACCCGACCGGAGGACTTGGATGAGGAGACTCAGGCTGCGCTTCAAGCTTTGTTGAAATCCGGAGATGTTGAGATGCTTCAACTCTCGTGTACGACCGAGGAGGGTGTTCAGGAGGTCAAGAACGCAGCTTGTGAGCGTTTGATCGCAGACAGAGTTGCTCAAAAACTCAAGTCTGGCACAAACAGCAGTGGAACCGTTGGTGGACGACTGGGAGATGTTTTGAACAGAATTCACGTTGCACGACCAATGGATGGTGTAGTCCGCGAGCCATTCATTCCAGAAGCCGTCAAGCACTTAAAGAAATACGATAAAAATGATCCCGAACGCCGAAAACTCGCACGAGACGTGGAGGAAGAGAACGGTGGTGCTGGTGTTTTCAATGTTGACTTGAAAGACAAATATCTTCTTGCAAATGACGAATGGAAACACGACAAGATTCCAGAAATCTTTGATGGAAAGAACATTGCCGATTTCGTTGATCCTGATATTGAGGCTAAGCTCCAGGCTTTGGAAGATGAGGAGGAGAAACTCGAGGCAGAAGGATATTACGACTCTGATGAATCAATAGAAGATGTTGAGGACGCCGATATTCGCATGAAGGCCGAGTTGATTCGCGAGAAACAAACACTTATCCGCAATGAGGCCAAGATGAAGAAGTCTCTCAAGAACCGTGCCATAATCCCCAGATCCGCTACACGCAAGAAGCTCTCCGAAATGGACGATGCTCTCGACTCCCTTGGCCACGATACAACTGCAATCACCGCACGAGCAAGATCACAATCCCGTGGACGTACACCGCTTAGAAGCCGAACCAACACTGAGGATGCAATGGATATGGATGATCCCGAGCATGAGGCCAAGATGCGGGCCAAGAGCAGAGCAAGAAGCCAGAGTAATAGACGCGATGATGGTGTGACCAATGAAGCTGCGAGAACCAAGGCAGAGCGAGCGCAGAAATTAGGACAGAGAAAGATGAACAGAATGGCTAGACAGGGAGAGGCTGATAGACACGTTGCTGGAGCCATGCCTAAACATTTGGTAAGTCTTTTGTTCTTTTTCTTGATAAGGAAGAATATCTTTTTGGCTAACGATCATGACAGTTCTCTGGCAAGCGTGGTATGGGTAAGACGAACAGCCGTTAAGATTTGGGATATGGTCTGTTGTGTTTCATCATTGCTTGCAAGTGGTTCAACTGGTGGCTGGCGTTTACAAGGAGTTAAATTGCCTTGATAATTCAGGAGGATTTGCCTATTCCTGATCTTGTGGCTTTTTTATGTTCTTGTTTGGTGATCATACGGGGTTATGAAATGGCATGGAGTGTAGTGGAGTAATAAAAATTGACATGAATTTCTTCAAGCATCGAAAATTCAAGGGACTGAGAAATTGATTGAGCTGATAGTGTTTCCGGGCCCTCTTGTCCATATAAAATTCTCATTTCTTTTTGTTACTGAGCTATAATTACGTACCCAGTGTCTTGTCTCCTTACGTGGTTGTTGCACGGTCAAGTTATAGAGAATCCCATATTCTGGCAATTCACTGTCTCCCAACAATTTGATCACAGCTGGAGCCTCAACACACAGAGGTAAGTTTTCGCTCCTTACCTTGAGAGGAACCCCTACTTTGAAATATGTAGTACTACTGTTGTAGGAAGCTACAACCGTTGCACGCTGGATCTGCAACAGTTGCATAATCACAATAGTCGTACAATAGAGACCTACAGGCATACATGGGGGTTTTCCTTTAAGGCAGCTGCGGAGTGTATTTTCCATTGGTTCAATGTCCGAAAGCGAGGAGGGTACGACAAGAGTTTGAAAGACGCCAGTCAAGGTTCAAAGGTTCTCAAGGGGGGAGATGACAGCAACGACATTGTCTGGACTTTAAGATATACCTCGCCTAATCAAATCAAAGTGATGGGAAAGCGCGACACATATACGATGCGGTTCTCTTGGGCGGAATGGAAGCTCGGCCTCGACCTCGACCTTGAGAAGGACTTGAGGAAGGTAGGTACCTACCTACGTAGGTATAATCTGCAGTGTGAGATGTGGGTAGATTGGAAACCCCCATTTGTACCTACGTACCTTGGTAGGTACAACCGTTGCAGTCCTGCGTGCGATGAAAGTGGGGGGCTTCCTTTGAAGAAGCACACAGAAAATCTGCATGGGACGAATTGCATCGTGGTGTGGGTGGTTAGATGTAACACCTAGGTATTCTTCATCTTCTTGAATGCATTGTCGATCACTGAACAAGTCGTGATTTTGCTTTCAATCTCAGAAGGAGCCGAAATGATGATGCATTCCATTGGTATTGTGAATTCAAAGGTTGTAGTAAAAAAAGGCTGGTCTTTAGATGATTCCTTTGATAACTTGCCCAGGAAGGGGGATGGGTCGACGTCGAATCCTCCAGAGCTTTCGTACGCTCTAACGCTCGAGTGCCTAGAACAATGTTAGTCCCGAATTCTCATCTTATGGGAAGCGTTAACCTGCATGCTTCTCTGTTGTCTTTACACAAAGCAAGGATGAATGTACCTAGCTACTGTACCTATAGGTATGTAGTGTTGAACCCCTCCCTTCCAGCTCAGACAGGGAAGGAAGCGGCAAGAATAGAAACCCGCGCGCCTATCAATCCAGGTTTACCAGTTTCTCTCAGTAAGCCTTGTCTATCAAACTATCACAGCTACGTATACTCGTAAACATATTTTATCATCCAGGATGCTACATCCGGTTGGTGTTCTAGGTAGGTACGGTAGGTACCTACCTAGTGACTTTCTCGGCGCCTCGACGTTGGTTCTAGCTCGCTTGGGAACAAGCGGCTTCAAGTCCCGGAAGCGAGCGTCTTCAGCTGAACGTGGTATTCGAACATTGACCTTGTATGATTGTTTCTTGTGGAAAATCCTTTCCACGGGACGGGATGTGTTGCTTAGTGTGATTTGTTCTTTTTAGTGATGTAATGGTACCGTGCGAGGCTCGGAAGGCGTGGCGTTAGTCGGTGTACTGTCGAGGACCATGTTCAGGGGTCTGAATTTCGGACTCTCCGTTTGGCATTCGGTAACCTATGGGATGGGAACTTATTCAAGGATTTATTAGGTCAATACATGTATGTGCATGCTAGTCATTTTTCCATGATTTTGACATTCGCTACCTGCCTAGACATACCTACTTGATTCGAAAAAGCCTCGATCCATTTCGGTAGGTACTAGTATGTGGCCGAGATTTGTATTGACTCTGAAGATGGTTATTCTTGCCCCATTTAGACGGTGTAATCAAATAGTTATGCTAGACACGGTGTTAGAGTATCCAAAATCCAAGACAAATCAAGGTGGAGATGCTCGGCTGTACGCTCCTCTCAATTTATCTGGTTCTGTAAATCCAAGAGGACGCAGGCTTAGAGACAGAAGTCCGATGCAGCCGGTATATTTTCTGGCCAATGGTTTTACCTTAGTAAAGGGGGTGGACAGTCAATGCTGGACACTGTCGCTGATCATACTTCGTAGTACGTCTCGGCCCCGCCTTTTAGCTAAACCAGCGAATCAAAGACTCATATTTGGGCGATATGGACTTTTTTTCACATATGATCTAATTTAGAAGTACGTGATAGTGTCCAGCTTTGACTGTCCACCCCCTTTACGTCACTCTCGTGCTCTTGTCTCAGTTACTTCCCGATCAATTTGAAGCATCTATGTACTTCCCTGTCGTCCCAACTTTAAAGTGTCCTTGACACATGCAAACTCCAGGCAAAAATTGCGTTGGATGAAGAGTATGATGAGATTTGCACATTCGAATACGTTGAAGTACAAGTATTTCTTTGGGCATAATTTATGTGGTGAGTGTTAAGATACCTACAGGAGTTGAAGTTAGGTGAAAGGAGTGACAATGTATAGGTCAATAGGTACAGTGCTCGTACATGAACTATAAATTCCACGCTCCGAATCCTCGGACTCAGGTCCGACTACTTGTAGACGGAGGCTAAACCTAAATAACCGGCAATAGTAACAATGGGATCCTGGCTCACAGAAAAACTAAGAAGGCCTGTACTGTAAGTATTTACTGATTTTGGTGCAATGGTGTCTTTATGTACCTTCATTAGCTATTAAATTCAAGAGGTCAATAGCGAAAGACGACTGCGAAACCGTATCACATAATAATTGAGTTGATTGAGACTCAGGGTCTTCAAAAGGGCATAGATGAAGAACTCGTCATGTTCATTAGATATAGAATACTTGATTTCAAATACAAGGATAGTACCAGTCTCCGTATCATATTGCAGTTTAACCCTAGCAATATCCTTGGCTTTAATTGGGTCGGAGACAACTCGGCATGGCTACAAACTATGTCAGTTTGTATATAAGAGGGTAATGTCCCGTATCACTTTTGTCTCCCAAAGACCACCTCCACTTTCCCCTATACAACCTCAATTCTCCATTAAATAATCCTCCAACTTGAACACCATGAAGATTTTCGCTACCCTTCCTCTGTTCTTCGTATTTGCAAGTTCTGCACTAGCAGAATGTACAGCAGGGGTTCCATTTGCTCTGAGAGTCAGGCCGATGTTCCAAAACATTTAAAGATACTGGCTAATGTCAAACAGGGAAGAAATGATAGTAGAAACAAACAACATACTGTTAGTAACTTGAATTCTGGGATCTACTAAGGTTATGTGAATTTAGCATCGATAATTAATACTCTACAGTGTAACGTTCTTGGCCAAGTCCCAGGTAACGATAATCAAAACAAATGCACTCTAGTCGAAAAAAACACTGGTCTTAGTATATTTCAGTGGTGTGTAAGTTTATATCGTGTGTTCTTGCAGTAAAATACCCCACTAACAACATTGAAGTGCAGCTTTTAAGCAGAGACAGAGGGAACTTTATACTACAGCGCTCTCGATCCTCTTCTTCAAACTTGAATTTACTAGCTTCACTCATTACTAGTCCTGTACGATCGCAACATTAAGGTGGAAAATCTGTAGTGGCTACTAGAAATGTATGAGTATTCTTTATTCTGATCTAGATAGACATCATAATAATACACACGAGTTGCCATTCTACTTTCGATGGGATCCCTGTAGACCCCTACTACCAGTGAATCCCTTCCAAGGATCCTACCATTGTATAGCTTATCAGTTTCTCCATTCCATCCGACCTACAAGAAAAGCATCGTGGTCCCTCCTGTCGTCCAGTTTAGCAGTCTATTTATTACATATCCTCTCTTGGAGAAGTGCGAGTCAGAGCGATTCAACAACCAGAGCTCTTCCACTAATATTAGATCACTAAGGGCATCTAATGCAATAGTAAACCGCACTTCTATCTTAATCCTAATTCACAACTTAAAGTCCGAACACTCCTTTTGAAAACCTAGCTTACTCTAACGCCACGCCAAAAGAGTAACCTGAAGATTTTGCAACAAAACTAACCGTCATAATCAGAGCGCTTAGTAATTCCCATCCGGCTAGAAAACTTCCGCCTCTATGATATGATAACCTTTACGAGTACCAGAGTTAAAACTCAAGACCTATATGTATTCTTTCTTGGCGTAAAGTTATCTCAAAGAATGATTTTCTTGAGAACCATAAGCAGAGGCGTAACAATCTTCATCCAAAGAGAAGTAATATAAGACAGTTCAAAATAAATAGTGGAAAACTTTTCGTGTCCTTGTAGCTATCTTAATATAATTTCATCAAAAGTTTGGAGATAACATTAGTAAACACGGTAAACGATCATAACACGAACAAGAGCTTCTTTTTCTTCTAAAATATCCTGCTTGAAACCTATTGAAGGACCCAGGTGATAAGACTTCCTGTACTTTCAGTCTAGAGTTTGAAACATAGCATTTGTTATAGATCTCGTTCGGCAGCTTGCTTATAGTGTCTCGCCAAGTGATTACTAATAACAACCAACTGAGTCCAACCTCCAAGCTGATGCCTAGACCAGAACACACTTCGAGTAATGAGCCTGGTCCTTTGTATAATTTAAAAAAGACGAGTAGAAGGAGGCATGATGTAAATCTACACGTTCATGTGTTTTCATAACAGTTCATTTGCACTTGGCACAATATCTTCTATTATTCATCTTCACACCAAAACACAATCTAGATCTAGACCTCTTAACTTACTTCCTCACTCAAAGTACGCCCATATCGACTCAGAATCTAGAACTTCGGAGCTGAATCCCAAAGTAGCAGCCATGTAGACACAATAAAACTGAACAACATATCATCCTTGAGGACCAGACCGAAAAGCCCAAGGAGAACGGGAGAGCATAGCCACTGAACCGCCTCCTAATTCTTTTGGTGCCGGGTACGATTCATCTCACGGGGTTCCCTTCCAAAGCGTCATCATTTCACAAACTTCGGCACCTCGTTCTTCGACCCAATCGCTCTCTCACTACTTACCCCACCAAATCCCCATCAAAGTTTATCCATTTGGCGGCTCAAAAATCACCCCGCGCCAATACGCGCTTAGTGTTGGTGGCGGCCTCGTGTCATGAATTCTGGAAGGGGAAGAAGATGGAAAAAGCAAAAGATGTCAGCCACCGGGTCGCACAAAGGACGGCGGCTCTCACCCGAGTTGCTAAGGCTTCCAGACCTACAAAAAAGACTTCATCTTTAAACGAGAAGCGCGGGGGGGCGCCAAACTTTCTGCCGTTGGGAAGAGGTCGGAATCAAATGTATATCCCAACATGGCTATGTCAGGGGCCGCTTCTGCTAAAGTGATCCGAGATGAGAATAAGCGAATCGGATGAGGAGATCTCACGCAGCCTCACGCCCACCCGGTCTCAACAGAAAATCATGCTTAAATTTAACTCAAGATCGGTAACGGGGCGGAGCAGCTGGTGTCTGTGGAATCCCGGGAGAGGAAAGGAGAGAGCCATCACGGCTCACGAGGGACCAATCGCCTTCGACCACAAACCAGGACGGCAACAAGATCGGGCGCAGATGTGCTTAAAGGTTGGTAGGAAGTGAGTTCCGAGGATAGCGGCTTCGGTCACTGCACCAACCATTCCTTAAGGGCTCCCTAGTCAATCATCAGGCGTAGCACTGTTGGAGACGCAGAGGCGAAATATTTTACACGTACGAGACCGAATGGAAGGGTCATCTCATATCAAGGCCTGTTTTATATTCTATTCGGCAGAGGAGTCTTCGCAGCACCCGATGATGGGCAATCCGCAGAGCACATGTTATGTGGATCCCAGCGGAACCCCCTCCTAGTGCGGGAGAGAAGCACTCACATTTTATTGCAAACACGCCGTAACACAAGACAAAGGTATACCACCATTGCGTCAGACTAATGTGAGCCATAAGGCTGAGTAACATGATGGTGGTATAATGTCCTATTGCCGTACACTATTCATGAAATTACTGTGGGCTCCGGGACGAGAGAGAGTGGAGCCTGGTGCCCACCAAGGGAAAAAAAAATAAAAGATATGGTGCCACGAGCCTAAACACCACATTATGACTCTTGCTACCTAATGAAACCAAAGAGGGCTGGCTAGCTTTCAGGACTCCTCGCTTGCTGCTTGATATTCATTCAGGCAAAATAGGTGAGCTTTCAACAGTATGCCTGTCAAGCACATCAAAATCATAGGTTCCAGGAGGGATTGTAACACAAGGATCAGCAAAAGCTTTGTGTTACTAACGCTATCGTACCTGTCATGAATAAGGTAAATGAATATAGAGGCTCAATTCTGGCAATTATATTCTACCCAGGCACAAAGATAAGTAGCTTCTTAGACTTAGATAGAACCAGATGAAAGTAACAGGACGGAAACTTCTTTTTAGTCCCTAATGGAAAGAAAGATAGAAAGAAATAAAGCAAGAAATAAAGAAAGAACCCCAGGATCGCTGTGGTAGTGGGGAGAAAACAAGAGAACTATAGGCCTAGAAGATAGAAGCATTATTTCCATAGCACTGGATGCTTTGGACAAGGTCATCTAACAGAGCTCTGCTGCAGATATACTTGCTATCGCTTCATTCTCTAATGACCCCTCTTAGTACTAGCTTGAAAATCCGGAAGATTGCTGGAAGCTGAATTGCGAGGAACTGAACAGCCGCTCGGTGAATGAAGGTTCTCAGTAACTGGTCAGGGGATAAATAGTGGATACATAACACATCACTACAAAAATTAGATTTCAAAAACATATCATAGATAGCTGAAATATTTCTTCGGCCACAACCGCAGCACAGAATAGGTACTAGGGGGCCGAGTGGTCTTTGATCCAACTCTGGCGTTTTGTTAGAAGAAAAGGTGCACTGAAGGGGTTGGAGAGAGCGCCTGGCGGAAGACTCTGGCGACTGGCCAATACGAGATGAAAGGAATTGAATCAGGGTAGTAGCCATCCCCTTCCCTCTCGCTAGTTAAATTCAACGTCCATCCGCAACTCTGATCAAACAGATGAATCAAACTTTTCAGCAGATTCAACTCCCAGCGCACTGACAGCACCTTGGCCATCAAACTCCAACAATCGTTAACTATTCTCCTTGACAAAGAGGTTTTAGTCATGGCGAGGTATGCGCGTATCCTTGTGCCTGAAAAGCATGTTATTTGCTAAAAGGCCTATCCAGCAACCCTTTTCGACCAGAGGAAGGAACAAATTCACTTGATAGCGAGTTTCTTCGAACCACTTGGTTGTATGGCAGGCTGTTTCAGGATTACAGTATCGAGAATCAAGTCCACTATGCTCCCTGCGACCAGCATGAGGTTGAAAGAAACGATATCCAACACAATCTCCTGCAACGAGTTTTTGAGGGCCGCTTGATCTTCCCACCTATTGCAAGGCCCAGAAGAATCTTAGATTGCGGATACGGTAATCAAAGTATAGAACTCCTTTTCCTAAACCGGCTAACAAAACAAAGGGACAGCGGGGTGGGCCTCTGATGTCGCCGACCAGAATCCAAGTTGTGATGTAAAACAATAGACACAAAAAAAAACTCCTAGAAATAAGAATGATACTGACTTTAAAGGGAAGGTCTTAGGAATTGATGTTAATCCATGGCAACCAGATACCGTTCCCAGCAACTTGTACCTAAAAGTTGATGATTTGAACAGACGGTAAGGGCTGTCATCAATTATGCTTGCAGATGGCATAGCTAATCAAGTCTTACCAGATTTACCTTTGACTCTCATAGCTTCGACCTAGTACAATCGCGGATGATGGCCAGCGGAATCCATTCGAATCGGTGGACCGACTATATGAGGGATATACTCAGAGTGCTCCGGCCTGGAGGATGGTGTCAAATGATAGAGCTCTACTACAACGTTCAATCTGATAATGGCAGTCTTACAAATGAACATGCATTACGTCGCTGGAGCAGGCACTATATAGAGAGCCATGCGGGCCTGAAAGATCTTGGTGTTCCATTCAGACTAGAAGCTATGTTTCGGGCGGCTGGCTTCGTAGATGTAGAGCATCGGATGATCCAACTTCCAACTTGTGCTTGGCTGACCGGTAAGCCACCCGACCAACGCTTCGGATATCACTAAGAATATAGACGAGCGCAACAATGAGATTGGTGCTGCAATGAGTGAGAACGTTCAGCGAATGTTGTCATCTTTGGCTGTCTATCCATTTACGGCAAAGCTCGGAATGACGCCCGAATACGTACAAGATTTGGTAAAACAAGCTCGTGCTGAAGCTCGTAACCCAGGATATAAGGTTACTACCCCAAAATTGATTCCGGTTATTTAACCAGAATGCTGACCACAATTTAGGCTTATTTCCCGCTGTACGTTTGTATTGGGCGGAAGAGTCGATCCAGGTCGAGGCGCTAGGGGAATGTTGACGGCGAGCCAAGGCGAATGTAGCGTGTTTTTGTTCTGTACTTGTTTCTGTGCTTTTTCTGTTGATGTTTCGGTTATTGTTCTATTGATTGACGTGTAATGCTCTGCTCGGGCCATGTTGTGCATTATGGGTCCGAATGGTACGGTCTGATCTGTCGTTTCCTTCAAAGGAACTAAACTGTTTCTGGGTTCTGCGAATTTCGTAAGCAATATTTTCTTGATTTTGAAGTGCTGCTTGCTTTACGTTGATTGATTGGATCCCAAGTTCAAGTGACTCTCGCAGTACAAACCCCACACCGCCTCGAGGGTTGAGGTATCTGAATCTTCACCCCAACACCCCCAATACAGAATCATGTCTCTCCTTGCCATGAATGGTCGAGACTTCCTCATGTCCATGTCGAAAGCGTCCCAACCGAGCTAGAATGAGGTGACGTTCTGTACGCTTGTGTGCAGATTATCTGATCCCCTTTCCGTTGGCATTTGCCAGCCTCTACGGTACTGGGTCTCGCACCTCGTGCACGAGTACCTCAGCGGAAAATAGACACGGCGCGGTGCACATTTTCGAAGGGATCGTTATCGCCGGCCATTTCGCCTTTTCGAGCATCGGCAAGTTGGTGGCTGGTGGCTCAGTAGAGCCCGAATTGGCCAAAGTACTGTGGTATTGTAGCACTGTACCACATTGGGAGCTCTAGCAAAAGCAAGAAGGTTGAAAAAAGTTGTTGTATCCGACAAGGAGCGGGGCAGGAAGGAGGTTCTGTGAAAGTTTACTTTGGACCAAAAATATCTCGAAGCTTGTCGTCGACTAAATCCCACCCACTCGTTCCTTGGAACCTCGTTTAACTCTGCTGGGTAAGGTTCAAGGGTCATCCATCCTCTTTGGGACGGAGCTTGTCCGCCACAGGATCCGCGGACCCGACTAGTAACGTAATGCAAGAGCAGGGCGATATCATTTCCTTATATTATCCCTGCCCTATCCTCCCAATATTTTACAACAGAAATTCGTATGAAAACCCAGAATTCAGAGTAAGGAGGGAAGGTGTTCTTGAGAAACAGATAATTCTTGATATCTCGGCCCCAAGACCCCTTCATGGTTCCTAAGTATGATACCCGAATAGTCACTGGGAAGAACCGATGCAGAAGATCAGCCAGCCGCGTGGATTCCTAGAGCCTCCTGAGTGGCGGTAAGTTGTGGTGTTTGATGGTGACTGGATGCCCAATAATATTCCATTATATGCAATTGAAAGTCTTGATTGGTATCTAGAAGTGGTCGCCTCAGAAAAGATATACCGTTCCTCTTCCGAGACAGTGTGAACCGGTTATTCTTCGTGGGTAAGTGCGGCCCAATTGAGGATAAGGACCCAACAGTGCTAGCCTAACGGCCCAATTAGATTGTGTAGACTGCACACTTGCATATGGATTCAACGCTTGTTTGGGATATGGTGGAGCAATAAAGTGGTAGTGGCTCAAGGAAGTTACTGAAGAAACTTACAGACACCTACTTTAATAAGTAAGAGTTCAATGACTGTCCAGAGTTCGCCTGATGAGAGGCGTTACCAGGACGTTGCACTAAAAGTGAAAAAGTAGGTAATAGGCAAAGACGAAAATCACAACAGTACCTGGATACTTGACATTTGCTTTCCTCAGACTCTTGCGTGACTATCTTTAATCAGATTACCTAGCTGTATTGCAATACAGATATTGACTTTTCAAAGTACATCTATGAGTCGATATATGTGCTGTTTCTTAGAGTTGATATATATATCTGTTGGAATATTTTTGTCGAAGAGACAAAATAGTTGAGTTGACCAAGCTTGTATAGATCTACTGAAATACATTAAGGGTATGTGACCAGGTGTTTCCAGGAATGATGGGAGAGAATATACGTATCATACAATAGCGACTCGGAGATAAGGAAAGACGGCACAGCAAAACATACGCCAAGATATATTCTTAGTGCTATCTGTCAACTGTATTGCATCCCTACATGCTTCCAACAATATCCCTTACTCTACGTTTGCCTCAGGCTAGACTTGGTAGCTAGCAGCTGGGCGAGTGCTGGAAGTCCGACCATGCAGGTGCTGTTATAAGATCGTGCTATCTACTGTTGTTCATGTTCTAATTATGGCTTTGGTGCCATGACATGCAGATTGAAGAGGAATTTGACAACGGCCTGAGAGAACCGCACAGTATCAAATGGACACAATTTACAATTGCCCTAATTCGATGTTCTTCTCACCGACTCGGCACTTGATTTCCCTATCATAGGCTATCTTCCGCATCGAAATATGCCGAGGAATCAGCGAGGATAGAATGAGCCAAAGCGACAGATCCCAGCAAAGAAGCCGTAAACGACTGGGCAGAAGCTGGGTTTGCCTCTTAAGCTGACCTCGTATCTATCCTATTCTCGGCAACCTTGCTGCTTATATGAAAATTGCTTGGTTTCTTAATTTGATATTTTGATATTGATATTGATTATGTTAAATACGGAGCCCAGCTTCGATTCTGAAGCTTATGTCTGACACAAAGAAGGTAACGGAGGACCTACAACTCTATGACTCGAAATATGATCTATGTAAATGCCTCTCTTTATAGAACATACTGCAGTCTTGCTAAAAACATAGTAAAGTTTAAAAAGGATGAGTGGTACAAAACACTCCCAAATTGCCCTGATTTAAGCCTGTCGGTATCCATTCCTTGTTTTCATGGGAACGAACTGTGTAATATTCGCCTCTGGATAACAATAGAGGATTTCAACTTACTAGACATTGTAGACAAAGTGCCAAACCTCCCCGCTCTCTATTCTACTACTACTAAATGATACCGAAAAAGCAAAATTACAACAGCCATGTCAAAGAGTAAGGAAAGATGGATTTCGCTTTAATGTATTATAGTAAAGGTTGAAGGGAACAATAAAGACTAAGGACTCTGGTCAGAAGAAACCCAATCTCAGTATAAGAGTCTCAGGAGAGAGTTTGACGTTCCTGCCCACATCGAGGATTCTAGAGTCTCTTTTGGAGATCCGAGGGACGAGGAATAAATCACCATCGAGACGAGAGGATTAAATTAGATTGACAGTCGCTAGTATTTAGCAATATCTCTTAGGCCATAGCTAGAGCAGGATAGCTGGTACTATTAGCCGTATAGGGGCGCTCGGCTAAGTCCGAGTAGGCGGACCGATTATCTAGAGTGCCGCCGGGGTTTCCGAAGCGCTACGGGGAACTCGGGCCGGCGTATTCCATACCACTTGATTCACTTAACTACTTGGCGAGTTAAGTCGAACAGCCATTCTGTCCACTTGAGTGAAGTTTGAGTAGGTGCCTCTACTTAACTCAACTACTCGAATTGTATACGCTAGACTACGATTCCTTTTGAAGTGCGTGGCTCTCCACATTAGCAATATCGACAAGAAAATTTTATACGCAACGGCTGTTATAAGCGATCTAACGATAAGTGGCAAATAAATATATTAAGGCAAAGCCTTTCTGAATTTAGAAAGTAAAGGGAAAATTTGAGCAGGTAGAAATCATGATTTTCAAATATACGACACATCTCAAAGGGGGTTGCCTCAGCTTATATCGTGTCGTGAACTTTGAAGGCTCTCCTAGAATTATCCTGGAAACTGTGAATTATGTTAAGCACGTCAGGGGGAGAGTCGTCTCTATTGGTGTGAACCATTCCGGCGACAACCAAAGCAAATAACTACCGCTCACGAGTCACAAATCATATAGAGCTGACAAGAACTGTTAAGCGAAAATGGACATTTGATTATATATGAATATATATATGGTAATAAAGGGGAAAGCAGAAGGTTGAAACAGAACACTAATCATCTAAATCTACCTGTCCGTTATATAGCAGAATACCAGAAATCCGTCAACGCTCAGAATATGATGAGGACAGCCGCTTTTGTTATTTCTTTCACAAGACCAACCAACCAAACCAATGAACGCCTCGCTCGCCAAATCCAAATCCAAACAATGCACAGCAAAGGGTATATTACACATCAAGGATTCCCTTGTGGGGGCTTGGAGGACTCCCCTCCACCCCAAACATTCTCAAAAGCTTCCCCTTCAATACCATACTTTGGCTTCAATTTTACTTCCGGCTCCTTGGCCTCCTGCCAATGACGAGCTTCATCTGAATGAGAACTATCCAACCCATCGCCGACAGAGAAGGGGTCGTTCTCTTCATTATGCTCATGATCAGGAATATTGTCATCTGGCTCAAATCCTTCCCTGACATCTTCTCCTGTAGCCTTGCCGTAAGTTCGCCTATTAAACACGTAAGCATTGTTTTCAAGCTTTATCTGGCTGCGAACTTACACAAAATGTTTAGGTTCAGCGGCATTCCAGCCCGCGCTGCCTTCTTTACGGGCTCGGACTCTCTCTGTTTCTTCTGCAGCAGTGTCTTCGACCACCAAATCAACTAACTGACTACGATCCGATTTCGCAGAGCTGGATGCCGATGAGTGGTGTCGGAGCATCCCTTTCATAGCTGGCGCGCGTCCCTCCTCGCCTGTCGGAGCTCCCTTCTTCTGCTGCTTATCTTCTGTACTAAGATCTCTTTTCTTACCTTTATTGGAAGCACTATGTTTCCGCTGCGTCTTCTTTGTTACGTCCTCTACCGTTTCGCGGATGTCGCTAGCCCTGCGAATCTCGTTATCGCGTGTGGGTTGTAAAAGATTACGATTTGCAGAGGTTGTTAATAGGTTGGGCGAAGAGTGAAGCCACCTTTCCCGAGAGACCTGGTGAGCTGTGATTACAGGATACTATTTTGGTGAGCAAATAAATCGTCATCCAGATTGAAACCAAACTCACATTCCAATCCCCAAATTCCAGCTTTCTGGCTCGCTCGTATAAATCCTCTTCTTCTGGATCCAGAGCTTCGTCAATGTCTCCGCCTCCATAGTCCATAGCGCCGTCATGCTGTATTCCCTTCGTAGGGCTGCGAGAGCGACTAGGCCCACTGTTGTTTCCAATCAATGGAGTCCTAGAGTTCACCTCCCCGGGTTTAGGAATCCAGTATTTGCCTTTTCCCCCACGTTCATATCGCATCCCATCCATCATTCTAGCCACACGCGAAGAAGATCCTTCATGAGCTAGAACGTTGTCTCCGGAATCAAAAAGGCGATATTCATATTGATTGCCGCTAAAAGTTTCCTTGGTATCTTCGATGAGGTCCCGCACGCCAAACGCGTCGCGGAGGGCATATAAGACTGGCATCCTTGCGGATGAAATTGTAACATCTGCATAGTCGTGCCATGAGAATGCATACCAGTGACCGATGGCAAAAATAGGCATTTCTATGCATATCAAAGCATCCTGTATTGCTGCTGCCAGAGTATCTGAAGTATAACCTTCCACATTGTCGGGAATCGCACCAAGCCAGACAAGAATTGCAAGAAAGAATCCTTGCCAATAAGACGCGAAGATAATAAGTTTGATGCACAAGAATTTAGGAACTGGACGAAAAGGTTGAAGGTCTTTCGACATGCATACCCAGAACATTCCTAAAGAATACAGACTCAGGGTAACACTGACGTTATAGAGAATCGTTACCCACAAGTAACCCGAGGAAGGACTCAAATCACCCTCGTCATACACACCAGTGGCCTTCATGATTATGGTGGCTATACCCAGAACTGGTTTCAACCAAGCATATTGGAGAATCCCCCGTTTGATTGCTAAGAAAGTATAGGGATCCGAGATATCGACTTTAGGGAGCGTGTGACTTAAGGGCCATAAGTGATGAACTGGTTCTCGGCCGTGCATCATAATTATAAGGGCCCGTTCTCCTCCAATGAAGTTGATCAAGAGTTGAAAGAAAGTATAGATGGTAAAAGCCTACCAAAGTTAGGTACTTATACTCAAAGCCTCCGAGCCATACATACCTCATATACGTCCCGAATCGGATCCAAGAAGAGAGCCGCTGTCGTGGAAATGATGCTGGACCATGACGAAATTGAATATATGGGAACCCTACAATTCATCAGCACCCCCACCAGAAGCCGTAGGTATATTTCCAAACCCACATGAGTAATATTCGTATGACATATCTTTGCAGGAGGGGTTTGCGGTAGTTTTTTCTGGGGGTGTCAATATTCCGAGTGCAAGTTCAAGTAGGACAGGCATAGATTTACGTTTGGAGCCATACTGAGCTGTAAATAAATGGCACATTAGCATGGAAACACGCAGGAATAGAGCAGTAGAATTTACACGATGGATAGCAGAGAGGCAAGCAAAGCTGCAACTCCAGCTACAATAACCGTAGCCTGCGTCAGTTTCTGACCCGTACCTGAGGAAAGGCCTCCGCCTGCCATGATGGGCGGTATTGGGGTGAGCGATGACGCGTGCCAAAGGAGAAGGGCACCAGCTGCTTTCAAAAGAACGAAGAGCTAAACAATAGAGATCAAAATTGAAGAGACTGACATGGTCCGCCGGCGTTCAAATTCAACTCGGTCGGCAGAAACAAGATTGTATCTCTAAATACCAAAGTAGTGGGGAAATTGAGCGTTGATGGCGATCTCTCTGGGATGGAGCTTCGTCCAAGGCAAATCCACAGTTCTCGGCCCCATGTCGGCATCAGCACCAGTATCGGCGCAGACAGGCACACTCAGAGGCCCCACTCCTATGATAGGAAACCCGCGTCATGAGCACTCACCAGACAAGACTCCCGATAAATATTGGCGCCAGCAAGCCATCCTGAGGCTTTTCTGTTGATATTGCCCACCCGGTCCGCATGGAGAACCTCAACCTAGAAATCTGTTGTATAGCCATGCGGTGAGGCTGTTCAATTGAAAGCCTTTAACATGTCGACATCCAGCGGAGGAGGGTTGACGGCCTCCCCATTAACTACACACTTAGGATTTAACTGGTAGGCTGCGCTTGAAGTATCTCAAACATGATCTCTAACGTACCGCAGGGTGTTCTTGGTTGAGTTGCTTGTCTGCGGTGTGCTGTAAGAGTTGCGCCTCCTTTACCTTTTGCTTAGCTAACCTCATCTAGGACCCTCTTCTTCCTCTTCTACTTCAATCGCCTATTCGCAACTCTCGTATCCTATGGCATCCGAGCATGGACCTGGCACAAATATCGGGTATATATTGATATACAGGCTTTACAGATTTCCCTATTGGGCGGCAGGGTGTTTTTCAAAGGGTTCAAATATCATGGAAACAATGAAACCATTCTCGTCCATAGTGGTTTCATTACATGGTGCTATTGGCTCAGGAACGTGAGGGATCTGAATGTTGGTCGTAACAGCGATGCGAGAACAAAACAACCGTCTTCGGACTCGGAGGACGACGGCAAGATGGGGTACAGGGCTACTGTCGATGGAGGGGAGGGTGGACGATCAAAAGCTGCAAAGCTTCCATGTCGCCTGACAATTTCACTCAATGGCGTGGAGTGGTTCGTTTACAATAGAAGCCCCGCTTACGATGCCATAATTGCTAGCATGACGACCCCAATTACAGGATCGACTGAGAGCGAAAATGATCAAAAAAGTGAAGATAATGAAACTGGTGAAAACTCAAAGAAGGGCCGGAGAGCTCCATCAGGGGAAACCGCAAATCTGTCACGATCATCCACCAAGGATCACTCCAAAGAAAGTGGTGATTTCGGCAATCTTGGGCAAGGTGAGCCTAGATCTCGTGAGTCTTTCACGTCTTCCCGGAGAGGAGCAAGTAGAAGTCAACTGCAGGATCACGGCAGTCCTGAAGGATCATTTATCTTGAGATTGCTTCCTATTCATGTTAATTGCAACAAAGCTGCAGTAGTTCTTGGGAACGAGCATACCAAAAGTGTATTGATTGCAAAGGCCGACAGAGCTTCGGGCGAGATCGATGCAGCAAAATCAAGAACCATCGATCAATACAGACAGCTCATAAATTTTCGGTATGAACATCCTGTGGTGCAAATGAAACCCAATGATGATTACAAAGAGGACCAAACCACTGCAGCTATAAGAATTAAACGTGGTGAGTCTGATCAAGTCGACGCCCAAAAGAATCATACCCACAATCGCAGCTTCTTCCATCGTCAACGCCGTAAAGTTTGGCACGCTTTGCAGGATCTTGTACCTGCCTTCCAGAGCTCGGTTGATTCTATATCCAGCTCAAATACCCACAGAAATACGCCCAACAATGACCCTGCATCGAACAGTTGGCAAGGACTATCTAGATACCTAGATGAAGGGGAACAGGAAGACAGGGCAAGATGGTCTACTATTGAGTACGCTACAGTAACGACAATTGCCGATAGTGCCCATGCCGACATGAGCTTCTACTGGGACGTTGCTGGAACTGTTCCGAAGAGACAACCCCCTTTAGAAAAACCCACTGAATCTGAAGGGGCCAATATCAATGGTGATAGCTCCCCTGAGTGGGGACTAGATCTCAAACTCAAGGGTGCTACTATCAATTATGGTCCATGGGCTGACAGACAACGCGCGGATATTCAACGCGTTTTCTTTCCAAGTCTTTGCAAAGATGCTACACCAAGCAAAAGTCTCATGCCCGGTCAGTTCAGGGTACCTACGGAATTTCAGTTATATGTCGAGTTTGACGATGAGACGACGCTTCGGATTCCAATTAGAGAGGAGTCAAAGAATTGGAAATGCACGAGCCAAGTTGATTCCATCGGCGCTAGGCAGGCCGAGCAAAAGAATCGCGGCAGTAAGCACCGTAGACGTAAGACTGAAAAGGGAACTGCTGGTGCTGAGGTTCGCCCGTTTGGTTGGCTTGACATCAAGGTTGGTCCAAATGCAACCGTGACGTATAAAATGGATATGGTCGCAGGGCAATCTGGGTATTCGAATAAATTGGCACTCGATTTTCCAAGCATTGAGATAACGACGAGCGTCAACCATGGTCTTCTATGGCGGTCAGTTGATAGCCGGATTTCTTGTGATTTGTCAAATCCGCTTCAATGGAATGGCCCTCGCACCTGGAAGTTCGATGTCAGTTCCAGTGGCCTAGAGCTTTTCATTCTTAGAGAACATGTCTTCCTACTTATTGACCTTGTGGATGATTGGGCTACCGGCCCTCCACCGGAATATCTTACCTATACGCCGTTCGAATATCTCGTCAACCTTCACTTGGATAATTTCCGCATATACCTCAACGTCAACGATTCCAACATCGTCAACAATCCATCTGATTTTGACGACAACACTTTTATCATTATATTCGGATCTTTCTTGGGCGCGAGAATAGGAATTCCCCTCGATACTTTCCGTCCACACCGAAATGATGTCTCTTTTGACGTCGATGCCCACGACGGTGGTTTGAATCTCCATGTGCCTCCTTGGAATACACAGGCCACATTCTTGACTTCTACTGAATTAGCAACATTGAAAGATCTCAAAATCGGGGGGAAATATCAATACTGCGCCACCACGTCGACAAGCAACACAGATACCCTTCTCCTCACTGTATTTGGCAATGCCCCAACGGCTCAATTTTATGGATTTGCCATTCGGTACTATCTGAAAATCAAGGACAATTACTTTGGCGACGATATTCGGTTCAAAACACTTGAGGAGTACCAGGAAATTCTGAGAGCACAACGACAGGGAGTAGAGGGGGTCAGCGATGTTCAACCACACAAAAAGTCGAATGATTTGGATGTTGTGCTTGCCGTGACAGCAGATAACTCCACCGTCATACTACCTGCGAATTTATACACTGCTCGGGAGCACACAAGAATCGAAATAGCTAGACTTGCTGCTGATTTAAGATTTACCAATTACTACATGGATCTTGAAGTGGCATTAGGTACATTGGCTTTTGCCTCCGGAAGCGAAGATTCCAGTACTGCAACACCTATAAGTGCAACTTCAAGCACTCAGCTGTTTATAGATGGTATCAATGTAGCTGGAAATCGGCTGTTCGGTCTTCCTCCAACCGAACCAACATATGTCTGCAACTGGGACTTTTCTGTTGGCGCCGTAAGTGGTGAGTGCACAACGGAGTTCTTCAGCAGACTATCTAGTGGAGTCAGAGCTTTTGGCTTTTGCTTTGATGATGATGAAAATGCTCAACCGTCCATATCGTTAGTGGCCTTGCACGACGTGACATATCTCCGAGCGGCCGTTGAGTCGGTTCGCGTCTGGCTCCATGTAGAAGAGGCGGCATTCTTATTGTCAACCGGTGAGATATCCGTAGACTTCAACGACTTGGCGGGTTCACACTATTCCAAAAAGCTCAATCTTCTTGTCCCGGAGCTTCGCCTTGGTTGTGTGGACGCAGAATCTGCTTCCCGGCACAGATCACGAGCCCAGAATCCAGTCGAAACACACGCCTATATTCAAACATCCATTTCAGTTGCGATGATTGAGAGGACATTGTTCTTTGAAAATGACCGACAACTTCAGCAGGAGCATCTTAAACGACATGATCAGAGAACCCATCGAACTGACTTTCTCTTACTGCCAGGTTTGGTTGATGACTCAGTGCTCAGTCCTGTGGACCCCCCGGCTATGTGTGTGCCACCTATGCCCCTTCCTGTCTTCCAAAGATCAGACATCTATCCCACGAACCGTTCAATATCTTCGGGGAATTCATCCCTAAGGCACAATACACGATCACTCAATCGTAAAAGCTCTTTTCTGTCTCTTTCAAGTGCTAGCCAGAGAAGCGATTCTAGCGTCCTTCGCCAGCAGAGCTCGCTTCAAGCACGTCAATTGCCGTTGGTAGATTCAAGATCCAGAAGTCGACACAACCATGTAGGGCATGGCCACCAAACCCCTACGAGAGACGTGTCTGCCTCAACAGGCCGTCGCTCCTCATTTTATAGTGCTGTCGGTGAACACAGAGGTTTACCATCTTCGAGCGTTACTTTCTCCAGCTCCTACTTAAGCCCATATTTTCCCCTCGAGGCCGTTGAGCCCGATAGAAGAGACCTTCCTAGCCATCGCCAAGTCTCAGATGATGATGCATCCTGGGACAACAATAAATTTACACTTGATGATATCCACCCTGACCGGGTGGATAAAAGTGCCACTCATGTAAGCTTCATTGTGGAATTGCCCGATGGAATTAGGGGTGTTGTAAGCCCTAAAGCAGTTGATGCAGTTGTGCGTTTACTGGCAGCTTTGCAGGCAGTTGACCCTGTTGACCTTCTGGACGACCTCCAAATTGATTCGATAAATGGACATTTTGATATGAAAAAACAGACAAACATGAAAGGGAAAGTCCTTGATATGAGTGTAAAATCTCCAAGTATAGACTTCCGATTTCTGAATGGCTTCTCTTCAGGCGGGTTAGGGAGCCCTGACGACATGCATGATCAGTACGATTTGTCTATTTCCAGATTTTCCCTTACTGCAAGATCAGCGACTGCAACCAAGATGGAGGGCCAAGAGGTAATGCCAGAGTCCTTTACATTCCACATTTCTCTACGAAGCGCAGATATCTCTGCCAAGGAACGACTCAATGACATGAACAACCCCCAAGCGGCCGTAAATGGGCTTATTGAGGACGTCGCTTGTTGGGCAATCTCAAATGAAGCTACATCAGCGTCTGTGGCTTTTAAAAGCATCGAGTTCGCCACGGAAAGCAGTAAAATCGAATATCTCGCTTCCTTGATCCACCGCACTGGAGTACTTGTTAGCGATACCGTTGAATCGTTCTCTTCTCTCTCCAGCCAACAGCATAATCGCATGCAATTCTTTACATATCTCGTTGCTACAGAAGGCCAACAGGCCACCGATCCGCTTTTCTTGACGAGGCCCTCATACGTTCTTCGCACTGCCCCAGACCACCTTCGGAGTAGTGATACTTGGAAAGTAGTTACCCGTCTACACCACATGTATGACAGCTTGCATACATCTACAAAACAGGACATCACCGTTCGATGTCTAGCTAACTCGGAGTCACTTCCCCAAAATGCCCAAGACTTGGTGCTCGCGGGATTTGATAGCTGGAGGAGCTGGGACTTGAACAATGTAAACACTTGTCTTGTAATGAAAAAGGTGTATGGAACCAAGGTAGAAGAGGTTCCACGTGGCGGAAACACCTTCAAGCCATTGAAAGTCATTATCAGGACTGAAATTGTTCGTCTTATTCTTGACCCCGGGCCCAAACAAAACGAAATATCTCTGCTAGACATTTCTTCAGTCTTCGAAGACAAAATGGTGCCGACAGAGACCGAATCGCAATCGTCGTTGAACGCAAATGAACAAGAAACCATAACTGCTCAGATATTCTGCTCCGATGCTGCTATCAATCTGAACTGGGAACTTTGCGAGCTGGCTGATAACATAATGAAGCTCTATAGTCCAATTGAACGGGCTCCAGCACCGTCATTAGCACCCAAAAGCCACCCCTCTTCGATCGAGTCTAATTTTATCGTGCCTCCCAAATCGAGAAGTGTTGTACAGGTCCTAATAGCGACCGAAAAAGCCTCTATAACATTTGACACAATAAACATTAGGGCTGCCTCTATCTCTGAAGGTCTGAAAGCTTCTTTCATCATGACTAATGATACGATCGAAACGCCAAAAGCAATAACCCTTGTTCTTGCGGCTGAAACTGCCACATCGAAGGCCCGGAGTCATTCTCAAGAGCTCACGCTCTATCAAATACGATTTCCAAGCATATACACTTCATTCGAGAGACACCTTAGTGGTGAACTCCCCACAAATATTATTAAATTAGCTGGAAATTGTCAGCAACTGTCTTTTACAGCGCAGCAAGACATTTTAGGTCTCATCGAGGTGTTAGACCTTATTATTGGTGACGAGGTTGCGCAACTTTACCTTCTCAGCAAGAACCTCCCAGAAAAGAAGCTTCGACATCACCCAAAGAACGTCAAAAGCAACCTTTCAATCACCAAGATTAACGTAGCCCTGTTTTTGGATGAATATCACATTAGTATTCCTCTACTTCATTCATTGACATATAAAGTCTCTGGTGTTGTGGCCAGGGCTTCAGTTGCAGCTCAGATGGGCTCGGAAATCATCTTCGATTTCGATGTCAAGGAGCACTCTCACGACATGCAAACCATGGTCGCCAACATGTCAAAGAGCATATCTCTTCTTCAAATGCCACCGACAAACGGGCGCATTGTTTCTCACATTTCAGATTTGGAAACCACAGTGTCTGTGTTCGTGTCAGTTGAGCCAGTCGAGCTTGATGCCGCTGCGATCTACAACCTTTTGACGGCTCTGAATCGACCTGAGATATCGAGTGTGATTACCGATGCACAAGAAGATATCAGTGCAATGCAAGGTCATCTGAATGAAATCTTCGGTGATCGTCCGAAGGTTTCCGAGAAGCCGAAAGGAGAAAGGAAGCCATTCATATATGATGCACATTTGACGCTTGCGGGCTTCAACATATTTGCCAGTTCGCACGGAGTTAATGAAGATTCGACTAGAGCGAGACTCGATTTGAACCTTGGGTGCATTCAACTTGTATTCGCCAACCGCCTCGAGCCAAACGGGCCCACTCTGTCTTTCCCTGAATTACGAGTGAGCTTACGGCACATACTCTTCGAGCTTTCACAATGGAACAGAGAAGGGACCAGGCCATGTGGGAATCTTTCTTTTGCTGCTTTTCTGACTGCGACATCTAAATTGAACGCCAGCCGCGAGGAAGTCAGATCTTTCCACGTGAAGAGTGACACTCTAAAGATAAATCTATTCGCTGAGACTGCATCGTCCGTCGTTGACATCATCGGATACCTACAAAACAAGATTAAAGATATCGACTTGTCGCGTGAAAAGAAGTATCTTCGCAAGCTGCGGAAATCAAAGCCCAAGATCACTGTCAACGATGAGCAGCAGCCAGATAACAGTAGTACAACTGCATCTACCGTTATCTTTTCTTCAATGTACTCATTGGAGTTACTAAACATGCAGGTCTGTTGGCTCGTAGGAACCTATAACATCGACCATTCGTCCCAACAAGAAAGAGAAGATCTAGTGCTGTCCCTAAAACGAATTAATCTTTCCAACAAGAAAGAGAACACGGCAAGGTTGACTATAGAAGATCTCCAGTTGCAAATGATACCAGCGTCCCAAGATAAGAGTCAACGCTCTCTAAATTCTGCTCTACTTCCAGAGGTCATCTTCAATGTTGGCTATGTATCGATGGCAGATTCTCGACGCCTGGCCTTCCAGGCGGCTGGTAAATCACTCGATCTCCGCCTAACATCTCAGTTCATGGTTCCTGGTGCCACCTTGAAAAAGTCCATTGGCTCAGCCGTCGACAAAGTTCGCGCTGCATCGGCAACTTGGTCAAAGCCAACATCGGGCACCGCCACAGAGGAAGCTCGAAGACAACCGTTCTTCGGGACGAAGCGTATGGAGTCTCTACTTGTAGATGCAGATTTTGCGGGAGCTGTGGTATATCTCTCTGGAAAGAAGGTTTCTGATACCTCCAGAAAGGCTCATGATGGCAAGGGAAGTCGAGCTGCTCAAACTGGTAGATATGGGCAATTCACACAGACGGACGCCAGTAGCGATACCGTTCTTCGTGCTCCGGGTCTTGCTTGGAGGATAGAATACAAGGACGACGGGTTTAATGATCCATCATTGAACGCTGAAATCAAGGTTGACGCATCCTCCAATATATTATACCCAGCTGTTGTCCCGCTTATCATGGAAATCTCGTCTACGGTCAAGGATATTGTGAGCGAAGACGACGACAAGAAGCCTTTGCCACCCAAAACACAACAGCAAAAGTTCATGAGTACGGATGAAGACAACATTCTAACCACAGACCCTAGCGCTGTGCTAGGTCGGACTAGACTCAATCTGGGATTCCGAATTTGTAGACAAGAGTTCAGTCTGAGCTGTCAACCTATAGCACGTGTGGCTGCAACTGCTCGCTTCGAAGATATCTACGTCACCGTAAACACCGTCAAATCTAGTGAACATGGGCACTTTTTTGCTGCCTCTGCTATATTCACGAGGCTCCAAGCATCTGTTCAACACGTTTACTCTCGCGAATCCACTGGTAGTTTTGATGTCGACTCGGTCTTTCTATCCTTGATGAATAGCAAGCATGTCAGTGGGACAAGTGGCGTTTCTGCGATACTTAAGATAAGTCCAATGAAGGTCTTGGTAAATGCCAAACAAATACAGGATTTCTTGCTCTTCAGAGAAATATGGGTTCCACCGGAGATCAGGAAAAGCTCCCCAACACCAGCACCAACACCAACATCGTCCACCCTGCAGTCACAAACGTACCTGGTCCAAAGGTATCAACAAGTCGCAGCAACAGGAGCGTTTCCTTGGAATGCAACTGTGTCAATTGAAGAGCTCGATGTGCAACTAGATCTTGGGCAAGCAATAGGAAAGTCTGCATTCATAATTACAAAGTTCTGGATATCTTCTAAGAAAAATTCGGATTGGGAGCAGAATCTGTGCCTCGGGTTTGACAAAGTAGGGGTTGACAGTACCGGAAGAATGAGTGGTTTTGTGTCCCTTCAAAATTTCAAAGTGCGCACTTCAATTCAATGGCCTGCTCGTGAGATGGCCTTGAATCAAACACCATTGGTACAGGCATCTCTGGGTTTTAGCCAACTTCGTGTCAAGGCTGCTTTCGATTATCAAGCCTTTCTGGTGGCCGATATCACATCATTCGAGTTTCTAATGTACAATGTTCGAAATGGCTCTTCAGCCAAGGGCGATCGTCTCGTTGCAATACTTGATGGTGAGGCAGTACAAATCTTTTGTACTACTAATACAGCGTCTCAATCATTAGCGTTGTATCAGGCGTTCCTACGGCTCGCACAAGAGAAAAGAACAAACTATGAGACTTCCCTTATCGAAATTGAGAAATACATGAAACGGAAGTCTATCTCGCATCCACTGTCACCACATCCTAAAGCGTCAACCCAGACCAAAAATGACAAGCAGGCCAAGTCTCCGATATCTCTTCATACCGATGTTATCGTCACTCTGAAAGCTGTCAATATTGGTGCATTCCCAAACACGTTCTCGAATCATCAGGTCTTCAAATTAGAAGCCCTCAATGCGCAGGCTCGTTTCGCTGTAACAATGGAACATGGAAAAATCCATAGTGTCTTAGGTCTAACCCTTGGCCAACTCCGCATCGGCCTTGCTGGGGTTAAGCAAGTTGACATGCCCAAAACTGTGGGTGAGATCTTGGTTGAAGACGTAGTTAGTAGTGCCACAGGGTCGCGTGGCGGAACAATTTTGAAGGTTCCTAAGGTCGAGGCAACAATGCAGACTTGGCAAGTCCCTGAATCTAACCATATTGATTACATCTTCAAAAGTTTTTTTGAAGGAAAGGTTGAAGTCGGGTGGAATTATTCTCGTATAAGCTACATTCGAGGCATGTGGGCCTCGCATACGAAAGCTCTCGCACAACGACTTGGCAAGCCTCTTCCAATCTCTGCAGTCAAGATCACGGGGGTCCCCGACGAGGAAGATGGAGAAAGAAGGGGAGGGGAACAGCAGAAAATTACGGCTGAAGTCAATGTCCCGCAATCCAAGTATGATTATACGGCGCTTGAGGCTCCTATAATCGAGACGCCACAATTGCGGGATATGGGTGAAGCTACGCCACCGTAAGTCTTGTCCAGTAGATTTGAAAGAAAGAAGACATGTGCTAATTCTCGATAGGCTGGAATGGATTGGACTTCACCGGGATAGGTTACCCAATTTGACTCACCAAATTGTGATAGTAACTCTTTTGGAGCTGGCAAGTGAGGTAGAAGATGCTTATGCAAAGATTTTGGGGTCCTCTTGATCCTGTAACTGAGAAAGGGGGTGGATTATATGTATTATTCTTTGTAATGATAGGCGGAATAGCATGAGCAAGCGGGATGGCATAGCCGCATAGCGAGGAGTTGGCCAGCATATTTTCGTAAGTGCTATTGATTGTACATTAAGATTTTATTATTCATACTTGGTTCTCATAGAAGAGTTCTCTATGGATCCAGTAGCTATAAGATCGGTGTACCTTGTGAAGCTCCCTTGTGGCGAGCAAGAGGAAGAATAGCAAATAAAGCTAGCCTAATTTGTTCGATTTTCTAAAATAAGTTCAATCCTAGTATTGTAAGCTTTTGGGAAAATTACTGTGACTAATTAAAGGCTTCAAGAGCGTCAAGTTCACCTAGGGAGGTAGAGGCCTGTTCTGACTGTGGAGCCAGCTCACACTCCACATTAGTACATGTGCATATGCTAGAATTAGTCCATTGTAGAACCAATGAATGATTATATTTACTTAAATTAGCGCTGGTGCTAGAGTCTCATTAGCTAGCATAATCGAGGCAGCTTTTCTTGGACTTTTGCGCTTTGGTAATAGAACTATTCTAGTTAGTGATATAGCACTTAGGAACATGCCTATTTTGCCTATTTTATTTCTAATTGGTACTAATAGAGATAATTATAGAGACCCGATTAACTCGAATTAATTTTTCGCTAATTCTACTGAATAGCTTCTCTTTATCAATTGGGTGCTAAATACTGGTACATCTATAAAAATTTGCGTAAAAATAATTTGTAAACTGATTCTTGTTGTGTGGGATACCTGTAGCCTGTGATGTGGTAAGGCCCCTCATCAGAAACCTCGGGTCTCTTGTAAGAGACCAAAAGTCTAATGTAAACTTGACAGAGTATAATTTATCGTATAGTCGCAAAGACACCATAAGCCTCGCCCTATGTAGTCACCTATGACTCTTCCCCGTTCATTTGGCGTCCCTGATTCAGGGCTAGGCCCTGGTTTGACGAAGATGGTGGCCTGAGGCGGCGAGGAGGGGTAGCGCCGAAATAAACCCCGCTACATTATCCATCTCTCAAATTCTTCCCGCCCACCTTCTCCTCCTCTTGACATCCTGCCGGCAGCTCTCCCCCCGTCTCATCTCGAGCCTCAATCCGCCATCTCCTCGCGATCTCTATCTTGCTTGTCGTGGATATCCAGGACAGCGCACGATAGACATCTACACTCAGGTGGTTTTTTGATCCCACCCTCGAGTCTTCTCTACATCAGCGCTCCGGCGTCTTTCGAAAAAATCTTCAATTAATCAGCTTTTCGAAGCCCCACCGCCAACATGGTTAAGTGAGTAGATTTATCTTCTGTGAATCCCTTCGTCGCTGCAGGTCGTCGGCGGTAGCCATCTGCAGATGATTTACCAACGTCGTCGACGACATCATCATCGCCCCCGCGTCGCAGGGTTGAATGCGACCACTCTCGGAGATAAGGGCACTTTGAGAAAAACAGCTGCTAATGGGTCTTGCAATGCAGCTTCACCGTCGAAGAGGTGCGAGAGCTGATGGACAAGCCTACGAACGTTCGTAACATGTCCGTCATTGCTCACGTCGATCACGGAAAGTCCACCCTCACCGATTCCCTTCTCTCCAAGGCCGGTATTATCTCTGCCGCAAAGGCTGGAGATGCCCGAGCCACCGATACCCGTGCCGATGAACAGGAGCGTGGTATTACTATCAAATCCACGGCCATCTCTCTGTATGGTCACTTGGAGGATGATGAGGATATCAAGGAGATTACCCAAAAGACCGACGGAAAGGATTTCTTGATCAACTTGATCGATTCGCCTGGTCACGTTGATTTCTCATCTGAAGTTACTGCTGCTCTCCGTGTTACTGACGGTGCTCTCGTTGTCGTCGATACCATTGAAGGTGTCTGTGTGCAAACCGAGACCGTTCTCCGACAAGCTCTTGGTGAGCGTATTAAGCCTGTTGTCATTATCAACAAGGTCGATCGCGCTCTTCTCGAGTTGCAAGTCTCAAAGGAAGATCTTTACCAATCCTTCTCGAGAACCATTGAGTCCGTCAATGTCGTTATCTCCACCTACTTTGACAAGACTCTCGGTGATGTCCAAGTTTACCCATACAAGGGAACAGTCGCCTTCGGTTCCGGTCTCCATGGCTGGGCTTTCACCGTTAGACAATTCGCCATGAGATATGCCAAGAAATTTGGTGTCGACAGACTGAAGATGATGGAGCGTCTTTGGGTAAGCATATTTACACTCATAATGTTGAAATTCCCATAACTAACCAAAATCTTTCAGGGCGACAACTACTTCAACCCTGCTACCAAGAAGTGGACCAAGAACGGCACTCACGATGGCAAGCAGCTCGAGCGTGCTTTCAACCAGTTTATTCTCGACCCAATTTTCAGAATTTTCGCAGCGGTCATGAACTTCAAGACCGATGAGATTCCAACCTTGCTCGAGAAGCTTTCCATCAAGCTCGCACCAGAAGACAAGGAGAAGGAGGGCAAGCAACTCCTCAAGGTTATCATGCGAACTTTCCTTCCCGCTGCCGATGCTCTTTTGGAGATGTTGATTCTCCATTTGCCATCCCCAGTGACCGCTCAAAAGTACCGTGCCGAGACTCTGTACGAAGGTCCCCCAGATGATGAGGCCTGTATCGGTATCCGAGACTGTGACCCTAAGGCTCCTCTCATGTTGTACGTCTCAAAGATGGTGCCAACATCCGATAAGGGTCGTTTCTACGCTTTCGGTCGTGTCTTCGCCGGAACTGTCAAGTCTGGATTGAAGGTCCGTATCCAAGGTCCTAACTACACCCCAGGAAAGAAGGATGATCTCTTCATCAAGGCTATCCAGCGTACCGTTCTCATGATGGGCGGTAAGGTTGATCCTATTGAGAACGTCCCAGCCGGTAACATCTTGGGTTTGGTCGGTATCGATCAATTCTTGTTGAAGTCCGGAACTCTCACCACTAGTGAGACTGCCCACAACTTGAAGGTCATGAAGTTCTCCGTCTCCCCCGTCGTGCAACGTTCCGTCGAGGTCAAAAACGCCCAAGATCTCCCCAAGCTTGTTGAAGGTCTCAAGCGTCTCTCAAAGTCCGATCCTTGTGTTTTGACTTTCATTTCCCCATCTGGTGAGCACGTCGTCGCTGGTGCCGGTGAGTTGCACTTGGAAATTTGCTTGAAGGATCTCGAGGAGGACCACGCAGGTGTTCCTCTCAGAATCTCCGACCCAGTCGTTTCTTACCGTGAGACTGTTACTGGCAAATCCAGCATCACCGCGTTGTCCAAGTCACCTAACAAGCACAACCGTCTTTACATGATTGCTGAGCCTCTCGACGAGGAGGTTTCCAAGGAAATCGAGGCTGGCCGAATCAGTCCACGTGACGATTTCAAAGCTCGTGCCCGTATCTTGGCCGATGACTTTGGATGGGATGTCACTGATGCCCGTAAGATTTGGTGTTTCGGACCAGATACCAACGGTGCCAACCTTTTGGTTGATCAGACCAAGGCCGTCCAGTACCTCAGTGAAATCAAGGATTCCGTCGTGTCCGGTTTCCAATGGGCTTCAAGAGAAGGACCTGTTGCTGAGGAGCCAATGCGATCTTGCCGATTCAACATTATGGATGTTACTCTACACGCTGATGCTATCCACAGAGGTGGTGGACAGTTGATCCCAACTGCTCGTCGTGTCCTGTACGCTGCTGCTCTCTTGGCCGAGCCAGGTCTTCTTGAGCCAGTGTTCTTGGTCGAAATTCAAGTGCCTGAGAGCGCCATGGGTGGTGTTTACGGTGTTCTTACCCGAAGACGTGGTCACGTCTTCAACGAGGAGCAACGTCCAGGAACCCCTCTTTTCACCATCAAGGCATACCTTCCAGTTATGGAGTCCTTTGGATTCAATGCCGATCTCCGATCGCACACCTCTGGTCAAGCTTTCCCAACCTTAGTCTTTGACCATTGGCAAATTCTCCCAGGTGGATCGCCCATCGATGGTACATCTAAGGTTGGTCAAGTTGTACAGGCCATGCGTAAGCGTAAGGGTATCAAGGTTGAGGTTCCAGGTGTTGAGAACGTAAGTTTATCCATCTTTTTCCGTTATGACAAGATAAGAGATATACTAATTTTTTACTTTCAGTACTATGATAAGCTATAGATGTGCGCTATCTTGGTTGATAGATTTTCTCCTCACCATGTATGTTTTGCGCGTCTACCTTAGGAGAAGATTACCAGCAGCTCTTGCATACGAAACGCCCGAATCACGATATGATGAAAAATTGCCGCCCCCGATGACCCGACTTTTGATGGAATGGGTGATTTGACGGGAGGCCAAAAGCAAAAATAACTTCACTCGTCAAAGGTGATCAGTTTCCTCACTTGTTCCTTTCTTTTTTGTTAAGCAAGTCGAGATTCGGTCCACATGTATGTAGCTAGCAGCATGAGAATCGAAGAAAAAAAATTGTAGAACATGTGTTTTCAGTGACGTGAATTGAATTTCATGACATTGGGTTAACCACTTGATGAAAATGCGAGATTTATATTTCTATAATTTGTATACTTATATAACGTACGAGTAGATGCCTTCGAAAGTTCTGGGCATATGTTAACCCCCCTTTCCAATGGGGTATAGGTGAAAGTGGTAGGAGAATACAGGTGCCAACTTGATTTCAGCGATTTCGCTTTGTTTCGGAAGTGACTCCGTTTCTCCCAAGTTTTGTGATTCAGACGTTTGTTGGTCTATACAAGTTAAAGGAGGTTGTTTTCCTTCCCATGCGCCCACCTAAGGCCATTGCTGTGCGTGTTTTATCAATCAATACACAACATACATAACTTACCTATACATACTTTTACAATTTCCCATCCTTACATCAACCTTTGTAATTTGGGTCTAAGAAGACCCGGCCAGAACCTCTCTCACAATCTTAGCCACCTCCCCCCTCTCTACATTCCTCTCGCCAAGCACATCCTTATCAAAAACCCTCCTCGACACATCGCCGATGCTTAATTTCTTGCCGCCCTCTGCCTCCGTCTTCATCGTCTCCACTAACCCTACGACAACCTCCCTCACCTCACCCACCCCCATCATCTCCACACCCCCGGCGTATTCCTCCAAGATCTTGATCTGGTCCTCCTCTTTCCTCACGAGGTCCTCGCGCGACGCCTTTTGGAAATCGGAAATGGCGGCCTGCGAGGCGGAGACGTGTTTGAGGATCAAGGCTCGTAGCGCGAGGTCGGTGGTTATGGGTGTGGAGGTCTTGGAGGCGTTGAGGGTGCTGGCTAAGAGGGCGCGGAGGACGGTGAGGCGCGGGGTCTCTTTGGCGCGCATGGCGGTTTTTAGGTCGGTTCTGGGAGGTGTTAGGGCTGGAGGGCGGGATTGAACGTTTTGGGGGTTAGAGTTTGCCTTGGGGGAGGAGATTTTGTGGTGTGAAGGGGAGGGGGTGAGAGGGGGAAGGTGCGATAGGGAAGTTACTGTGTTGGTTTGGTAGAGGGGTAACCTACCGTAGTTTTAGGAGCATTGGGGGGGTGGATGAGGTATCTGTTGCATAGCTGCGACGAGCGAGCCGTGAGGCTCGGAAGAGGAGTTGTCTCGATATCATTGTTGCAATGCTTCTGGTAGGTTGAGACAAGGAGGTGAGGGGTTCGGCGGGTGTTGGAGGGGTCAAATCAATTGAAGCTTTCTCCCAGATCGTGTTTGGGAAAAGCCAAACTAATTTTTTTTTTCTGAGCTTGGAGCTTGAGCTCCGTACTCGAGTCCTCGTCCAACGACGTCTCGTCTGGCGGTTTGGCCAAGACCTGCATCAGACGTGAGTTCCCTTCCCCACCCCCGCCTACTCAGACGCGGAAGTGCAGCAGGTGCAGGAAGTGCAGCAGGTGCAGGAAGTGCAGGAATGGCTTTAGAGTTGCCAACTCAGCTGACGGACGTCCCGGGACGTTGGAAACGAACAACAAACAACGTTCAACTTACTATACGAGTTTTACTTACAGCTCATCGTGCACGCACGAGTACTCGGGTACTCGGGTACTTAAAGCGGTTGCTCTCTTCCAACGATGACAAGTGGAAGCCATCCCTGTCCGGCTCGTCGTCGAGAAGGAAGTGAGAGAAGGAAGGAACGGCCATAGACGGTATGTTTCTCTCCTGCCTTGCCCCCCGCGAGCCCGGCCTGTCCTGGTCACCTGATTGGTCGCTTTGCTCCTTCCCTTGTTCAGCCTCTACTTGCAACTTCGCAGCTTCCAGTTCCCAGCTTCTTCCTCCCCGTTGTTGCCGAGATGAGCACATGGGCAGGTTACAAGCAGTTGCCTTGCGGGAGGAGAGTCTGGTTGTCTGACTTTATGCTCTCCTGCTTATTGCTTACTGGCCATTGCAGTAAGCACTTGCCAGACGATGACTCGATCTCTGGCTCATCATTTAGAGCATTCTCATGTCTATTACTTCGCACTTGCTTCGTTGTACAATGTTATGCTCTACCCAGGTATTTCCATTGACGTGTAACGTTTTGCCAGTACCTGTGCTGTGCTTGTGTCTGTGCTCGTACCAATACCCGTCTCTCTTGTCGTCATATCCTTATGCTAGTCTGGTGGTCCTATTTTCGTCCACCTTTGATCACTGACGGCACTTCTCAGCTACGACGGACGAGAGACACAATAAATTATTGTGCTTTCTCTCTTCAGGCTTCACTTCAAACCCCTTCACTTTGGATTATTCACTTGGCTTTGTAATACCACTCTCCACTCACTTCCACTCGAGTCTTTTGACCTACTTCCCCCCCGCTGGTTGGCTGCTACATTATTCCTTTCGCGCTCGTCTAATCATTTTAAAGAGTTGCCTGCCTGTTGGTAATACTCAGCACCTCGATACTTCTCATCTGATCACCCAACAGACCCAGGTCCTTCGTCTTTCATACTCAAATCCATCAAACACTCTCTCCCACTTCAAAGTGTCACGGCTTGAATAAAATCATATTCAAGTCATATCATCACTTTAATCATACCAACAACATGGCTCAACGCGCCCCTTCACCATCACCTTTCTACCGTCCGGGTAATCTAGAACTCATCGACCATGAACCGGAATCCCCTCGCGGCCGGAAACGACGTCGCAGCAGTATTGGCGTCCAACTAGCCAACAAACACATGTCTACTCTTCGAGGTCGTGCCCGTTATCGAAGTCTCAGCATCTTGGGAAGAAGGGCACTCCACTCACACGACAACGAGACAAACTCAGCTGACGAAGAAGAAGAAGATGAGCTCTTCGACGCTAGCAGTAAAGTCGTCGGTATAGCCGTAGGCGCAGCAACTCTCGCCGCCGTAAAAGCCTACACCGATCGTGTCCCTTCTAGCCGTGCAGCCGTCTATCCGCATCTCAAGAAACTGGCCGATAGCCTCGTCATCCTTGCTAACTCGGGAGCGCAATCCGAGACTGAGTCTGAGACCGAGTCTTCGAATACTGAATCCACCATCTCTCCCAGCAAGAACGCTCATTCAAAAGCCCTTCATGAGGGGAACAAACGGAACCTTGCTACCTCGAATGCTTTCGATTACTCGCAGCGCGAGGCTGGAATTGAGAACCTGCCCATGTTTTGGAGCGAGAAGAAGAAGAGGAGTCAGAGTCCTAGTCGGAGTCGCAGTCGTAATGAGAAGAATAGGGGGACGCCGAGACCGAGGCGTCGACAGAGGACTCATTCTAGGAGTCGGAGACATGATTGAATGTCTACCATTGCTACTTCTTTTGTGATTATCTTTCTTTGGGAAAATTGTGATTTCGGCAGCGTTTGGAGGAAAGGTCTTTTCTTTGGTCTGTGTTGGTAGCTGAGGATTGGATTGGGCTGTATTGGACTGGTTTGGGTGGATGGGCATGTATTATGGGATTTGAAAATTGGGCGTCTTTTTTCCTTCTTTTTCCGTTTTTTTTCTTTTTCTCTGTTTGTAACGGGACGGGAACGGGGTTCGAATTTGGCTCAGGCTGGATGGGTATCGGGCTGGGTTTCCTTCTGGGTTGGTTGGTTGGGCTTGGTTTGGAGTTCTCATTTTTTTCTCCCACGGTTCTCTGGCTTACTTGTTACTGGAAGATGGTTGGATGGATCATGGATGGATTATATCACGGGGCTTGAAAATTATGGGTTAAGGCGTTTTATTAGTTTTTGAGGTAGGCAGGTAGGCAGGTACTGTATATTCAATGAGTCAAATGAAATGTTTCTAAGTGATTGATTAGTGCATGATTCTGTGTCAAGGAGGGGAGAGAGGGTAAGGATGGGGTTTATTTTGTATTTAATGTCCTAGGGTGCCACACGCTCTTTCTATTCCTATTCCTATTCCTATTCCTATTCCTAAAAAACAGAAACAAAACGGCTGGCTACAACGGTAGTACAGCGGTACAAATGGTGGTGTACAGTACAAATGGGGATGGTGGCGGGCGAGCGAGAAAAAGAGAGCCCTCCACTAGGGCTCTAGCGTACACATCCTACTCCTGCTCCTGCTCCTGCTCCTGCTCTCTAGGGGCAGGATATGTGAAGTTGTTGAAGGTTCCTGGCCCCGCCGCTAGCTCTTGTCGGTTGGCAGTTGTTTGTCTGTCCTTACGTGATATAAAAATATTTCCTTTCCATTAATAGAGTGTTTTGTGGTATATACTGTATGTCGTGAAGGAGTGAGATGTTGATAGTTGATAGTTAATAGTCCACCTTTAATTAAAGATTGGAAATAGGGATATACTATTCATACTAGGTAGGGCTTATTATTCGGATCTGAAGCACTACCTGTAGGGGTATACGTTGAATTATCATCTTGGAAGTAGAATCTTTTTATTCGACTTTATCTCTGGAATGGAATGTAATATAATATATTCTATATATAGTAAAAGGGGTCTGGAATTATAATTAAAGTATAGTTATCGAATACGTACTGTATTATTTGAAAGAAAAGGTTGCTTTTTTTTTTTTACTCTAGATCGAATCAAGCCGACCTTTCGAACCTATCCTATATATACACGTATATGGAACCCCCTCTCTAGTGTTGCTCATGGACAGTTAACACCTGGTAGTTACTATAACTAATAGCTTATTAGTAGTTTAGTTATTAAATTTTGGATAAACCATTAGTATCCCTTAGTCCGTAAATCACTCAGCGCCAAGGCTTGGCCTCAACGTCAGGTCTTGAATACACACAGTTCCATTAGTACTAGTCACGTGTCGAGTTACAGCTGCTTATCAAACCACCTACAGAAACGTCGTAAATCTATGATTTACCATTAGAAATGGTATAGCTTAAATTAATGTCTTCTGCTAGTTCAATAATTGTATAGTTTTAGTGGTTTCTATGTAAGTATATATATGCTATTAGTTACGAGATGAGGCGTTTTGATACTTGGCACGTCCTAATTAGGTATAGCGGTGCCACGGCTCGCTTAAAGCCCCGTACCAAGCCTGGGCGCTGAGTGATTTACGGACTACTGTAAGGGATATGGTAGTTTAGTTGTAGATTTATATATAAACCGGTTATTTAATAGTTCCTTAATAGCTTTTGCTTAGTTATTAACACGTGATACCTTTGATACTATTCTAACATTCTAAGGAATATTCTATCTATATTATCCTACTACTACTATCTATATTATCTAACCACTACTATTAATATATTTCCAGATATGTCTTCACACTTGATAGACGACGATACTAGTGGCACTTTAGTTTTTATATAAATAGCTTTAATTTATAGCTTCTTAAAACTTACAGTTAATAGTAGTTACTATTAATTAACCAATGGTTAACTACGATTACCACGGTTAACCAATAGTTACCGTTATCCTATTAGTTAACCACTTTACCATTGGTTAACCACCATTTATGACGGTTTGGTTTGGTTATAGCCTCTCCCTTAGTAGTTTAGTCTGGTTTTGCTATAGAATTAATGGTTAACCATCCATTGGCAACACTGCCCCTCTCCCCCTAAGTTTAGCGAGTGACGATAACGCATCTTAACTGGGGTTTGAACCCGCCCGCGCTTAGTTGACGTTTTCTTTTTGGGAAGGGGGCATATCGTTACGTATGGGAAGGGAATGATGTTGGGGTTGGGGATCCATGGATTCCCAGTTCTTGGGATTCTTTACTGGTTGTATTTTTTTTTTTGAAGGGATGGGAGGAAGAATTTTCTAAGATATGATATTTGGACTTTAGCAACTACTACTCAACGTACGATGCGACGGAAATGCTATCTACTCACTGTTTTATTTTTTTTTTATTTTTTTTATTGAAATGTTTTGTTGAAATCTTTGTGTGAAAGTCTGGACGGAAATATAAAAGTGGTGGTTCTCTCGCGGGGATGGAAAGGGCAATGAGCTGGTATTTTATGGAGTTGTGGATTGATTGGATGATTGTTTGAACGTATTCTGGTGCATGGAATACGAATCGTAGATATGTGTCGTCTAGTAGATGATAAGGCGGGTGGGATGTAATCTTATATGTAGGTGATGAGTTGAGTGGAAGGGGTCTAATATTGGGAACTGTTGCTGAGAGGAGTATGTTACATTAACTGTGCTGGACAGCCGCTGGCTTGGCGAATAAGCCTAGCAGTTTAGGTTAATGTTGTTGTGTTGCTATGGTTTTAGTGCGCTCGTGTGATTCTTTGGGAAGGGGGATTCTGTGCGGATGGGTTGGAATCAGGGGAGGGAAATAGGAGGGAAGGAGGAGGTCGGGAATCAGCTACCAATCTTTGTATCAGACTGATGAAATGTGGAGGGGGTAGTGTTTATAAGGGTTGAAGGTTGAGACACTTTGTATGTTAATAGGACTTCTCAGGTTACGGAGTAAAAAGTTAAGCGAGGGCTAGGTAAGACTGTGTGATGTAGGCGAGTGAGAATAACAAAGCTTGAAGAAACAGAATGGAGAAAGAGACTTGCCAGGAGAGTGAGATATAGATATGGAGTTGCTTTCTCAACGCTTTTAAGGTTTCAAAGAATCTATTCAGTCTTTACGACTACATCTGACAACTCTTAGATGAGGTTCTAGATCTTTATCCAAGTCGTAAGCTCTCCCCAAAAACTCATGCATCTTGTGGCAACCCAACCAACCTCAAAGAATCATCCCAGAGTCTCTTTTCAATCACCTCATCAAAAGCATCAGGATGGTATCCAAAAGCCTCATTCTTCGCCTTCCCCATCACCTCAATCTCCCTACAGTCCTCCAAATATTTGCCGCCAACCCCGTTCCACTCCTTCCCCACGGCCGCCAAAACCGTCGTCGCGGCACCCTGTGGGACATCTTTCATAAGAAGCTTGTAGGCGTTAAAGAAGTCCTGGACTTCCTGTGGAAGCTCCACGCCCGGCGCACTCATCGTATCGATGGTACCCGGCATAAGCGAGTTCGCAAAGACGCCCTTGGAGCCATAACGTCGCGTGATCTCGTTGGCGAAGTGGACGTTCGCCCGCTTGGCTTGTCCGTATGCCAGTCCGGTTTGGTAGGGAATTTTCGTAAAGGAGTAATTATCTTCCGGGTAAACAGGACCGACTTGATGCGCCATGCTAGATACAACAACCACCCTCGATTGGAACTCGGGCGTCGCAGAGGCGATCAAGAGCTCCTTGACCAAGTTAAAGAGCAGAAAGTGAGCAACATGGCAAACACCAAACTGAGCCTCGAACCCATCAACCGTCAACTCCTTTTGCTGAAGCATCATGAGTCCCGCATTCGTAATAAGTACATTCAATTTCCCTCCCAACTTGGCATTGCGTTCGCGGAACTCGGCAGCGCCTTTACGTACGCTGGCCAGCGAGGCCATATCCATTTCCAGCAACTCGACACGTCCTGGTTCGAGGATACCAGCTAGTGCCTTCTCGGCCTTGGGGAGATTGCGGACGGCACAGAAGATTGTGGCCCCGGTGGTAGCGAGGACTCGTACTGTTTCAACGCCGATTCCTGCTGATGTGCCGGTGACCAACATGGTTTTGCCTTTTAATTTTCCCACGAGGTCATCGTCGAGGATGATTTGTTCGGCAGTGGGACGGTGGTCGCCTGGTCCTTTGGCGCCTTTGTGGGCTTCTTCGTATTTGGCTGTGGAAACACCCATTTTGTGATAAGTTATATGATCGAGCTTTGGTTTTGGTTGGCTAGTTATAGACTTTCGAAGCCAAGTGAGAGAGGTTGGTAAGGAGAAACAGCTGTTTGATAAAAATGAATACAATTGTGGGGAGGCATAGAACTTATATATAACTGTATGGTGGTGTACATCACATCCCCACACATTGAGCACTCTCACAAGGATATTCTCCTGGGAAACTCCTTGAAACGTTTGGCCTGAATCCACAATAGAGCTGCTTAGTAAATGGCCTGCTATAAATTAGGATGATTGCTAATACAAATGTACTATTGCATCCCATCTCGACAACCTCTCATGATACCTGGAGAACCCGCAAAGTACAGTTTCCGTCCACAAATAGAGCAAGAGCCTATGGGAAAAGCAATCTAGATTTTGCAAGAATCGTTGTTACTGTACAATGCCATAATATTGAGAAATCCACGCAACCAAGCGGGACCCCGCCGCAGCAACGCCTTACCCGGACTCTCGGCGGAATGATGTGTTGAACCAAGACCCTCCATGAACATCTACACGCGGAAAACACGGTACAGTGGATAGACAGCTCGGGTTGCCCCTCGTGAATCTTATGTGATGTTTATGTCGCCCAGATCCGAGTCTCTAATTCGCTGCATTTGCTAAAAGTTAGGCCAGATCCGTACTTCGAAGTATCAATAGTCAGTGCGCTTCCCTCGGCGCTATCTCAAGACTTGGGGGGACTCTGATATATCCAGCCTCGTCCCAACACAGTTTACAAGATGCGATAGCAACCAATAAAACAACTCGGAAGTTGACCCCTGCAAGCGAAATCGACTACTGGATTGGTACAGTACAGTAACAGACTTTTTGCCGAGCTCTCGACCTCAAGAGAAAAAGAGGGGTCCTGAGAACATTGCGAAGGCATAACCCCTCAAAACATATGACTTCACCGACGGAGAACCAACGGATCTAAGGAGTTGAAATTCTATTGATCCGATATTATTTCCGGACGTTGACCACTTTATTATCCGGACCATCGTTCACGCTTTTATGCATTTTCTCCGAGCAAAGCATGAAACGATAAATGAAGCGAGATACGCGGGTTTTATTTGACTCTAGAAGTACGTTGAGCAGTTCGAAGAATAGGCGGAAACTAGGACAATAGGTTCGGACCGAGTATTCTGTCTTCGAATTACAGCTCAACACATGGCTCCCAAGATTCGCTTAAGCACTTGGGTGTCTGACTTTGGGTATTTTTCTTCTAGTCTGCTAGAACCAACTCGGACTCGTTTAGGATAAGGAGAGCACAGTAGGTACATTAATTGGAGCTGAGCATCAATTTTTGACCAACGAAAACAGTCGCGATGAATAGGCAAGTCAGAACAAAACTTGGTACAAAACTGTTACTTGCGTTCACTTCAACTTGTCTGTAGAAATGCCGCGTCATAACGTAATGAAGGTCTGCAATCTGGAGTCTTGATATGGTGTTGTGCTGTGGTCTTTCGACTCAGAAAACAAAAATGAATCAATAGGAAAACACTCGCTTATACACAAGCAAGAGCAGTGATACGTTCACCATAGCGTTTCTAATGGCCATGTTTGTATTTTTCTCCATATTCTTCTGGTGGACAGATAAGTCTTACTAGTAAATATTAGCATGAGTGCAATCCAAACTTCGTGCTTCAACTTACTAAGATCATTCAGAGGTAGTCTCCTCTCTTCGTGTGGTCCCGATTACGCATACCACATCTCTACTAATTCCTCGGAATTCCCCGTATTGCCCTCCAAGCAACTCCCGTAATTCCATTTCTAAAGAGAACCCCTTCAGATCACCCACCTAACGAAACAAATCCGTCAAACTCAACCTCCTGCCAACCGCCGCCTCATTCATAGGCAACCTCACATTCGCATCCCCACCCCCCATCCTCATAGCCTCCTCCCACTTCTCCCTAATAAGCCTACAATTAACCTCCCTCGTATCACTCTTATCAGCATGAATAAAAAACCCCATCGTCTTCATCTCCTCCCCATCGCCCACCCCAAGCAATAAAAACTCCTCCGTAATCTCCACATTCACCACCTGCGCCAAATTCAGAATCAGATTATCCAGGCCCCTCCTATTCATAACCACGATACAGTGTTGCACTGTACCAGCCAGGGACGCAGGCGCGAGTTGGCAGACGAACAGCGTCCCTTCGATCTCGGTCTTGTTCCAGGAACTGCTCTCGGGGAGGAAGGTGTAAATTTGGGTCGAGGGGGCGATGGAGAGGATAGATTGAATGGAGTGGTGGTGTCGTCGGAGAACGGAGAGGTTCAGTTCTGTGTTTGAACGCGTGGGGACGGGGGGTGCGTAGAAGGCTTCAGATTCGTAGTCTGAGGCTTGGACGGCAACGGGGTGGGATTGTGTGTTGCTGTTGTTATGGCGTTGTCGGGTTTTGCGGGGCGTCATGATGTCTGCGATGGTTTCGTATGAAGTGGTTGTAGTAGGGAGAGCAAAGATGTGGATCTTGATGAGCTATGAAGTGGAAAGCTCGAGGTTCAGTGGTGGGTGGTCGAGGTGGGGGTTGAGAAGGCGATGAGGATTCTTATTATGATGAGAACAGACGCCGTGAGAAATATTGTTAGAGCGCGTTGCACGTATTTGATGTATTATGATTCAGATAGCAAGAATTGGTAAGTTGTACCAAGTCGGGAGTTGTTCGTCGTGTGCCAGTGTTGTTGCGTTTCCGTCAACTTGAGGTCATCACAGAAGCTGACGGCGTCTCATTACTGTAGCTGCAAGGATCTCCGCGCCCGGGGTAAACTCACCTCGCTTCCATCCACAGTGAATCAGACGAGTACTACATACGCTTATTTATATCTCTTGACGAGCCAATAGAATTAATCATAATAGAGAGCTTAGAAGATCTTTCCACACAACTTTGAAATTTTCTAGAAGCCTAGAATAAATAGCTAATTACTAACTTTATTACCCTTTCCGGCTGCAATGGGTTTCTTAATACTAGTAAGGTGCACTCTCTTTTTCTTCATAGTCTTTTGGTCCTTATAAGAGTTGTTTATATACTAAGCGCTCTTGCTATCACAGAAATGATTCGACTTAGTTTTCGAATCTGTTCTTCTATCTTCCAACCAACTAAATAATTACTAGGCACTAGCCACGGCATTGGAAACAGTATATATCCTAAGTTATAGCTGGAAACAGCTACAATAGCGAAAGGTGTGCATGTAACAAGCTGTTCTCAATTCGTCCTCTCTTTGACAAGAAAGCTACTGGTCTTTGGAACGTCAAACACAGAACACTGGAACTCATTTCTCAGCTTTCCTTTGAGAATCTACTTGACCAAGAAATCAAACTTGATTTTCTAGGGGGAAAACCCATCAGCTATTGTAGAACAAATACGGAACACATGGGTTTTTTGTTCACATTCTTCATTATCAGATTATATACAAGGCAACCAAAAGGCCAGATACCTAGTGATCACATAAAACCCCTACGTCTCTACAGAAGGACCGACCCTCTCCCTCTCCTTAATAAGTCCAGCAGAGACACTTAAGTTCTCCGCGCCACTCAGCGCCTTAGCAATCATAGTCTCATGCCTCTCCCTAACAATTCTTCTTAGGGCACTAATAAGGAACTCAGAGACCAAATCCACAGACCAGGTATCTGGTATCAAACTGAGCACATGAGCAACCTCAAACCATCCACCAAATCGTTCCAGAAGATTACTGGTCTGCTCCACGCGATCACTGATGTTATCAATGCGGAGGAACTCTGAGAGTAAGTAGCCAAATAGTTTTGATTGTTCCCCCCAAGATGGTAGTTGCTCGCGAGCTATGGTGCCAGATGTCGGGTGGTAAATACTCGATCCGCCTAGGAGACAGTAATTAATCGCCGTGTCATAATCTCCCAATCCATGGGTCAAAAGACGCAAAGCTTCCTCATGATGAGATTGTCGGCCGTCGAGAATGATGACCTCGGGCACAAGCTCTTTGGTAAAGGGAGCTATCCGCTCGAGAATAGCGGCAACGTCGTACTGTGATGCAGATCCCTGACTTCCACCAAGGAGTTGAAGTAGTCGAAGTCGGCTCTGCCACCAATCCGCGTCGATTGTATTGTCAGTAATGAATTGCCTGTAGGTAGGCTTCGGGGGTTGTAGAGCACGGTACGATTCATATGTCTGAATCAATATGTTTCGTGCCTCTGGTGATTCCTCAAGCTTCTTGATGACAACATCTAGATAATATGCTATCAGCTCGTTGATATACTCCGAATGGTGTTTGCTGAAGACCAAATATTCGAGGTATGTCTTCACGGCTCCAGGCGCACCTTCTCGCAAGATTTGGACAACCTGAGCTGGTTCAAATTTTACGTAGTTCCTGTCCTCGGCGAAAACCTGGACTCCAAGTGTTGGATTTCGTGTGGCTAGCCAAACACCGTATTCTTGGACTAAAGCTGGACTGCGGACTTTCAGAAGATATTCTCGGACCCTCACTTCACCATCTCTAAACTCGCCTCCCTGGTCACCTCCACCCTCAACAATTCGACGCCATGTTTTCAACACATCACCTGCCATTTTGCGGCTTTGATATAAACGACTAAGCACAAAGAGACGCCTATGGGACTCCAAGAGTGAGACTGCTCTCTCAAAACAATCTACTCCATGATCAACCAAATCGTACAAATCAGCTCTAGTTGATCTGCGGCTCGAGGGGTCTTCATTGGAGGTCATGTCTAGCTGTAAGAGGACAAGTAACAGAGAAGCATCGACACTGCGAGATACCTCTTGTTCATTCGCTATGCTTCCAAATCCCTTCTTCTTTCGCCAAGCGGATAAAAATCTGCCTAGAAAGAGAAGAATCTCGACAGGAATGGCATTTGAACTGGATGACTCTGGTGGTCCCGAGTCGACCCTATTGATATATCCTTCAGCGACATCCCGGATACCGCCGTTGATCCATATTCCAGTTTTGCCCTCCACCATTTCGTTGCGCAAAGATGGAATGATCGACAGAATCACACGTGGATCTAGACTCCCATCAAGAAGAGCCTCTTCGCATACTTCGTACTCATATGCTTTGTGCTGGTCAGGGTTAGACTCAAGAAGACTCATGAAAAGAATCAGGCCAGCCCGTTGCTTCACATAGCCAAGACTAACGAATTCAGTCTCGGTCCTTGCCTCGCGGCCACGTAATGAGTTGATCAACGTGATGGCGTTTTGCCTGTCAAGGGATCGATATTTTGACGCACTTGAAGAGTTGCCTAAGAGTAAGCGATCCAAAGCTGCATCCAAACGCAGAGCCAAGGGATTGCGAACCGCCCACCAAATTGTTGTACCAGACCAAGCTGCGATGCGACTTTGGGAGTTGCCTAGCCTTTGAGCAAAGTGCAACTCCTCTTTGTTTCGATCATTTTCCCATCCTTTGGGGAGGGAGTCACCGCTTTCGAATAGCTCTCTCTCTCCAGAAACACGCTCGAGAGAGCTTGCTGTGCGAGAATCCAGACTCTGCAACGACAAGGTAGAAGCACTGGTAGATGTTGCTGTAAATGGGCGGAAGCGTTTTAAACGAAGTTTTTCGGTTAATTCAGCGAAAGACACGTTGTTTGTATCAACCACTGAGCGGATACCTATGCGAGATGAGAACCCTTTCTCGGTATTGCCTTTGGGTGGCGCTTCCAACCAGTGTTTCTCAACACCGTCTTCTCCAGAATTGAGATCCCAACGCTGAATTTCGAGTCCGTGGCGCAACTCTTCACCAAATTCTCGTGAAAGGGAAGCAATGACATAGCCTTCCTCTTCCTCTTCGCTGGTAATGGGAGTCGGATCTACCCCGACCCCGCGTCCATCTACTACAACCTCTTCTGGGTATACTTCAAACTCCACCGTGGGTCGTGTAACCTCGCCTTCGAGACTTACAAACATGCCAACACCTGGATCTCGCGGACCCGTTCCAGTGACTAACAAAAACTCCTGGGGGGTTGGCGATGCAATATGCGGCTTAAGGTAGACAGGAGTGGGCACAGGCGGAGGTGCAGCAGTACTTGGCGGGATGGGGGCTAAGTCAGTAGATGCATCACTTGGAGGTGGTGGAAGAGCCTTATTAGACCCAGGGCTTGGATCTCGGGGCGGATTTCTCAAGGGACTTGCTGTTGGAGCTGGCGATGACTCCCGAAAGAGCCCTTCAGGGGTTTCTCGTCCAGTGCGATCGATACTCCTACCTTGGCTATGCCTGCCTATCCCAGCGCCACTGATAAAGGCACCGAGACTGGTGCTTCTGTTGTGCCCTCGGACTTCAGCTGGCGCTGATGAATGAGTCGACTGTGCAGAAGAGGTACTTCTTGAGATGCCGCCATTTCCACCTCCGGATATGTCTTCTACTCGGCCACTGACGCCCTCGGAGTGAGAGTTATCCAATGAAGATATGGGAAACAACGGTATCTTCAACAACCGTTCTACATCTAAAAGAGCATAAGAATGTGAGTTTGCTACACACGCAAAAGATTCTCGCCGAACAGAAATAGTTCCCGCCGGAAAGTCAATCACCTAGAAATATCAGCTTGGCAATCACATGTATGTATAAAATGGACGTATCACCCTGACTGGCCTGGCATCTTCCCCAATTCTGATGACTCTCATCTTTCTGTTCAGTGAAACTAGAACGGTAACTGAAGGAGGATTCCCGTCCCGCTGACGCCCCGTGAGGTCTGTATTTAAGTCTATTCCTCCAATCCAATTGCATGGCCGTATCTGCGTAGTTCCAAATACCGGGCTAAGTTCCGGTAGAGAGTAAAATGTCACCGTCCAGTTACATAATATGCAAGCCTTATTAACTTGGGCAAGAAGTAGGATTTGTTGGACGCCTGGTCTGCGGGGGTTGGAGGACTCATGGTAGGCAGGGAGAAGCCTAGAAGCTAATATATAGGAGGGCTGTCCCAAAGAATCGTTGGGATCGGGTGGAATTTGTACGAAGTGGAGGAGTTCCGACGCCGATGTGCCTACGTATAGGTTTTGGTCTGGCGCAAACTGATTAGCTGGTGACTTTATATCTCGACCATGACCGTACCGACGTACCCAAGAACTCCACACACCTTATCTCAATATCGTCGCGATCGCCATCAGCAGAGAGTGGCACATCATCCAGTAAAGTCCGCAAGACAAACGGGCCCGTTTGCCCCTCCGCTTCGGCCAACGACATCTTCAGACGAGGCTACCGTGCCTTTCCAGCACTTCAAATGAAGATCATGCTAGCTGTAGCAGCTGGGACCGTGGTCGGTACTGGTTCAAGTAATTCTGATGAATCAAGGGAATTGCTGGAGCTTCTCGTGAGTGAAAATAATAAATTGTGACTGTATGAGAGGTTGTAACTTAATACGTTCGTGATGGTGTTGTTGCGACGAGGCGTAGCTATCGGGCCAACATCGGCAATTCGGGCAGCTTTACTGTATTGCTTTTAGTATTATCACAAGGGTAGGTAGGCGAAGGACAAGAAGCACCAATTATTATTAGATTCCAAATCTAAGCTGAGAGACCTTGATTTTTGTTGCTGTAAAGGCAGTGATATCTTTCATAGTATCCTTGTTATTGGACTTACCGGTATATCAATCCTATGTAAAATAATACCTACAAGTAGGTAGCCTATGTCTATTATTTGTTGCAATATATCGTATAATGAACAAAAATTGCGTCATCAGAAATACAAGCAGAATTCATTGATCTTCATGGTAGCGTTATTACATACTCCCCCCTTTCCAAACCGAAGAACCACATTATAACGCCTCATCATGCTTTGCCTTTCTCAAAACGAAATACTCGACCAAAGCCCTGAAATCAAAAACATCAAGCCACAGCAGTTTCGTCATTAATATAATCCCGATTCTCAATCGTGACACTCTTCGTCATATGGTTAACCTTATACACACCCACCAGTCTGGAGGCCAGCTCAAACATGTTATTCCTCAGTGAAATAACGATGAATTGAGCATTCTTAGTGCGCTCCTTGATGTAAGATGCGACGATTGAGACCTGTATGCTCATTAGTGAAAGCTCATACATGATACGGATGAACGCCACGAAGGGGTAGAAAACTTACATTTCGGAAATCCAAAGCAGCGTCAATTTCATCCATCACATATAACGGTGTAGGCTTGTAGTGATGCAAGGCAAATACCAAAGCCAAACTACTTAACGTCTTCTCACCTCCAGACAAGTTGGAAATGTTCTTCCAAGATTTCTTTGGGGGCATGACGCTGAATAAGATACCCTCCGAGAAGGGATCGAGAGAATCGACCAATTCAAGTTCAGCATTGCCTCCCATGGTGATCATCTGGTACATCTCCTTCAGACGAAGCGAGATACTACTGAATCCCTCCATGAAGCCTTCAAGTCTGAGACGCCGAAGTTCATCGCAACGCTTCTTTGCTGCATCTCGTTGTCCTACTGCACTTTGCAGATCAGCATTTCGAGCCATGTGTTCTTCAACGCGACGACGATATTCAGCTAGAACGCCAAGCTCGACATTGACATTTTGGGTCTTTTCCTCCAGTGCCGCGATCTCTGCCTTTAGGGCGTCTTTCCGCATATCTGCGAGTTCGTCTTTGGTATATGATGGAAGTTCCTCTGGAGTGATCTCTTCCCCGAGATCACTCACGTTTTGAAGTGCAAGCTTGCCTAGTTTCTCGTTCCAGTACCGCAATCGCTTTTGGTTCTCCGCAAGAACTTTTTGATTCTCCTCGAGCTTGTTACGCATCTCAATCTCAACCGCCCGACTCTCGTTTAGAACAGCAGTCTTTTCATCCAATTCCGTCTTCAAAGCGTTGAGCTCCTTCCTCTTTTCTTTGAGGGCTTCATTAGCCTCCTCAACTCGAGCTTGGTAGCCTTCGGCATCAGAACTCTGGTTCTGGATGTCAACTTCCAAGGACTCGAGATCTGCAATAGCGGTTTGTAAATCCTTGGTCGCCTTAGCATGGTCCTTCTCGTGCTTCGTTTTTTGTTTTTCCGCCTTTGCTTTCGTAACTTCAGCAGTGGACACTGCTTCATTAAGACTGCTGATCTCTTCTTTGACGGCATCAACCTTCGCACGTTGAGCTCGAAGCTTTTCTCCACCGACTTCCATGATTTTGTCTTGCAGGGCTTTGATCTCTTCTTCGACGCTGGCCGTCTCGCTGTGGAGCTTCTCAATTTCCTTGTTGAGCTTGGTGATCTCATTTTGGAGTGAGACAACACGGCTGGCATCGGTTTTGGAAGGCTGGTGTTCTTTGCTCAGTTCCGTGATGCGCCGCTGGGCATCTGCTAGGTTTCTTGCTGAGCTCTCAAGCTCAAGGCCAATCTTCTGCATCTTGGTATTTAGCCTTGGAATACTATCGTTGAGTTCTTTGAGCTGGAATTCAAGCTCTCTTTGACGATCTTGGAACTTTTGAAAATCCCGTTCCAAAGAGTCACGATCAACCTCCAATTTAGCGACTTGTTCCTTTGAGACATCGGCAACTAGTTTCGACGACATCAACCCCTTTTTGACAGTATTTCCTCCGCCTGACATGGTACCAGATTTATCAATAAGCTGTCCGTCAAGAGTAACAACCCGCCATCGTTTTGCTCCATAGGCAATACGATTGGCCTGCGCAAGATCTTGCGCGACGAGCGTATTCTGAAGAGAATGGTAAAAGGCAGGCTTGAATCTCTCGTCCTTTGCGACAATCAAATCAAATAGACGACGGACATTTTCAGGTGTTTGGATAGGTGACATATCCCGGTTTCCGAGTTTATCCAAACACATGAAGTTGCCTCGGCCAAGATTCGTTTTTCGAAGATACTCAATACATTGTTGACCGCCCTCCACTGTGTCAGTAACGAAATTGTCGAGTGCGCCGCAGGCAGTGGAGATGGCGACGTCATATCTTTTGTCGATGGTGCCTAAATTTCCCAGACGACCGTAAAACCCATCAATTCGTCCAGATTCCTTTAATCGCATGAGTCCGGTAAGAACGTTGCCCTGAGTCTGAGTATTGGAGAGACTAGCACGAGCCTCGTCTGCTTTTTGACGAACACCCGAAAGACGAGACCGAATCTCAGGTTCCGTCTGAAGGAGTTGCTCAAGCTCACTTCGTACTTTGTTTGATTCCTTTTCCAGCTTCTTCCTTTCCACCTTGCAATTCTCAAGCTCTGCAAGCTTGGATTCACGGGCTCCTTCAATGCTGGCCAGCTTCGCTTCGGTCTCCTCAAGCGCCACAGCTCCAGCATTGGCCTTCTCGTGCAAGATAGCCAGCTCACTCTCCGCAACGGCAATCGCTGACTGTTTTTGGTTGAGTTTTTCGTTCCAAGGTTCTAATGATTTCTGCTTTGCTGCAATGCTGTCGGAAAATGCCTGTGTTTTGCCTTTGAGGCTGTCTCTAATAGTCGCCAGCTCCTTCTCTTCTGCAGTGACCCTTTTCTCCATGGTAGCGATTTCCTTGGCAGACTGCTCAATTTCGGCACCGCAATTTTCGATGGTAGACGCTGCTTCTGTTCCTGCATTTTCGGCCGTGCTGATACTTTTTTCAAGTTTCTTTTGCTTGGTGGTCAAGAACTTGCGCTTCTCTTCAAATTTGACATGTTCTTGGTCAAATTTTGCCATTTCCTTGGTGATGCTCTGCGCTTCCTTATCAATGGCCTCGTATTCCTTCTGGCCTTTCTTGTACTGTTTCTCAAGTTGCTTGATACCGTCCTCGTTGCCTTTATGGTTCTCCAATTCGGCGTCAAGTTGAGCCTGCATTTGACCAATAGCTTCTTCGGTTACTGCAAGGTTGTCTCCGCATTCGTCGATGTAGACTTGATATAAAGCGCATTGTTTCATGGTCAGTTCATTCTCATCCTTGATGTACGCGAGTGCCTTGTTCTTCTTATCCTCCAAGCCATTCTTCTCCTTCTCAACATGCTGAACACGTCCGCTTTTCTCCACACAGACTTCATTGAGAGTTTCCACTTCAGTGGCGGATTCCTCGATTGGAGTTTTGTACTTTGAGGTCCCAATAATGTCTTCAAGATACTCCAGTAGTCCATCGTCATGTTCGTTCGCGGCTTTTGGCTTCATCTGAGCAATGGATTCTACCTCTCCCTGTAGAATCAAGAATCTCTTGTGATCCAGATCAACTCCCTTGGCACGTAGAAGGGTTGTTACCACGGTGAAATTTGATTCCCTGCCATTCATATAGTATTTGCTAGAATTGTTCTTGAATGCGCGGCGAGAAATGACGAGGTCTGAATTTGGGATAATGGCAGGAGGGGCTCCATTTGGCTGATCCATAACTTCCTGGAAATGAACAGCCACTTCACAATGATCCAGGTTCGGGAACGCAGCAGAATTATGTATCAAGGCAGATATCTTGCCCTGTCTCATCTTGCTGGCTCTGAATCCGAATACAAATAGAAGGGAATCAATAACATTGGACTTTCCAGATCCATTGGGTCCGACGACAGAAGAAAAAGAGGCGTGAAAAGGACCGACTTCTTGGCGTCCAGCATAACTCTTAAAATTTGTAAGAATCAAATAAGTGATGACAATACGGGCTTTTGGACCTGTATCCTCCACTACAGGCGCGGCCATCGATCGAGACTTGACCACGATATCCATGGGCTTTTCCAAGACGGTATCCAAAGCGTTGATGGGTTTTATCACGGATGATTCGCTGCCAGCAGTACGTGGTCGGTCATTAAGAGTTTCTGTAATGTCCGCAAGAGGCGTTGCAACCTGCAACTCAGATGGTTCTGGGGATTGAGACGCTTTTGGTGTAGGCATAGGTTTTGGTGTAGGCATTGGCGGCGGCAACTCAGGCGTTTTGGAGCTTCGAGTACCACGAACAGGCGCACTCTTTCTCTTTCGTGGTGACGCCTTCTTTGTAGGAGAATCCGGTCCGGGTCCAGGTGTCATCATGGTTGCTTCGGCGTCGAATATCTCAGAGGGTTCGATGGTGAGATCATTGGCAGTCCTTCTCTTGGATCGCCCAGAAGTTCTGGGGGTAGCGACGACATTCGCAGTCTTCCGTCGCGCTGCCGGTGCTTTTCGTGGGGATTTCTTTGGTGCTGGAGTAAAGTCCTCTTCACTTTCCTCCTTGATTCTAGATTGCACCAGTTCTTCCTCCTCTTCATCAGATTCTACCACCAACTTTCTGCGAGAAGCCGCCCTTCTGGCGGGTCTGGCCGGCGTTTCCGACATTTTCAAAGTATAGGAAGAGGTCAACACTCAGATTGGGGCAAATGCGTCGGCGCGCGCGAGTCTTGCAAAAGAGTCTCGCTTTCGTTGGGTTTTTTGATTCTTGGAGAACGCGGTGTTGTGGGGTAGAAAGTAAATAATCTCGGACGTCGGAGTAAACAATGGGTGGTCAAAAGCGGCAACCTGCATAAAGTGACGATAAGAACCGATAAGGCGCGCAAACCACTTTCTTAGGTTGCCCAGGTTTAGCTCCCCAGAAACCCTCAACAACCAAAGCATCGCGCTCACGGATTCATGATTCATGATGTTCAACTTCCAGAACTTTGACGAGGTCTTCTTCTTTGATTCGGACGCGTGTTATGATGCCGCGCTCTGCGATACCATCGTTGCAAACCGGAAGCAGTTGGAGGGTTTATTGATCGATAATGTTTTGAAGGACGGGGGCATCAAGAGACGTGAGTACTTGCAGTGCAGTTCTGCGATTCTTCGATATAGTCAATCCACGTACTGATTTTTCTAGCTGCTAAATACTATCCCCCCAAGAACAATGCCGACATGCGCGCACTCCATAAAGCCATCATTGAATCCACGTTCCCAGATCAAGCCAAAGTATCGGTGCTCTATTACATTCTTCTCCACTTCGATGCGTCTACTGGTGGACGTGTAATCTCCACTGCATTCGAAGAAAGTGCCTTCCTTCCCAAGAAATATCAGATCACCATGAAGGGTTTATTACATTTCGATCAGCGAGAGTTCAAGGTCCGCTTTCGTTCCCAACTATCACAGTGACCTGGGCATTGACGATGGAACAGGAAGCTCTGGAATACCTCACACACCCATCCATCATACCCGAATACACCGAGCACACCTTAGAGAATCTAGTCAAATATGGCGTTGAATGTTCCAGAACAGAAGGCAAAGAAGACTTGACATTAGCTCTAACCTACTACCACAGCCTTCAACCTGTATTGAAAACCCTTAGCGCTGTGGAACATCTGTTCTCAGCAATTGCTAGAACGAGCGTGACGGAGGCATTCTACTTTTGTCGGGGTCAGCCGGAACACATGCAACGGCATAGTTTCGAAATGCTCATCTCCGTCGTCCTTCAAAACTCCACGCCAGAAACGATCGCTGATCGAGGTATTGAGCTCATCAATCTTCCATTTAGCAAGGAAGAGGAATCCTGGTTTGAGGAGTATCTCCTACGAGGCGGGGGGCACGGTCTCAGGAAGGCAAAGGATATCGTGATACTTAGACACATTGCAACTGGAAAGTTTGAAGAATCTTTAGAAGTGAAAACAGCTAATACTCGGACGGTCAATGGGTTGAACTGGAACACACTTGCAAATGGTGTTGAGTATGGACTAGGCCCTCGACTGGACGTGATGAGCTGATTTCGGGTATAAAAATCTGCTCCATAGTATGGAGGAGTTTGATGTTGAGATATTGACTTACTCCTTGTACTTGTATTCCTAATGATACCCCTGCAAAACTGAAGCACGGACCTTACCATCTAGAAGAGCAACAAATGGAGAGACATCAAAATAGAAGAGAAAAGCGTTGATTTCTTTGACCTTGAACATCTTTCTGGTCAAACGATTTTTCATAGTGAATTATACCAAATATCCTCATACCCAAATTTAAAGAAGCTTGCAGTTACTTTTACAGTGTAACATCATACTGTACTGGGTGGCCCCCTGTGAAGCACAGAGCCGCTAATGCCTCTCCCCTGCGCTAAGGCTGCACTCCACTGTAGACACCTAGCCTTCCCGTACAAGTACATCACTCTATCGCAACAATTAAATACCCCAATTTTCAAGACTGGCGTGTCTGCGAGCAGCTCACCTAATCAAGCAACAATATAAACTCTTGGATGATCTAACCTTAGGAAGACAAATACTATGTCAACCTTGGCTGATGCCGCGGTGGCCGAAGCCACAAACACAAACAACGATGACCACCAAACATCTATACAGGATGGTGACAACAAATTTCAGAAAGCTATATCGGCATGGCGAAGTCAGTCTCTCTATTCAAGCTCGAAATCTCATTGCTAACCTTTATAGCGATTGATCTGACTTCACTGATCCCTAGTCTGGACAACACCGCATCGGAAATCGTCCAGTACCAACGAGATTCCACCGTCCAGCGCAAAGACTTAGCACAGAAAACGAAGGATTTCCGGAAATTAGATGATGCGGGGAAACTTGCTGAGGTCAAAGGGTTGTTGAAAGGTAGGCTTACTTGGTCTAGCACAGAAGGAATTGCGCTTAGAATTTTATTGCAGCCTATCAAACTTTCATCGATTTACTCACGAACCATTCGAAATCGACCAATTCTGCTTTCTTGCAAGTTTATTCCTCGCTATCAGAGGCCCCAGATCCATATCCTTTACTGGAAGCGTCGGTCGACTCGCTCCTATTGTCCGAAGACACCCTCCCAAAGGTTACTCAAGAAAATGAGCATCTGCAGAAAAGTGTCAGTAAGCTCACATCGCAATTGGAGGAAACAGAAGCAAGACTAGAAACTGAAAGGTCTGCGCGCCGGACTTTGGAAGAGGGGCTAGACACCAAAGTCAAGGAGGTTGAGACATCTTGGGCGGCAGTATTAGAAGAGAAAAAAGACAACTGGGAAGCGAAGGAGAAGCTTTTGGAGGATAAGGTTGAAACCCAGGACAGGCTTCTCACGGAGATCAAGGCTAGCTACGAGGTCACGCAACGACTTGGGCAAGCAGATGGGGACGAAAACGACGCAGGGCGTGGTCACGTCACGAGCGCTGAGCTGGAAATGGTCAATTCCGACCTTGAACGGACAAGTGTGCGATTAGCAGAAGTGGAAGCACGCAACGAACAGCTTTTGGTTGAGCTTGCGCAATCAGCATCACAAGTTCCAAGCCAGCCAGCTCTGAATTTAGAAGATGACCCAGGATACATGCGACTTCGGTCTGAAAACTCTTCATTGTTGAGGAAGGTAGATGCAGCTCGAGTCGAAAAAGACGCCAGGAAAAGGGAACTTGATAGCAAAATGCGTGCTTTAGAACGAGAAACTGCACTGTTGAAAGATGAGCGGGATGCTCTTAAATCCAAGGTACAAAAATGGAGTGATTATGAGGATATCAAGCAGGAACTTGAAGTTCTCAAGAGTATAGAGTTCTCGACGGGAGATGACGATGAGCTTGATTTACCGGAATCAGCAGCCAACGTCACAGATGGGAAAGTGGAGAATGGATCCTCTGGGCGCCCCAAGGGCGATACCCTGGAACAGCTTCTGTTGGCCAGAAACAAAAAGTTGAGTGATGAACTCACGATTCTAAGAGTTTCTCACCAGGACTTACAAAACCGGCTACAAGCAATGCAGGAAGAGCTTTCTAAGACCAATGGGGAGCTCGAAAGAGCTCAACATCTCAACGCTACATTGGAAAATGACCTTGCCAATGTACAGCAAGAGACAGCCAATGCATACCCGTCAGGTGTTTCTGTCGCGGGCACATACGTAAGTCGCTATCCGCAATCTTCAGCCAACGTGATAGGAGGACGTAAAGGGCGGATCTCGCCAACTTCATCTATAATCTCTGGCTTTGATCCTCGTTCTGCATCGCTAGGCACGACGTCCCTTGAGGCCCTACGATCAGGGGAGCCTGTTGGCGGGGGATCTGGTATTTTGCCCATGATCACCGCGCAGCGCGATCGTTTCAAGAAAAGGAATGTGCAACTTGAGAATGAACTTTCAGAAACACATCGCACGGTATCGTCGCTGCGACAAGAGATTGCGTCGTTGCAAAAAGACAATCTGAATCTCTATGAGAAAACGAGATATGTCTCGACCTATAATAGAGGCGCACCTACAGCATCTTCTGCATCATCCTATGCCAGTAATCCCAATCCATCGACAGTCCAGATGTCATCATCCACTTCATCTGGATTAGCACTGGATCGATATCGGTCGGCTTACGAGTCAAACATATCTCCTTTTGCGGCATTCCGAGGGCGGGAATCTGCTCGAGCATATAAGCGAATGAGTCTGCCCGAACGGGTTGTATTTTCCATTACGAGAATGGTGCTAGCAACGCGTTCAAGCCGGAACCTGTTTGCCGGATATTGCGTGGCCTTGCATGTTCTCGTCTTCTTTTCCTTGTACTACACCATGACGGGAACGGCTACCGCTGCCGCTGGACCTCTAGCAGCCAAGGTTGCGGGGGAAGCCTCGAAGGCTGGGAAGGATACAGATTGGCACCAGGAGGGGTTCAGCGGCAAGGGATCTTAGCTCTGTTGGGGTTGCTGGTGACAATTGAAAGAAAAGAGGGGCGGGGATGGATGGTTATTTACCAATTTTTCAATATTTGCTACTTGGCGATGTTGTGTACCAGGACGGCGGGCAGCAAGCATGTTTCTGTACTCTATCTGTAGCTATAGAATGGCGCTTAAATGCGTGTCCTACTCAACTTCCAAGCCTGTTCCGTCAGTTGGTTGGTCGGTTGGTTCATCAGGAGGGGCATTTGATGGTCGATCAACAACTGATTGGATCAGATTCATAAGTGGATCGCTTGAGGTGCCAAAATGACTTGCATACGACCCCACAGAGCCGCATCATTGCGGGCCGAGGCCCCGAACAACATCCCTCATTGGATCCGCTTTAAGCGCCGCAACTATATATAGATTATGCGGGGATATTGGCTAAGGTGGCCAATGACATTCCGAAGCCAACACTTGTCTTCGTTCGCTGCAGAAAGAAAGCTTGGTCATTGATCTGCTGTATTTTTGCCGACCGCGCAAACTTCATCCAACCATAACGTGCGCCCAGATGGCGGGGCAATTATCATTCCGTTTCTCAATACGAGTGCTTCTGTTATTCAGTCGCGCGTCTATGATTCTAGGCAAAACTGGGTAGAACTGAACTAGGCACTTGGGAAGAAACTTGTGTATTAAGTGGGCTCTCAATCGATAGCGACTTTTGGTCTACGACAGTGTACTTTTCCTACCTTGGTCTAGCACAGCAATGCTATCACAGTCCCCTGTGCCATTTGAGACGTTTTTTGAGCCGCATTGATTCATCTTGATTAGAAGCGGTGAACAAAGTTCATGTTGCTTCGAAATACGATGTACCTCTCATTTCCAGAGTCAGAAAATCGCCGTTTTGGGGGTGTCTGACACAGTCTGGTAGAATTATAGACGAGGTACCAAGTACATGTACTTTGCGCAAAATTCAGACGGTATGAAACGGAACGCTCGGATGGAAAACGTCAAAAACGTCAAAAACGTCAAGATTGGGTTGACGGTTTACAGCACAATACTGCAAAGGCATGATTCGCTTCAGAATTTGACATTTTATGTAACAGTCATTACCCCAGATCACGACGTCAGCAGAGCAAGCTTTTCTGTTATCACATTCAGCTTCAGTATTTTCTGACGTGCGGCGATGAAGCGGCATGAACCATTCTGCAAAGCTTCTCCGTTTTCATCTCATGATTTACGGAGCGTATTCGAGACAGGTTTACTGGCCTAGGGAAGCCTGCGATTTTGGCGACGATTCAAGATAAGCCTCATCCGATCTGCTACAAGTGCTCGGACCAGACTTGGAATGGTGATTTTTTCTTGGGTTTCCTTGGGAGTTCATGAATCACGAAGCACAAGTGTACTGCGTAAGTAGAGTTGACTTCGTAACTCGTAAAGCTGATGTAAATTAAGGAGTTTCAGCCGGTGATCTTCCACACGTTTTTGGCCGGAGGTTTTGTTTATGGCAAAGGGGGGCACTGGATGGGAGAGGTGAGGGTGGTGTTGGCTGCTGCAAATGAGAAAGCTGATACCAGGGTTCAAGGTGCTTGCAGAGTCAGTGGGTCGTGTACCAGGTAATGTTCACGCACAAGCCACTCCATTCGTCTCTGGTGGTCTCTGCCCGCAGCTTCCCCCTATCTGCCCCATCCAGTAAGCGGCCTTCGCTTCTCAACTGCCTGCCGAATTTAGATCTGTTGCTGTGCCCTTGCCGCTGGCGTATTTTGGTGTTCCGTAGCGCTATCCTTACACGCCTTCACGCCGTACCGCCTTGCCTACGACCCTGCAATAGTGGTCTGTCGCTAACGAGATCCACAAAGGTATCGCCAGACTCCAGTAGACTTTTGGACCCGCGTCCCAGGCTACCATCACCCACACCCACATCCACACCCATGCCATGGCACACCCTGATCAGATCCCTCAGATGTATAAGGGCATCTTTCCCAATCAGAAAAAAGTTAACCTTTTCATCCATCAAACTGAGCATCTGTGCGCCGTCTCTCCTCTCTTCTTTTTAACTCCGCTTTTCTTGATCGGCCCGGAATCATCTACTTCGAAATATAAAAACACTTCTACACACTCTGACTCGATCACTCTTGGCTCGTTAATAAATACAGCTTCGATCGTTCCTTTCACTCAACTCTTCAGCCACTCACTTCTGTATCTTTCGCGCCTCATATTACTTTCCAACTATTTTCATCAATTCATTATTTCACAATGCTCTTCCACTATTGGGTATCTTCCGCGCTGTGCACGGTGACGCTGGCAGCTCCATCACTTGCTCCTCCCAGTGCTGAAGCAGCTTTGGTACTTAGAGAGTACTTCGAAGCATTAGCCTCGGAGACTCAGGAAGTGAAGAGGGCAGACAAGAAGGAAACCGGCAAGAAAGAAACTGCCAAGGCAGAAACCAAAGGTGGACCAGGCTGTGATACTTCGAAGGCTAAGCTACCTTCTTCTTGTAAGCTCTCAGTGACTCTTCTCTACCCGTTATTCATATTAACATTAGCAATAGCTCTTCCACCCCCAAGCGGTACTCTCAAATTCATTGGTCTTGGAAGCGGAACGCAAAACTATACTTGCAAAGCGAAAGATGCAAAGGCCGTACCAGTATCAATCGGGGCCGTCGCATCACTCGGAGACGGAACTTGTACAGGCGCAAAATCCACAAGAGCTCTTTCACTCCTCCCAAGACTCGCAATGGAATATGATATCGAGGCACTCATTGGTGCTAGAGCCGGTGGTGGCACACACTTCTTCAACGGTGCTGGTGCGCCCGTATTCGAAACTCCTGCAGGTACCCTTGTTGGCTCGAAAGTGGCCGCAGTGGATGCTCCTAAGAAAGGTTCCGTTCCGTGGCTCAAGTTGAACGCTGTCGGCGGGTCTACCAATGGGCTGTCAGAAGTCTACCGAGTTAACACTAACGGAGGATCTCCGCCTGCAAACTGTGCAGATTCAGCTGCTTCTTTCGAGGTTAAATATTCTGCCGAGTAAGTCCTTCCTCCATATTCTTCCTACAGTCCCATGATCCTTTAACTAACAAACTTCTATAGGTATTGGTTCTTTGGCAAATAAATAAAGGATAATATTCAATCACAAGATCACAAGATCATCATTTCCTTCTACCTCTTTTTAGTTTCTTTCAAGATGCTACTCAAAATCGCATATGACGAAAAGGCGTTTTGCAGAGGATTTCGAGATCCTCTTTTTTCTTTCTTTGGGGGCGGTATATTTTTTTTCGGTGGGAGGGGGACTGCTAGTTCACTGTTGTAGCTTTGAACATTACATTCATCCATGTAAATTAAAACATTTATAAATTAAATAAAAGTCTCTTGTGTGAATCTATCTTACTTGCTCAATCTTTGCGTTGCTTCCTAGGGCATTCGGGGATTTTGCGTTGAATATAGTTTGTGCTAGCTTGTTTTGAGTGCCGTTGGGAATTTTAACTTTTTATAACCGCATGAAAAATGTCATCCCATCCCAAAACCAGACAGGTGTTAATCATCCAAACTCCTAAACTCATTCGATTATGCTTCGAAGTAACAGTACCCCGTAGAGAACGAAAGAACTACAACGACACACAGATACAAAGGTCAGATTACAAAGATACAAAGGTACAAAATCATCCAGACCATACTATCGGAAAATCGCGGCTGAGGCCAAGTAGATGCTCTCGATAGATCTGACTTGCATATCCCCTGAAATGATCCTTCCTGGGGTTGGGGTATTGGGAATTCTTATCGTCACGACGAGGGACGTGCCGACAGATGAAACCGGGTAGTTACTTGTACAGGTGGGGAGGGGAAGTTTATGGTTATATACCGGTAGTTGAAGCTTTTGGTACTCTCTCCCCGTGGGCCGTCCCCCGCCGTACGGAATTACCTACAGTTGAAGACTTAAAGTCCATCGTGAACTTTATTTATCTGCGGGCGCACGTGGTTTCGCCGTTCAAATTTCCGTACATGCAGCTGCCAGGAATACTCTCTATGTAGAGTGGGGGTAGGGGAAAGGCGTAAGGCTGGAACTTGGCTTTTTTCTCGGCTAATGTTTATTTTGTGGTTGCTGTGGGTGGTCGGTTGATTGTTGGGAGATCTCATACAGGGTTTACGAGGTAGAAGTGGGGCGGTTTAATGGACGTTGTTGGAAGTGGTATGTTTTAGAGATTTCAAAGTTGCGGGGTTTACTGATGGGGTTTTTTGATCGTCTAGGGTAGTCTTGACGATGGTTTTGTTGACGTCGGGAATAGATGGGATGGCAGGAAGTCTATTTAGTGTTGAGTCGCTCACGAAACAAGCTCCGTGTGCCTGACAGCCTGATTTAAATAGCAGACGGAGTCGAAGTTTGATCAAGATCAAGGCAAAGAGTGGTCCGTGAGAAAGCGTAATTGATTATTACCCCTCACTCTCTAAGGGTCTTCTTCGGACACGTTGGCGGGTTGGATTTCATGTTAAGCTTCGTAAATCGTGGTCGCTCTTCGGCTCTCCTTTGACAAACCGCGGGCAAGTTTGGATTCTTGGAACTTGAAGGAATATTCTGTAAAATTTAAGGTCACTCGATTTCCACTGCGCTCGTCCTGCTTTTGTTTCATTCAAAATAAGCTTCTAGATCACGTTCTTTAGAGAACGTTGGCCGCGTGAAACACAACTACGGTGCGATACCCACTTCCCGGAACGATAAGATAGCTTGTTGGCGAACATTACATGTGAATTGTCCCCCGCATTTCATTTTTTTTATTAGGGGTTAAAAAGGTTCTTAATGGTCATCATGGTCATAATCGGTTCCTCATAATCATGGGTCACCAGGTGTTAAGTGGGCCATTTGAGAGCCGCAAATTATGGAGATTATTGTATGAGAAAAGAGGGTACTAAATCCAGAATAGTTGTCAATCTAGTATAATCCTCTCGTCTCGATGGTGCTTTATTCCTCGTTCCCCCTGAGACTCTTATACTGACATTCAATAGTTGTCCGCTTTTGTGTTTTTCGCTTTGAACTTGATCGTCAATAAGAGAGTTAGCGAGACTAATATTAGTTGGGAAACTTTTGTTCACTCCTAGATAGTTTTATTAAAGCTACCTTGTTAGTTGTATTTTGGACACATAGACTCTTCCAAAGCCGGGGGTTTTACAACTTCAGTCGTTCTGTCAGTAAGAACTTGGAGGTTGCTGTAGAAACATATTATCTGTACAGATATTAATATTTACAGTACTAAGAACTCTCTTTTGGCTACCCATTGCCCTAAGATGATTACATAAAAACACGGAGGATCAGTTGAGTTTTTCTGGTAAATAATTAGAGCAGGGACCCAAAGGTTTCTCCGGGCATGATTTTATTCCAGAATATTTAAAGTGGACAATTGGAACCAGAAGCACCTTCTCTATGAGTTCTCTGAAAGGACTTGAACAAAAGCCACAAAGTGGAACCTGATAAGTCAATTTGAAAAGTTACAACGTTAGTTCATAATAGTAAAGATCTTTCCTTAATGGCAGCACAAGCAAAAGTTCGAATTTAAGCAAACTCCTCAGCCAAATTCTATTATCTTGAACGTAGATAGAGTGACAATAATGCAAAACAGATATCACGACTTGCTGAACTGCTAAATACAGCATGTTGACAAGATAGTATCAGCGTGGGAACAAATTAATTGATCAATCAATTAAAACTCCGAATTATTCAGATTTGATTTGATTAATAGTTCTGGTTGATTTAATTTGATTAATCGATTTAGTTAATTAGAATTAATGAGATTAATTTATACTATAAATAGTAACTAAAGTACAAAGTAATTGTCCTTAAATAACGCGTCTTTTAGTAGTATATCCTTGTTCGCGTCTACGAAACACCCCTAGAATTTTAGGCTTATTACTAGTATAACCTTAATAGTCTCTTTCGTTATCCTGTTCTGTTCGATAAGACGATTCAAGGTAGGTTATATAACTATACGTGGCCGCCTATACTACCTAGGTAGTTATAATAGATAACTTGTACTATAGTAAGCCTTTTACTAAAGTAAGGGAAGAGTCTATATAAATAATTTGTAAAGAATTTTAATATATAAATATTTCAACTTACTTATACGTTATATAGGGAGGTCGGACCGATCGGACTCCGTAATAATCTAATTAATTCACAATTAATCTAATTACTTAGCGATTTGATTTAATTAGTCGAAATACTAATCTGATTTAATTTAGTTAAGTACTATTAATCAAATTGAATCGAATCATTTTAACGCTACAAGATATCGCAATAAGAACTTTTGAGATTATACTACTAGGTAGCGAGAAAAACCATTTGATAGCAAAAGAAGTATATCATAGTAATTCAAAACTTTAATATAACCCATTTCCCTCTCTTATTAAATTACAGCAATCTTGCTTCCCATTTCAAGTTCATTCCTTGTTACAAAACCTGGCTATACCGGCTTATCTAAGCCGGAATTAACGTTTTCAACGCTTTCTAGGGTTTTTTTATAGACATTTAAACTAAATATTTTAGGTCCTTTATTTACTTTGGATCAAGTTTCAAGAAGAAGGTACCTTTCCGCGGCTGCCTTTTCCGACCACTGGGGGGCTGGCTATCCCATTGATAGGAGTTCTCAATGTAGCGGGCAACAAAAGGCATTCTCCATTCCTTCTTTCAAGAAATATACTAGATACAACAAACGAATTAGCCGATTAGCTGAGAGAATCCCATACAGAACAAATGGCACCTGAACAGCATGCCGAACCACTTAACTCCTTCCTTCTAGAAGGGTATGCCAGTAGTCTCATCCAAACCAAATGTCAACTCCAACCAATTATATAATCCCTCGTTCCGATCAAACCAAATTGCGAAGATGCAGGCCAAAGCGGTGACGCAAGTCGACCGGTGGTATAAGCCCTGCATATTTTGATACCATGTGCAGTTCGCCCTCACCTTATCACAAACCATTCAGTAATAATAAAGCCAGAGAGTCGGGTCTGGCCAAGCCTCTATTCCTCACACGATATCCGCAGGCTGACTGCAGCTATTCCTGTGTTTCAGAATCGGTTTGTTTTATAAATGTCGTGTGCCATTTAGCCTGCAGAAACATTGCAACGTTGAGGCTTTCCTCGTGTTTGTGAATTGGTTGCATATGTAGTTGGGTTGGTGTTGCAAGTATGTTAGTTGGGGGGCTGAGAAAGGGGACCTGGCTCTTCGTTTAACACCTATCGCCGAATATATTGCCTCCTGCCCCACCTCTATGTTGAGTGTATCCCGGTGGCAGTAACTGAAACGGTAGACTTATGTATTTCTTTTGCCCATACTTGCAAGTTTTGCTCTTCATGAAACCTTCGTGAAGCCAATTCTCTATTCATTGCCGTTTGTTAAAATCCCAGGTATCTGTTTTACGAGCGTACTTTTATGTTGACTTTTAGTACCTGCCAAGATTTCTTTAGCGAAATGGCGGGGAAAGGCCGAGGGCGCGTATACCATCGCGTCATCCATCTTACATTTCTATTGTTGACATTTGGAAAACAACATCGTTACCAGCGCACCACGCACTACCGAAATACCAACTAGATCATATTTGTTTGCTAAGGATCCGACTGAAATCGATATAATCATCAGTTTTCGCTGGGCGCAAAGCTTATTGTTCAACCACTTCCCACGCGCGACAATGAGTGGCATCGCCAGTTCAGATGTCACTCTGTTGACAGAGCACTTAACCTATCGACCAGCTGTAAGTTACACTCTCCACGCCTCATGGCATATCTTAAAGACTAATCCCATACCCAGGCTCTAATAGACGACATAATAAACAGCATAAACATCCTCGCCTTCCGCGCAACCGAAGCAGTAGAAAAAGGCCTCCTAGCCGCCGACCCAGCAGACATAGGCTTCCGCAAACCCTCCGCAAGCAAAGATAAAGATCCCGCCGCATCTACAGCCCTCATTCGCGCAAAAGCAAATCACGAGATCGAAAATGGGGTTCACCAGCTCGAAACCCTCCTCGAGGCTAAAATCGACAAGAATTTCGATAGATTGGAAATTTACGCGCTGCGGAATATATTGAGTGTCCCGGCTGAGGTGCGGACATGGGTACGATTGAGCCATTACGAGGGATTGAATTTTAGCTATGATAAGGATGCGCCGAATGTGGAGAGTGTTACGGTGCAGCGGAAGAGGCTGAGGGAGACGCAGAAGTTGCAGAGGATGTTGGAAACGGAGGTGGAGAGGAACGATGCTACGATTGCGGCGCTCAAAGGGCTACTTGGGAAAAAAGAGGGCGCGGAGGGAGAGGATTATCCTTCTTTCGCGTTTTTACAGAACAAGGGGGAGTTAACAGGAGATGTTTCGAAGCCTGTGACGACTACTACTTCTTTTGCGCTTTCGCAATTACCCGCTCTGAAGGCCTTGCTGGCGAATCTACAACCGCGACTCGAGAAACTCACTAACGGGAATGGAAAAGAAGGGTTAGTGGGAGAAGAAGAGAAGAGTTGGAGAAAGGGTAGATTGGAGTTTGTTGAGAAAGAAACAAGGAAACATCTCGAAAATGTGAGGGGCCTCGAGCTTGACGGAATGGGAGAGGTCAGAGATGGAGAGTGGCAAGGGGAGGGACGGAAAATTGGAAAACAAGAAGTCGAGGACTTGGAGAAAGTTGTTGGTATGGTCTCAGATAAACCAACTGATGGGGGTTCGTAACTATACCTTTTTTTCTGCATTGAATCCATGATAATATTGGATATTTAAGGAGTTTGGGCGACTGTGGAAAATACCAGGTTTCTGTTTGGCGTTTTGGGTAGGATTTCAGCCTGATTTTTGTTCAATGATGAAGCTTTTTCGAAGCAAAGACTGGCTTTAACAATATCACAATTTGAACTTCCCCATACTTTTTACGATATTGGAAGGGTCACCGGATCATGGAATCATCGTTCGATGAAGACTCCAGGAACCCCTTTTCCTTCTGGAAACATTCGAATACTTGGCCTGCTCTGCGAGAGAGTTGATGATAGTTTACCCAGATACTTGCAGGGAAGCTTGCAAAAAGCGACCACAGAAAATGGTCTGTCCATTTAATCATTCTTTCTCCCAGTACTCAAGCCACAAGAGAACGTTGCAAGAGTCAATTCCTCATTCGGTATTAAGTCATTTTGTATCTATAGCACAACACCTATACTACATGGCACATATACACCAATCAATCAATCACCTTCCACGAGTTGTAGCTGAAGAGCTAGCTCCCAGAAATGGTGCTGCCCTTCCTTGCCACGCTCATCAGCATCCAATGGGCCCCCATAATCAGCTTTCGTATTCCTTACCAACGTTCTGGCGAGCTCCCATTGTTCATCATCAACAAGAGCCGCTAGTAGCGTTCTCAGCGTGTACCAACCCACAGCATTATCTCGGCTGTTAATCTTGCCCAGTACTCTCATCGCCGCCGCCGTCTCACCGGTCCTGGCATAGCCCTCAATAACACGGTCCCAGAAAATCTGATCAGAAGATCCTATTTCAAGCTTCACTCGCTCGAGCAGGGTTTTAACAGCGTCGAGATTTGGTGGTTGTTGCGCGAAATAGTATTCTACCATCATTGTGTAGATATGTGCAGAAGGCCGTAGACCTTCCTTAGTCATTCTTTCCAGTACTGCATTAACTGTGACCAGGCATTGTTTGGAGCCTCGTTCTGAAATATGGAGCAAGTGGTAAACCAGTTTGCCATAAGTATGCAAGCTTGCTTTGATCCCTACTGCTGCCATTTGTGAGAACAGCGTATCGATTGTTTCCATCTGTTCTTCGGGATTGTTTGGGTCGCAAGAACCAAGGACTTCATCCATGATTGTAGTGAAAGTCACCGCATCGGCTTGGAAGCCATCTCGCTGCATCTGATCTAGCAGCGCTCTTGCTTTCTCTGTCTGACCTTGTCTGATTAGAGGGCGAAGAAGTGTGTTGTAAGTGACGATATCCGGCTTGATACCGAGTCTTCCAGCCCAGCCAAGAACGCGCTGTGCATATTCATGCTTTCCCTTGCGTAGTAAACCAGCGATAGCAAGATTCAGTGTTTCCACGCTGGGTTTGGGCACGTCTGAAGTAGAGTCTTCTGGAGGACTTTGCGGTAGTTTAGCACTACCCTCCCTCTTTTTGGTGGATATAATCCACCTTCTACCCATCTCGTCCAAAGCACTTAGTCCAGCATCTGCTCTTCCACAATCAATCAGACCACTGACGCGTGCGTTCCAGCAGGCAAGATCAGGTTTCGTCCCGGAGAGTTCCATCCTTCTCCAAATCGCTTCAAGCGCTATTGCATCTCGCGAAATCCTGCAACCATTAATCATTGCAGACCAAGTGGCAGTTGTAGGTGTGATGCCAGTTTTGACCATGTGATTCCATACATCTATGGCACGGTCTGGCCTGCGAAGTTTCATGTAAACAAGAATGAAGTAGTCGCATAATTCAGAATTAAAGGTTTCAAAGTCAATTGGGCGCTTAATGGGCGTTTCCGCTGTGGGAGTTTCTCGAGATAGCGGAAACTGAATAGCATCCTGCCATAACTGATCCAGTCGAGCATAATCTTGTGCCCTAGCAGCATTCTTGATGCTCTTCATAAAATAATCATTTCGAACACGAGCAACGGGGCTGTGTCGTTTAGCCGGCGCTGTATGATATGAAGCTTCTATCTTTTCCCCCAATTCAGGCAGTTTCTGAAGAGCATATTCAGTGACAACCTGCAAATCCGAGTCAAAATCTACTTTGGTACTAGCAAAATCCCACCCAATCACAGCAACATTGTTGTTCAGCAGCTTCAAGAAAGGAGCAGCATCCGAAAGTAACTCTGGATCAAGTGGGCAATTATCTGTAAGGAGGGCCAGCGTCGCAACGGTGATGACAGGTATTTGGGAAAGATGGGCACTTCGAAAGACAGGCGTGAGAAGGCTATAACAGGCCAGAGGCCCGCGCCTTCGTTTGGTCTCTATGATGTGCTTCGTTGTAGTGGGAGGAAGATTCGACCAGGTGACGAAAGAATCAATTGAGAGGGAGTTTCGTTGTCTGCACCCCACGTTCCATGCCCCCAAAAGATCTCGCAAGAGTCTCTTTTCTTCCTCCTTGTCGTCATTGCCTGCCTTTCTTGTATCCAATATATTTCGGATCAAGTACAATATCATCCTTGTCCAAGCGTCACCTCGAAGTACACCCAATTGGAGGTATAGCCTTGAAATCTCGGTAACAGTTGGAAGTTCCTGCGATCGCGGATCTTGCTTTTTTGCACTCATTACTTGTTTTAACAGATTTAACGCTAATGAGTGCAAGTTTATCGGCAGAAAAAACAGCTGCCCACTGGCTGAATCATATTTGCCAAAGTTCTGTACGAAGAAATTCCAGGAATCTGCCGCACAATTACCACCTGCCATCATTCCTTTGAGTGCGGCCACATGTTTATATGACTCTAAAATGGAGGCGCTTCGGGGTGGCAGTTTTGGTAATGTTTCGGGAGGTGCAATGCTTTCCTCGAAAAGCGACTCAAGTAGGTCCCCGGTGTTTGGAAGGCGTGATGGTGAGGCCTTGCCGTGCCATGGTAACCGGCTAGACCCGATCTCCGAGCCTTCTAGTTTGTCTGCCAGCGTTGAGACATCTTCGATCGCGCTCGTAGGTTCCGTAGCAGTGGTTTCGTTGCTGTTGTTGCTGAATGGTCTGAAGCGGGGGATATGTACGGCCACAACCGCAGTCGAGGGCGCGCGGCGAAGAGCAAGGCGGCGACATGCTCTACAGAGGGGCGTAGAAACGCTCATAACCTTGGGGACCCGTCAAAAGCTATGGTGGCAGTATTATGTTCAGAGTTCTCATAATCGGGCATGTTGAGGTTCGAAATGGAGTACTCCCGAGGTCATACTCAAGTACGAGTACTCGAGTACAGAGCGCAACCAAATATTTGACAAGGGTTGAGGGGAATCCCGATGTTTTACCGAAGCTCCAATATAACATGACGAGGGGGAAACCACGACCTGTACTCAAGTACTTGAGTATTGTATGAGGTCCCTGGACCCCAAAAGCTGAGGGCCTATGATGGGTACCCACTACTCCTTACATATCTAGAGGAGTTAGGTTTATTGAGTCTCCTTTCTGACATCAAGAGAATCAAAATCTGCATTCTAAGGGCAAAAATTGCACGCACTTTCAGGGAATAAAACAATCAGTTTTGTATGTTGTATTATAGCATGGAGTCTATGCGCATTCTGCAAGAATCTAAACTAAACTCCGCCAGATCTTGTTGAGAAACCTCAAGGCTCAAACATGACGACGGCAGTGCAATCTATATGTCCGGTGGACCATCCATTCAAGGATTCGCTATTGGTAGACCTTCACAGAGTTCACCAGCCAGTACGCATTCTGGAAAGTCTCAGGATGCTTCCGAACCCATTCGTCGCAGGTAACTCCTGTCTTTCGACCACAGTCGGTCCCTATGAGACCCAAGTGTTAGTTTTGCTTGTTTCAGATATTTGGTGACGGCACAGTAGTATGTTATATCAGTGCGCATTGGATGATAACAGAAAAGATTGTTGCCTGGAGTGAGGGATTTAACACTTACAACTGGTCCATCCTTCTCCACCTGCACTGTCTCCGCAAAAGGTTGTGTCGAACCACTATCGAGAGTCTATTAGTCGCAATTCCTGAGATTTGGCAGAAAGAAAGGTCTCGAGAAAAACCTACAATACTTTGTGCTAAATAGTGCTTATCGATATCACAGCCGCCGTCAGTACGTTGAAAATGTGCCAAGGGCAAAGGCCATAGTGCAGGATTTGGATTGCCATTTGTGATGTCTGAAGGGATACCACTTGTTCCTCTGGGGAAGAACCACACACGGATCGCTTCACTGGTCCATTCCATTGCCCAGACACCTCCATCATTCTTGTTAAATTCGGCGCCATACCCAGCAGCTGGACCAAGAGTAGAACATCCGCCATCGCCAGTGCAAGAGCGGAAGTTCTCGGAGAGAGGCTGAGTTTGTCCGTTTGGTGACTGGTTGAATGTACATTGTGGTAGTTTGGGGTCTGTATAGGTAGTGATGGCACCATTAGCGGCATCGGCGTTGAAGTATTCCACGATATCGATTTCTCCATATGGGCTTGCTTCATCTCTTACGGTCCAGCTACGATCAGGTACAAAGGTTAGTAAGTGGTTCAAGGTGGGTAAAGTGGCTCAAGAGGATAAACTTACAAAGCAGGCCAGATTCCGCACACATTTTCGGGCATATGTTGAAAATCGCCAATGACGAGTCCGTGTGTGAATTCATCTCTACTGGCTGCCCAGATACTCTTGCGACCGCGAGCATTGTCGGGGACAACGGATTGCATATCAACTCCCATATAGACACGACCATCAACAATTTTTGTCTGCGATATCCTGAGGTTAGTATGCTTCTATACGTCTCTACAAGACAAGCGAATGTCTCCGCTCAAGTATCCATCCAGGAAGAGATTTGCGCAGAAGATTGGGTACCCACCAGACCAAGGCTCTGGGCCGTATAGAGGTCGACATAGTCAACAGTACCATGAGTTGGATCATTTCCCTGAGATAGTTAGCCGTCATCCACAATTGACAAGCTGGTAGTGTGTTGAGACTCACGTTTCGATACTCGAACTTTTGAAACCAGTTGGAGCTGTCGTATTGAAACTTCAAAGTATAGTAGCTAGAAGCAAAAGGGCAGAAAGCCGACAGAAAGCCGAAAATAGTAAGGAGCGTGAGGGAAACCATGCTGGATCAAACCTGTCAATCAAGCAATAAAGAATGAATGTGTTGATTGAATGTAGAAGCCCAGGTAACCAGCTGAGGGGTTTGTGGATAGCAATTCAAATGCTGGTTCTGATTTGAAGGAGGAAGGCAATTATAGTCTCAGGAGCGGGTCAAAATAACGCAATCTCTGGTCGGAGATGAATAGCGCGACATGACTTGAACAAAGATTTTTTTTGATTTGTGGCGTTTTTTCTTTTCGCTTAATGCTGCCATTTGATAGGCATTACCAGCTACCACCGCTTGTTTACTTGAGAGTCCGACACTCATTCACTTTGCTTCTAGAACACGGGAGAAACATTACCAAAAACCAGCCCATTCACTTAGTCAAATCTTGCAATTCTAATCAGTTCAGCTTCAATGACTTCATTAGCTGTGGTTCACTACTACTTCTTCATCTATCTTTGTCAGCTCCTATTTTTTTTTAAATGTTGGACTCTGCTCTAAATCACACTCTAATAACAACTTTCAATTCCGATTTCTCCTTTCATTAATTGAAGACACAAAAAAAAAGATTGCTTTATGAGGTCTTTGATTGTTTCAGTCGGACTGAAAATTGAATACTGAAATAGTCTTGCGGCTGCAAGGCTGCAATTCCAATCTCGCTTACCATTACCATTCCTGTGATAGATATCAACGAGCAAAGTAGACACATATCATGTTCTACATTTCTGGGTTGTTCCAGGTGACTAGCCTAGATTTTCTGGTTGATGAGTTATCTTGAAACTCCGGTAATTGTTCTAATTGTTGTAAAACTCTGAAATAATTGTACAAGAATGTCTGCTACGACTTTTCTAGTCTACTGGCAGTCATTCCTCTGAGCATATAACCTGTGTTGAATTTGGCCGTCTCTATTCCCTTGGAATAGTAGCACCATATAATATCTTTGCCTTGATCAGTCAAACAATCATCAAGTACATGGTACAAGAAGCTTTAAGTACAATCTCCGCATAGACGGGATAGACACTTGTAAAATCCTTTGCTATTTGACATTCAGATGTTATGGCTTTCCCCTTTTTTCTACACTAAAACTTTGGTGAGCAAGTAATAAAATGCTGTCAAGTCTACAATACAGCTTACAAACCTCACTGTCACGCCTTTCTTACCCTTTATTTAGAAGCGATGCCTAGATTATACTTTCTGTCGCCTACTTTATTCTTAATTATCAGGTCCTAAGGTTGTATTCTACTACTCTAGGCCTAACTAGACGCTGATTTCGAACCAGAGACGTCAAAAGTGTAGTCTGTGAAATCTCAGAGTCTCAAGTTCTCCCAAAGACAAGGGCGAAGCTCGCCTAACGTAAGCGACTCAATGTAAGACAGACTACTCAAAATTGAGTCGTAAATCGCATGTGAAACTGCGGTGTTAGTGTACGTATAAGGGTTTTTGGTAGCAGGAAATAGCTTTCACCCACAGCAACAGCTATTGCAATAGCGGGAGCGAAAGTAGTTATTGAGAGTGTTCGAGAGCATTACTCGGTCGCCGCCCTTCTACGGAGAGTCTATGTCGATTATATGTAAAGAAACCAATGTGAATATCAAATTGCAAAAGGTCTTGTAAACACTAGTTGAGTGGATCTCAAAAACTGCCAAAATGGGGCTAGAGAAAAGAGCAGCCACGAAGATGGAAGCGAACTTTATGTTAGGAAGAATTGCTAGAGATTCGGGTTATATATAATGATAGGGATTGTATCATGAAAAAGAATTATAGGAGTGTTTTTGAGTATGCAGCAAGGATCAATATCGTGAATCTACTCAAGGATGATTCCAGGATGTGAACATATGGAAATTTGACATGAGTCTGTCAATTAATATGACGGAAGACAAAAACATTTCCCCCTCTGACCTGACGTGTTCCAAAAGGCCAGGAAATTCTAGGGGACCAATATACATACAAGTCTCCAACAGCCTCCAAACACATTTTGCATTGCAAGTTTATTGCCCAGTGATGGGCTAAAGCAAATACCAAGACGGACCGCTCGGTAGTTGGGACTGCCATGAACCCCTAATCTTGGCAATTGATCTTTAACGGACGATTTAACGTTAATTGTGAGACACCGATCTCTTTTGTTTAGAACCTTAAGCATGGGTTAGAAAACTTACGAAGGAACTAGACTCGTGGCTCTAGACGGGCCCATTTGAGGCCCAATGAAGACTACCATACATGATAACAAGTTACAACAGAGGAGAGTAAGGGGGAAGGCATGGAAAAGCAGAACTCATTTCCTATATCCATGTGACCATCTTAAATCTGAAGGGTTAGCAAGCATTCTCCTAGCCTTCTCTCTGTACGCCCGAACTCGAAATACAAACACAACAATGATGTTTTCCTAGCCTTGTACTCTCTATTACATGATACTTCTCGCTCTCCTGTCTACTCAATCAATATTGTGGCTTGATTAAATTAGATGTTCACTAGCTTCTCACTTCTTCCAATTCACGAATGACACAGCACTTGATATTCAAATTCTAATTACATTTAATAAAGCTCGCTCTCAAGTACACGTCGTAACAATGCCTCATCAAGGTACTAAACTCCCAAAAAGTCAGAAAAAAAGACCCAAGCAAAACACCACTTCTCTTTATTCCCTCTCTGTAGTCCTCTAAACATCCATCGTGAGTCGTCTTGGGCCTGAGGAAGGACAAAGCCTACTTCGTTCTGATAGAAACTGCGAGGGCGTTTTCGAATACTGCAAGTGGCGGGTAACTCCATTGCGCTGGTGAACCATCTTTAGAAGGATTTCGATTTGGTCAATTTACCTGCTGCTTGTGGCTTGGGTTCTGGCTGTTTTGAAATCTGATTGAGTTTTTGAAAAGGCGGATTTTTTGGAAACTCATTTTGTCTCTGATAATATATATTTTTTTTGAACTGATTTTGTCTCTGAATTGGTGTGGGTTGTTGAGATTTTGGCTTCTTCGCTGACTCCAACACCGCTTTCACGGTTAGCCACGATGCCCTCTTCTGAAACTGGCGTTGCTGCGAAGTGAATCGAGTTTGGGGTAGTATGTCAACTAGACTTTCATACTTCTGCCCTTTCTTAACGTTTGGAAGTCTTTCAAGTTTTGGTCCAGGTTCTGGTTGAGGCTTTGGTTCGGGCTTTATGCGCCCGAGTTTTTGAAGTTTTGTCACACCCTCAGTTGTGAGCCGCCCTCTCTTCTCAGTTCTCTGGCTTCCCGGAAGAGTCTCGTCATCGCCAACTGTTGTAACAGTGGTTGGTACGTAGCTCTGAAATGAGACAGCCTCATTTTCATTTCGTGGAAGAGGAATACCAGCAACCAAAGTTGAAAGGATGGCCAAAGTGGCAAAGGCATTGAGTGTCAACATGGCGAAATCGAGAAGTAATAAATGTCGTGATACGAAATAAAGAATAAGATGTAGAACGAAGAAGCTAGTGCGAACAAAAGCTAGCAGAAAGAAGGAAAAAAACGAATGTGGTGGTAAGAAAAGAAGGTGGTGGTGGGAAAAAAACGGAATAGCTAGACAGGATTCCTCTCTTATATGAACATCAGAAGGGAGGAAAAAGCGCGGCAAGTCCGTGATTAGAAAGGAGAACTCTGCCTATGGCTACAGGGAGATCTACAGTAAAACCCCATGGAAGAAGCTTTCATCGTACACTGCGGATACCATCAAGGTTGTAGGGCCGCAGGACTGCCAAGAGTATAGATCTACGCCTAGCATTTGGCAGCCCCAGATAAGTTAGTTGATTGGCTAGAATGGGGCTTTCTCCTCCACTCTAGCGACCTTATGTTCTATTTTGGATTACACGACTTGAATAAATCATCGTCGAAATTCGATAGAGAAGGTGGTAGTGTTGATGATGCCTGAGGTCCAAAGTGGGTGTTCAAGACTTGATTTCCGAGATCAGTGTCGGAAGTGCCATAAAAGGTCCCGACCTGATAATGAATCTCTACAAATCCACTTTCACTCCCTTTTTGAACGTACTCCGAGTTTTAACATAAGCTGGACATTTAAAGCTGGACACTGTCACGTAGATCATATGTGAGAAAATTCTATATCGCTAGATCCGAGTCTCTGATTCGCTGTATCTGAAAATCGGGGCCGAGCCGTAATACAGTCAGGACAGTGTCTACTTCGACTATCCACTCTCTTGACTTCGTAAATCTGCCCTAAGAGAAGCTTAAAGAGGAGAAGCTTGGGAAGTTTCAAGAGATTTTGATTTGGTTCTCACCAAAAGTATTGTACTTCTACTTGTAGGCATCTGCAGTTTACGAGTAACCCTCCATATATATTGAGTTCTAATGGTACCCGGATGTTAGGGATTCGCACGACTTCACTATCTTTAGCCCATTCCTATACGGCATTGAAAATCTAATAATCAGCATTGAAGTGACCAGGCTCCCCAGCCACTTTACCGTGCATTCCTAGGTATGCCGTATAGTAAATACCTATCTTTACCCCTGCTCCTGCTAACACTCTGCTTTCCTAAGACCTTTTTACTTCTAGAAGCATCCTATACATATCTTCAATAATACGAGACTAAGGCAACGTAGGGGACGGAAGTAAATTCTGCGAGGGGAGAGACAGTGAGCTCGTGCGAACCCGTGAAATCAGGGTAGTTGGGTCGCATAATCTCTGTTTTGACTGTAGGAGTTTCGTAAAGTGAAGATTAGGTTGTGATCTAAGTTTGCGCCGGTATTTCCGATCACATGGATATCTACGAAAGTTTCTCACTTCATACGAAGTACGAAGTACGAAGTAGAAAGAAAACCAGCGTCTCAACGAGACAGTTTTACGACTCCGCTGCCCTATTTCCCTATATCCTAATACGGAAGCTGAGCGTCTTTTTCCATGTGACAAATCATTTCTTATACTCTTACTTCGTACTTCATCCAGGGGCAATAATTGTAGGTTTGCTAGGGTGGCTAAGGTTGGCAATATGTGACAAAACAAAAAATACTTATACGACGAGCCAAACAGTAGTGCATTTGTTTCGTCAGATTAGTACAAATTGTATATAAAACTAGAAAGATATACACGGGGTCTCGGGGTTATGGAAAAAGTGGTAAAGTTTAGAATTTGCACCTAATATGTACACCCAACTTATGCGAGCCAAACAGGCTCTGGAGGGTTTAGGCTTCAGTTACTTTACAAAAAATTTTTGGTGGTGTAAATCTAAAAAGATTTGCACGTAGATTTGCGACGGATTTATGCCTAATTGAGTAAACACTTATGCGGCTATCTAGACAGGCGTGCATATCTTAATTTGTATGCGAATCTTCTATAAAAAGATATACATGCAAAACTTTTTTATATAGTGCAAATAACTCAATTTCTGTAGCCAAACATGCCCTTATTAGATAATTTTCCAGGATGACCGGTATCTACATCGCGGGCAACGATCCACTTAGGGCTCTCAAATTCAAGATATGCTTCGCACGCAGCCTGTAGATAGCTTCTTCTTATTGCTTCCTACTTACAATACCACTTATTCTCACATACTAGCTGTTTGTACCTGGAACCATCTCACTCTAAACCGCAACCGTAATCGAAATTGAGAGACATTTATCGTGGAATATCGCTTCAATATACAATTCCAAGGCTGCGCTAGTTATAGAAGTAAGTTCACAAGGAAAAAGTCAATTATTTTGGATTGAGTTATGTCGGAATGAGGCGCCTTGGTAGTGAAATCGCATGACCTAAGAAGATAACGCATTCCAAATCACCATTCGCTCACTGACCAACCTTGAATAGCACGAGTGGTTTAGCTTATTTTTGGCCACCGAGAAGGCCTACTTCTGTTAGTTCACGGGATAATTTTGCGATACCAGTTTTGAAACATTTCGAGTATGTCACTTTGGTAAACATTGTGTTTGGAATTCTAGATTCAGATTGGGAAGTTAATTCCTACTGGGTTTCTTTCTCTGAATCACCTCCAGCGGAGTTAGCATACTCCTTTGGAAATCGTGGAAGTGCAGAACGAACAATCTCAATATACAAGTCTGAATTATATGTTCAATGGACATGGGATTCGCATTTGTCATGACTTGTTGTATTTGAGCAACTTGATCTCGGTTAGAATCGACGAGTAAAACATCAAAGTGTCTCCTGTAAACAACAACCATGTTTTCATCACCTTGCGAGTTTGTTATATCCTCTTGTGAAGAATTCCGAGTCCAGATAGAGAACTCGTAGTTTTCGCCAGTTCAACCAGGAATGGCAGAGTCTCGAGAATGTATTTTTCAGTCACTGCGAGTAAGAAAGAAAGATTTCACTGAAGTAAGACTTGCTAATGACTTGTGAAATTCAGATCCACAGCCTCTGTATCTTCTGGGATTGTGCACCACTAGAAGATCGAATTGATCACAGACTTCTTCAGGCACGTTAATCTTACTCTTCAGATCACTTTGTACCCACATTCTCAAGTCAAGTCCATGTTGACTCAAGCATCAGTAGTTAGAGGTCGTAAATCGACGTGCTGAAGATGTGACCTATGAATCACTGTTGAACTGGCATTGTTTCAAAGCCTAATAAAGTCCTCGGATGCGCGATTTCTTATTCAGTAGTTTGCGAGAGAATTAAAACAAATAAAACGGGGTTTCAGCTGTTGACCTGGGAAAAACTGTATTCACATCTGTCATAGTGAACTGACAGCTGTAGATATAAATACAGTGAATTGCTGGCTGTCTTTTTTCGCTTGCCCAAAACTCGTAAATTTCCCAGACAACATCATGCTACACTTTTATATTGCAGTTAATTCATCATTCAAGCTTCATACGATCAACCGATAAAGGAATAACTACCTAGGAAACATTCCTGAATCAGCCAGTAGATACTTCTGTAGATCGTTCTTCCCATCATATTTACATTTATGGGACTAGCAAACGTCGGGCAAGTGACTCTTATAAATCTGTGAAGGGGTTAGAGACTGTATAAGTGATACTGTACCTAGTGTCAAGACTGCCGATTTAGGTGTGTACAGTAAGAAAGAGTCAATATATGTAGTGTTTCACAATATTAGGTCTACAATGACATCAATTAATCTAGTTAACCCTGAGCTATTCCTCGCTCGCTCTTTCGGTTCTTTTCCCCAGTATGTGATCAAGACCGCATTATAGAATCATATCTGCTTATCCAAGTACTGAGTATTACTGTACGCCTCCGTATTTCAAACAAACTTATATTGCCGATGTACTGTGCAATGATTGGTCGGTAATACGAAGGAAGATCTTACATACATAGGAAACTCGCTAGGCAACAGAGGATCGTCCGTGCCGTGCCTCATACCTACACAGAGCGGGGAAAGCTCCACCAGCTCACGGACATCCATCTCACATCACAACATCAATACTCAATCATCATCAAGCTTCAATCATCTTACAAAGTATAATGCACAATAAAACCAAACGCCAGAATGGCTTCATATCGCTTCTGCTAGCTATAGCTTGCTCGGAGCAGGTTCTAGCAAGCGAGGCTCAGATACCATTAAATCCCCACGCGACACCAAAGTTGAAATGGGAAGGATGTGGCGAACTTAATAGTCATACTCTTGAATGTAGGACTATTTACTCTTTTCCCTGATTCGGGGTTGAATTAACGAGGAAAGGCTCACGACTTGACGTCCCGATGGACCACAATAACCCCGGAAATAAAACGTTAACCCCGGAAATAAAACGTTCTCGATCCCTCTCATCAGAATGCTGGCCACCAACGCGTCGGCTAGTGGCGATAGACATATTTTGACGAACCCGGGTGGACCAGGGGGTTTGTGAAAATACCATTAGAGCTTACATTTACTCATGTTTTCTAGGCAGCGGGGTTGAATTTCTTGGGAGAGCTGCCGCAAGTCTGAATAAAGTGATTGGCGAAAACTTCCATCTGCTATCTTTTGATCCCCGCGGTAAGAATAACAATATGGTTTCAGCTTGTAGTTGGAGTGATCTAATTTTCCATAGGCGTTAGCGGATCGATCCCAAGAGCAATCTGCTATCCAAGTGATACCCTACGTGCCGAGTCATTCATAGATGCTCCTTGGAATCTCGAGTTTCAGGCTGGTAAGTTTTTCAAGTTCGCCCTTTCCAAAAAACGAAAAAGAAGAAAAAGCAAGTTGATTCTGAGAGAATAGGGAAAATGTACACAAAAGCAGAGAACAAGGCAAAAGCCTGTGAAGATGAAATGGGCGAGTATGGAGGATATATCAACACCCCACAAACTGCAGCCGATATAAACTCTATCCTTGATGCGCTGGGACAGGAGAAAATGTATTATTGGGGATTCAGCTGTTAGTAACAATTCCTCGGCAACCAATCCTGCGCTAACGTAAACAGATGGAACCACTCTCGGTCAGACGTACGCGCAGATGTTTCCTTCTCGTGTCGAACGTCTCATCATCGACGGCGTGAGCAATCTGGACGAGTGGTACAACGAATTCTTTTTCGAGGAGTCTTTAGTCGATACCGACAAGAGCTACGCTGGCTTTGCCGAAGAATGTTTCAAAGCCAAAGAGGCATGTCCCTTAAATTCTCTCAAGGACATGCCCTTCGAATCATCCAGTGAGCTCAAGTCCTTTATCGATAGCTTTCTCGCAGATTTACAGGAGGTGCCGATACCCGTCTACTTGAACGCCTCTAACTACGGCTCCATCACCCGACGAAAGATCGTGACGAATGGAATATTCTTTTCACTCTACAAGCCCTTTCCATTCTGGGTCATCCTTGCAGAGAACCTCGCCGCGCTGTTCAATGGCAACAGTAAACCAGTGTATAACGCCTACTCCGATAACTGGATCGCAGGCGTCCTCTCAGACGAAACCAACGATTTCGTCACCAAGAATGACAACTGGTTGACCGGCGCGCAAGCACCAGTCCACGGCGTAAAACCAGTTCAGAACTACACCATCGCAAAGCATCCCCTCTCAACTCTCGTATCGAAATACTACGGGAGCGACGCTTACGATCGAGCTTCGTGGTTATTCCCAACAACCCACAAATTCCACCCACAATATCATCCCCAATTCCCCCGCGTCAAGACCGCCAAGCCAATACTCGTTCTATCAACGACATTCGATCCCGTCTGTCCATTGGCTTCCGCAAAGAAAGCCCAAAATAGTTTCGAAGGCGCTGGGTTCGTGGAACAAAAGTCTTATGGTCACTGCAGTATCAGCATGCCTTCGCTATGTACAGCCAAACACGTCCATCGATATTTCAACGAGGGCACAATCCCAGAAGCAGGCTCCACGTAAGAATCTGCCTACTCTACAAAGTCTACTGTCTAAAATGGAACGAGAAGCTGACCTGACCGTGTGGCAGATGCAAAATTGATGCTGATTACTTCCCGGGTCGTGGAAAATCTCATGTGTCTACGCTTAGTGAAGAAGATCGAGAACTGCTAGCGGCTCTTTCGGATCTAGCAGCTGAAGACGTGATTCCTGCTTTCTTACCTAGCAGGATGTTTGGGGTTTGATGGGGACGATGGTCAATTTGATACGGTTTCAGTAAAATATGCTACGAGAAGCGGTAGTAGAATAAGATCAATATTACGGCTTGAATAGGGGCTGCCATGGAAGAGATCTCGCCTAGATGTTGGAGCATATTAATTTCTACTAAATTGTTTCTAATGTCCCATATTTACAATCTCACAACTTTGAACTTCCTCTTTTCATCCACCCCTAAGAATAACTTCAAAATATAACCAAAAAAAGACTCACTACTGTACCTCCCCACAAATCCAGAACCAGCCCATCCCCTCCCCCATCTCCATCCCACCCTCCTCCCCTCCCAACAAAACACCCAAACCCTCACCACCAGTACCACCACCTACCTCCCAACCCCCCAGTAAAACCCCCCCATTACCTCCCACACACCACCAGAACCACTCTAATCCCCAATCCATCCATCCATTCACAATAATCCATACAAAAAAACAAAAAATACACATTTCAGACAGCCATAAAGTATACCAAAACCCTACAACAAGGAAAGAAAGAAAAGAAAGAAACCCAGGAAGGAGCTCACGTACCAAATCGATAGATAGATAGATAGATAGATAGATAGACCAATCCCAGACGTGATGGCCCAGCTCTTTCATCCCGTATTAACCCATATTACCACACATTACCATTTTCGTTTAAACCAAACCAAACCAAACCGCTTTATCGAAAGGTAAGGTACTGACTGTACAATAGGAAGTAAGGCACCGTAAAAGGAGAAAAGAAAAAATGTGTAGGGTTGAAGAGGTTACTGTAAGTCTCAAAGAGAGAAGAGGTAGGTGTGAAGTCTAGAGATACTTACTTTACTTTACATTATATTAAAATACTAGACCCCCTACTTTAGCTTACGACAGCCTCAAAACCACCTGTTGACGTGTCGAGTAGAGGAGTAGAGCGGATGGGGAGCAGCTGTATCATACAGTACTATATATATGTGGTATGACCATAACACCATACAGAAGAAATAGATAAGATAAGGTAAGATAAGATAGTATCCTGAAAAGGGTAGGAAATGAGTAGGAAATTCTACTCCATTTAAATACAAAGAGTCTGAAGAAGCGAGGTAAGTTGAATTGTAGTTTCATTCATCATTCATGGAAAGTAAGTCTTACTGTACTACGTCGTCAAGCACATTCCCATACCCCTCAAAAAACAGAAATTTTGATGTCAAAAAGAAGAAGAAAAATGGAAGAGAGAAACACAAAGGCACAGTAATACAAACGATGACCATTACACTAATACACCCTAGCCTACCCTCCCTCCCTTCAGACAAGCTGTATCTAACCATCTTTTCTAGTCTCCTTTCCACACTCACTTCCTTGTTTCCTCCCTCTCTCTCTCGCTCCTCCCATCCTATTCATCAGTCAACTCCTTTCCCCCACCCCTTCCCATCCATCCATCCATCCATCCACCCATCCCTCACAAATCCAAATCCAATTAACACCTCCTACCCTACCCAACCCAACCTTACCCTTCCATCACTTCATTCCATTCCAACCCACCAATCTCAAAAGTCCTCAAGAAAGAGAAAAGAGAAAAATAAATCAAACCCCATCCCATCACACACTCCCCAAACGCCATCTTGCTACTACCCCTCTCTTGATTCACAAAGAGAGGAAGGTAAGTCGCGAAGATATGTAAGAATCAAAGAAAAGAAAAGAGAAAAGAGAACTCCAATCCATCCATTACCCAGCTATCCATCCGCCAAGGCACCAAGCCACGTCAACGACCGCTCGAGCGAGAAAGAAAAGAAAGAGAATAACGAGCAGGTATCAATGCCCATGCTAATACCGTGTACATCGTCGGGTGCGAACGATTTCGGAATGAACAAACTCCTTGCCTGGGCCAGTCCGTCCCAAATCGAAAAAAGATGCAAAGGAAACCAAGCAAACGAACAACGCTTAATTCAAATACTCATCCAGCAAAACATCCCCGTAGTACAAACCAGTATCAACGTCGTCAAAATCCCCGCACCAACCCGATCCGCCTGGGTAGCAGGTTTGATCGGCTCCAGTGTATCTGAACTCCCACTCCCAGCATTCGGATTACTTTCACTAGTTCCACCCGTAGCATTCGTCAGAGGAGCACCAATAGGAACGAGATCAATGAGGTTGACGAAAATCGCAGACATGGCTGCCATTTCTTGACCAACTCCTTTGGTACCGTCCCATTTTCCACTAGACCAACTTAATCCACAAGTCCTTCCATTGTCTCCACCTACACATTGCTTCGCGGCGGCGATTGCGGAGGGCTTGAGCTTTGCGACGATCAAATCGTGGGTGTAGGGTGCAACTTTGATGGTAGAGGCTAGCCATCTAGTGAGATAGGATTTGAAGCTGTACATATCGGTTGTGCAACTTAATTTGGGTTCGCATGCGACTTCGTAGGCGATGTTGTCCCTGAAAAAGATGTTGAAGGTTTGATTCAGGAGTCGGTCGGTACGTTCTTTCCAGACGGGATCTCCCTTTGTCTGTACCAGGTTAGTTGTTGCGTCACATCACCAGCGAAGAATACTTACATAGTTATACATAGTAGCTGCGCCTAGCAACCAAACAGCACTATTATAAGAGAATTGAACTCTGTTTATATCTGTGCAGTTGGACTCAATGTGAGCACCATCATACACGTTGTAATCTTTATCCATCAACCCAACACTTTGAATCCAGTTCCAAGTCTTTTCCGCGTGTTCCGCGTAGGTGTTGTTGGCCGTATATCGAGCCAATCTCGCTCCGATATTAAAGAAACATCCATTGGCTATCGAATTCTTGTAGTTGTAACCCGTCAAGTAAGGGTAAACTTGCCATCGCAAACTATACAGGATTAGTATTTGAAGTGCAGCGGGAATATACATTCCACGTACCCCCCACCACAATTCTGATCAGGGCGAACAGCCTGTGTATTAAAGACCGCCTGAGCGAGGGAGAGCCAAGAAGGTTGTTTTCCCGGAGGATTAGGAAAGTTGTATTCGGCCGCCAACATGGCAGTCATCCCCCAAAAAGCCTGGTCATCATTTCCCATGGACTGCGACCAATTCTTGGGCATCATATCAACATTCTCCCCCACCTGGGCTTGGATTCCCGCCATTACTGCATCGTTGTAACTAGTATCATTCGTGTAATGCCAATAATCGATCAAACTCCCCCACATCGCACCCGATTCCCACCAGTAATCTAATCACGTCAGCCATCAACACTGAGAAGGTGGAATTCTGGTAGGCGATAACTCACATCCTTCTGGTGGATCTGGCGGGGGACCCGGCAGAACTCCCAAGATATGGCCCGATTGATTGCCCTTGTAATAGGTCATCATATCGTAGGCAAGGGTACTTGCAGCACTCTTTATAGAATCTGGACGGTCGCATCAGCATCTGAAGGGGAGAGAATCAATAACCTCTGCAAATGTAGAAATCCACGTACCAACACTTGTTATGTCGAGGTCGATTCCTGCTACCAGACTACTGCCAAGCAGCAGCGCTGATACTGCGCGAGGTATGAAAGCAGAATACATGGCGACGAGGAGGTAAGATAATTAATGGGTGGTGTTTTGGTGACAATTGATTGTAGAGTAAGCTTGAGGTTATTTGCCCTCACGCGCTCCCCGGGTAACGAGTGTCGTTAGGTCGGTCGTAGTAGTGTCGAAGCGTACATGGAGGCTTTGGAGGGATGATGTAACGACAGGAAGCGAACGATGAGGCGAAGTTGAAAGAAGCAAGGCGATCCGTTCGTCGTCTTCGAGGTCAAGTGCTGTGGAACGGGTGAGTAGGCTGAGTAGGGTGAGCGAGTGTGAGGTGTGTTGTGCAAGATAAGACCGATCAGTTGGGAACACGGGAATCATCCACCGACGACTGCAGAGCAGCAGAGCAGAGTTTACAGAGTTTAAGTGGCGTGGCTTTCACTGGATGAACAGGGCAACTCTTCAAGGAGAAGCTGAGTAGACGGAGAGATTATCCAGGGAGAGGCCGCTGGATTGGGCTGAGGAGGCGTTGAACTGCCCCTCCTATTCGCTGAAGGAATGCCGTAGGAAGTGGAAGGATCAATGCTTAGTGAATGAATCGATGCTTATTTTAGGCGATACATCACTGAATTGCAAGCTGCAACCCTGAAAAGCACCCCGTCCAGGCCCTCTAGTTCTCCATCGTAAAAAATCTATTCACCCGTCAAACCAAAAATACCCCCCCGGCTCAGCGCATACGAGCGCCCCTCCACTGATGGCACTGCTCTTTCTCCATGTCAAAACCCCATCTCAACTCAAGCCCTCTTCAAATAATTTTCCGTATACACTCATCGAAAAAGATACATGGAATCAGCACCATAAATCCCACGATCTCGGATGTACGTCAGACCCCTGAACTCCATCCCGCGAACCCCTCCTTCAACTCACCCAGGTTCTGGGGTAAACAAGAGACTTGGGCCCCATCCCCGGAAAACGGACGATCCTTCCCAAGATCCCCATTCAAGGAGGGGCGAGCCTGTACGGATTTCATCCGTGTGAACATAAAAGAGATGGAAATCCCAACATGCTTCTGTGGCAATATTTGATCCACTCCCACACTACAGTACGGTGACACTGTCCGGATTCCAGGACTTGAACAGTTGGACTGCATATTTGAGTGGTTCGTCATTCGTGGTCGACCTAGTTTCAGAATCCAAATACACAGGTAAATGGTAGGATGGGAATGTACGAGTACACGCACGCTTTTGCCTCCCACCTGCTCGTGTCGTTTTCCAGAGCACGAGCAGGCCAGACCCGCATGTTCAGGTTATTGCATCTGAAATCCCATTCCAGGGTCCAGCTCGAAACACCTACTCTCTATACAGTTGTAAACAGCCATCCCTTCATTCACACGTCATCCCACCATGAAAAAGCTTATCAAATATGTCAAGTTCTTCGTTCTATTTGAGCCTCATTATGCTTACAACGAACTAGTCTATAACAAACAATGGCGGGGTCCTGAAAATGTGCTTCGGTCGCCCCCAAAAAGAAAAGAAAATGTGAGACCTTCGTAGTTGTAGAAAAACTCCTCCACCAGATGTGATTACCTATGCAGCCATGGCCACCCAAAATTTGGCTATATTGGCTGGTTCCAAAATAGATACGCCTGTACAATCCAGTGTCGTGCATGTGCCCATGACTGACTTATTTTGACGCCTTCCCATTTTCATTATGATGATCCTATTCAAATTTACAAAACGAGAACGGCGGCCATCGCGAATCCGAAGACGGCGACGAACGACGCTTGGATCATGGATCCCGAGCTGCCAGCAATGACTGCTGATGTGGCGGCCCCTGGAGATGAAACTGGCGAGTTTGGCTTGTTTGGTACAGTCACAGTACCGTTGGATCCTGAGCCAGATGAACCGCCGGAAGAAGCTCCTCCAGTGGGAGATGCGGATCCAGAACCAGAACCAGTTGCAGAGGCGGTTGCCTTGAGGGTAGCGGAAGAAGATGCGGAGGATGAGGTGGGGGTGCTGATGTTTTTGCAGGAGAGATCAAATAGAGGACCGTTCATTCCCTTGCCCATAACACCGAAACTTGGGCTTGGGGTGGTGCTGTCGTCATCGTACAAAGTGTACCACCAGATGTTGGTCTTTCCGAATCGTGGGCATCCAACTTCGTCCCAGAACAACTTGGCGTTCTCCGTAGATGCGACACCAAGGTTTTGGGTCTTTCCGCTGACTGGCCATCCGGTTTCGGTAATCCAAAGTTCCTTTCCTCCAATAGCGTTCTTGGTGGCAGTCAAAGCATCCTCGAAGAGATTCTTTCCGCTGCTGATATCGTTGGACATGGTATCTTGGAAGTATGGGTAGGCGTCGACACCGATCCAGTCGCAAGCATCGATGGTGGCCTTGTTGGTTTCGTTGACCCAAGCAGTCCTAGAAAATGTTAGCGCGTCGTCTTCTCGTTGATACGAGCGTTCCATACCAGGTATCAACGTGTCCAACAGGGGCTTTTTCTAATGCAGTTCCCTTAACAGCCTCTCGGAGTTTACCAATATAAGCTGCCATGGTGATGGAGTCGGCACCGTATCCAGATCCAGCCTTGATACCCATTGGAGAAGCACGGTACAAATCCTCACTTCCTACTGAGATACCAACGACGAGATCAGTGAACTCGGAACCCCATTTGGCGATGGCGGATTTCAAGGCAGTGATTTCAGCATCGAATGGTCCCTGGCCAGCGGAGGCCCAGAGACCGAGGAGGAGGGTGGTTTTGGTCTTGATGGCAGCTGGGATGGCCTGGATTGGCTCGTTGACCGAGCTTCCACCTTGAATCATGGTATATAGACCTGAACAGAACAGGCTTTAGCATATTGCGCTCAGACAGAGTTCTTCAGGGGATGCTTACGAGCAGAGTTAAATCCACCGTTGGTACCGGGTAGGTTCTTTGCAGCGGTGAATTCCGCCTCAAAGTCCTTTTCGAACTTGAAGGTTCCATCAGTGTTGGCCGCACCAAAGTTGAAACCCTGGTTAGCAGTCACTGAGGAGATGGCTGCCGCAAGGGCAAGCAAAGTGGATGTAGAGCGCATTTTTGAGTGTGTTATTTGTATGTGAGCTTGAAATGGAAATATTATTTGGGCAAAAGATGGAAGAAGAAGAAGGAGAGCAGCGTAGAAAAGGCGTCAAAGACAGTGGTACACCCGAGAGTGTAAAGGAGATGGGACGAGAGACTCAGAGAACACAAGATGTCGTAGAGACTGTTGGTGCAATGGGATGAGAGGAGGGAGAGGAAGAGAGAGGGCTGCCTTGGCGCTGGGGGAGAAAGTTATTTATGGGCTGGCGCTGCGAGTCTGCGACCACCAACTGGACCAAGGTCCAAGGAGGGTGATGGCCCAGTCAAAAGGGGGTTCGAGCCGACCCATACAATCAAGCATCCGGAGACCAATTGGAGGCAGCTTTGGCCATGGCGCTGCTTCTGCGCCTGCTTGTTCCTGCTTGTTCCTGCATGGCCAAGCGAGGGGATGATGCGCCGATCGACTGAGCAAAATACGAGTCCTTCAGACACAGAATCCAACTGATTCTACGGAGGTATAGCTGTAGAATTTGATATGAAAACCCTCATGCTTCTGAGCACATCGTTTCTCTGCAAGTGACTGCTTCCCGGTGACTGCTTCCCGACACGTTGTGTGCCCAGTTCTTTGTCCAACATCGCGTTCAAGCCACCGGTGTTTGCATACACACGCCATGCGACTATTTTCTTGGTCTCCCATCAATCTCACCACTCTCACGCCGCGTGGTGTTTTGGAGGCGCAGTCCATGTTGGTCTGACACGAGCCCTGCTCCACCTTAATCCCCTTTCTCATTGGCTACTTCTCTACGACTTCACCACAGAAGCTTTACTCGAGATGAGCTCATTTTCCGACTCTCCTCTTTTCGGACAATAAGAGCGACATCACGTGCGTTTATTGAACTCAAAGTCCGAATGTTTGGACTGTTTTTGACTGAATATGGAAGTTGAATTGTACGAGTCCGGAATATATTTGCTTACAACTCAGCGAGAAGAATCCTCGATATCCTTATCACGCTCTTCCCTCCCTATGACGGAGATTTTCCAAGGTTCTTCCGTTTCTTTGCATACGTAAACCACCTCGGGAGGCTTCCTCAGGATCACATTTCATATTACGTGCCAAATTCTCAGCTCCTACTTCGTGCTTCGGCCTTCCGCTCTTAACTACAGAATCCCTCCACCATGCCTGCACCTCACAATACGAATACATCTCCGATAAATGTTAGGGCTATTGAACCTCTATGCAGTGTACCAAAATGAATGCAGTGTTACGTTAGTATCATCCAGCTTCATATCCCAAAAGAATGTCGACCTGCAGCTATCAGATATCAGCTTGTACCCGAGCGAGAGGTTTGTACCCGAGCAAGAATGGTGCACATTAGCTTCTTTGATATGCCGCTTCCCCCTCGCGAGGATCAAGCTTCAAACATTCAACTCAATACGGAGTATGGCCATTCTCAAAACGTACACACTGACTGGGTTCTTCCCTCCGCGTGTTGTACTAGTTCGCCTGCCGAAAAAGCTTATGGAGATACGAGGATACGTGTAGGGCGTGAGGATGCAAAGTTGCTACGTGATAAGGTTGTGGCTTGCATGGCTTTGCCTTGGACCTAAAGAGATGAAATGTCACCAGCAATCGTGGTGTTTATTATTCATTATTCATGTTTTCTCACAGCTCAACTGATCTTTGATAGTGTACGTTACTGATGCTCGAAGCTCTGTTATTATGGGTTTTTTGTTTTTCATTTCAAAGAGAACCTTCCTGATCTTCACCATGCAGCAGCTGAATTCTGTTACAAAACTACTCCATTTCATTATCCCACATGTCGGTCCTCATATTCCAGCACATATTCCAGCAGGCTAGCTGTTCTTTACAACTGCTCATTCACACAAGCGGCTATCCAACACTCCACCAAAAAACAACCGTTTCGTTTCAATCATGCTGCATCAAAAATCTGGATCTACTATGATTCCGGGCATATCTAGACTGCTGCTTTCGATAACGGCAGCAGATGAAGTTTCGTCAGTTTCCGGACTTCATCAGACTATCACCTCAAGGTTTCTGATTCTTAATGCTTGGATGAAGGTTATTTATGGGAAACCGGCTAGGCTGTGGGAGATATGAAGATGGGGTATACATACGAGTGTGTGTATGTACCTACCTCGTTGGTATCAATCAATTCATGTATTTCGATATTACAACATCTTGTTCCATCTCATTATTCCTCATCATCTACCTTCCCCCAAAAAAACAAAAACACAAACAAAACCCGATCACCAACTAAGATTACACCTGGTACAAGCCCAGAAAACGAACCGATCTCGCCAGCCTTCCTGGTTTGGGAAAGAGACGAAGATATATACAACCTCAAACTACGAGTCTAACACCGAGGACGAACAAATGAGGGCTCGCTCCAGACAACTATGGTTCTTAGTAAAGATCCTTTTAGTCATGAGAGTAGCTGGATTTTACTGTATTCGCTTCCATTACATGTCTACTTCCACGTATTCGTTATCACATAACAATCTATTATCTAGATTACACATAACCAATAAAGTTCAAGATCAATCAATGGGATGCGGGCCGGTGGGGGTTGGAAGTTACCTCTTGTACTGTAAGAATACATCCCCTTCTCATAATTCTCATTCATTTGTAATCTTGTAAGACTACTAGCTCCGTCTTAGACAAACAGCACATTATCATATGGAAGACAAATTACACAATCAACCAGAAACCCTCACTCCTTCACTTGACTAGAGGTAGGAAATCATCTCGTCTTCAATCCACCATGGAGATTTTCCCGAGTTCCAATACTGTACTGATCGGGTAAGGAGTGAGATACTCTATGCGTCTATTCGAGAGAGTGATGTAAATTAAATGATATACCGTATTCATTCTTAGTATCTTAGTTCAAGACAGGAAGATGCCTTTGAACGTCATCATCGGGCCTTTTTATTACTACAGATGGTTTTGAGAAATTGGGTATCGAAGTATGTCCTTCATAATGCTAGAGGGGGGTGTTAGTATTAGCTAGCCCGAGATGAAGAAGAGAAGTTAGGGGATTGGATTGGATTGGAACGTTGCTTATAGTATTGTGGAAATGGGAGATGGGAGATGGGAGATGGGAAGGAGTCTTGAAGGGGTGGAGAGTGAGGGTTTGTGCTGGATGCTTTTGTTGGTGGATTTCTGGTTTGTCGGGTGGAGGGGAGGGGAGGGCACGGGGGTTTTGAAGAGGGATGTGGATGGAGTGTTGGGTTTGAGGAAGGACGGGAATATTGTTATATAGGTACTTTACCTTTAATTTGTAATCTAACATGTTGTTGATTCTATACCCAGTCTTTGAGCGCTTTTTAGAACGCGCAAATCTTTGAACTTGCAGGAATATTGATAGATTAAGACTCGTGGGTGTGGGCGTGGATGTTCTCACCAAGCACGAGAAATGCAAGAATCCTGGGGCTATAAATCCCCCTATCTTCCTTCCGACCGATTCTCAGACTTATTTTATTTATAGATAGAGAGTTTGATAGAGAGATGACTGAGATGGTTTCGAGAGGAAAATACTCAGATGACATACTGTTCGAAGTGAGGGCCTGGAGAAATACCTTCTTATATCATAGCTACCATGGAAAAAAGATTCTCAAAGATCAGCATGGGCCGGCTCTCTCGAAGAAGTATCTTGCTACTGTAATATTCTTTGTAATAGTATGAGAGATGGAATCCTGCTATGCTACGTACTGTTAATCTTGCTCAGAAATTCGGATTGGCAGAATAGGTTGTAGGGATACCTGGTCGTTTGTTAGAGACTAGGGTGGAAGTTAATGTTGAAAGTTGGGGAGAAGCTAGGAGGTTGAAGAGAGTTTCTATATAGGCGATGATGGAGAGAGGGTACTATTACAATTTCCTGGAAATTGGCGAGGGTGCGAGGGTCATGATATCTGTGGATCCAGAACAGAATTTCAAATAGGGAGATGAAAGATTGTTGCTTATGCTTACAAGTTTTTCACCGCATTTTCAGCTGATAAACTTGCTATCGTCGGGATTATCAATTTAACAGGGCTAGCCCTGGGATTCGAAACATCCTTATATCCGTATCAGTAGCAATCATCCAATAACACCAACACCAACACCTTAGACTGTCTCCCCTTCACGAAAGACAAACCAAAATCATCTAACTATATAGAACCGCGACTCACCCCTTATACATCGAGGTACTTAATCAAGAAACCGAGAACCCGGGAGAAAAATACTAAGAATTCTGAACCCAGCAGCTGAGCTACTCGTCTCTCTAGCAAACTCAAATGATAAAACAGGAAACTATAGGAAAAGAGTACCTGGACAACCTCGAACATCTAATAACGTCACAACCGGCATCTCAATCCGTCTCTTTGATGCGGCCAACAGAGGAGCCAGTGAGCGAACCAGAAGAGGTCTAGAAGCGACCTCTTCTCTCGGTTCCATCCTAAGTCCAAGAATCAGGTTACAGAAAGGCTAGTATGGCACTGTAACCCACCGACCGCAAATTCTTGAGAGAGTTCGCGCAGCTCGTATGCAAAGATTCTACGACGTCGATGCGAGCTATAAATATATACAAGCGTACCTTGCTATGAAAGACATAGCAGGGTCTGAAACACGGGGTTTTGAACGGGGGGTGTTGTATTGTGGATCAAGATTGGTATTTGTTTAGTGGGCTTCATTCTAACGGTACCTGATTCTTAGTGTCGAGGATGAGATTCTTGGGTTTGTTGAAGGCTTACTATGAGATATTTATCTAACCCTCATATAAACTCATTTCCCCAGAAAGCCTTCCAGAATTACATCTACGAGTTTTGAGATAACCCGTAACGTCAACGGGCCTTTGCTGTTATCAAGCACCGGTTCACTTCTTCGTCTCTTCACTGGATACTTCTTGTGATTGAACGAGGTGGAGGTGAAGAGATCGTCTGGTTGTGTGGAGAAGGGGTTGAGGGAGGGATTGGGAGACTGGAGGAGGCGGTGGGGATTTTGGAGCTGGTGGAGGTGAGTTTGGGGAGGACTGGGGGGTTGGCTGGGGGGATTAATGTTAGAATTGGGTTTGGTTTGAGGGTGTAAGAGGTGGAGAGGCGTGGTTTGTATGGGAAAGAGGTCTAGATTGAATTGGTACTTAAAAGAATAGATGTTGGCGATTATGAGGGTGTGCTTCCTAACTTACGAACTTGGATTTAATTTATCAAAGGCATAGGGTTGGGCTATCTAATTTTAGATAATGTAATTATAATTGGTTTTTCTCTAAATTATAATAATTAAAGATTTAGGTTCTAATATTAGATCTTGGCAATGAATATCGGGCATATAAAGTAGTAAATAAGGGGTGTAGGGGTAGACTAGTTTTACTAAAAAAGATTATCAAAAATATATATAAAAGAGTACTTAATTCAAAGAATTAACTCTAATCTTCCTCGTCCTTGCTCGAGTTATCAATCTTAATATTACTATTATCTTTGTCCTTATTATCTCCTTCCTCTATTTATATAAGC